TATATATATATTTGAAAATCTAGAGTATATTTAATAAATCCAACATTTATTTGGCTTTATTGAGTCTAAATTACAAAATAATAACTTAAGTAATAATCAATAAGCTCTTAACATCTTTGAAAAACTTTTGAATAACTTTCATGTGATAAAAATATCGGCAAATTTTTTTATTTCAAGATATTATCGCTATCTTGAAAAATGACTGCAAATTTGAATGAAACTTTTCTCAACAATAAATCAACTCTTAATTCAAAATTTGTATTTAATATATATTTATATCAAAATATTCTAAAAAACAAAATTTATATAAATGATTAATAATAGTTTTATAAAATTTATCATTCAAAATTTAATTATATTATATGATAATTATATATATTTAATACAATTATATATATATATATTATTTATTTAAATGTTTCTGTAAATTATTCTAATAAATGTAAGCATTTTTATTTACTAAATTACAAATTATATGTTCAATCTATAATTATTATTTTGATAACTGTTTTGTCAAATATAATAATTATAATTTTATACAAAAGTTACAATTAAAAATTAAAGTATGATTCATATTATATAATTATGGTTTTGATACGTTATTTTAAACACTTAGTTTCAAAAATATTTGCAATAATAAAATAATAATTAAAACAATTCTTTAACTTAAGGACAATAAATTGTGTTAAATACTTAATACATATAAATATAACTTATATGAAATAAATTACTAAATACTAATAGCTCTCAATATAGTGTACTATAATTGAATGCAATAAGCCTTTCATTTAATTAATAAAAAAGTAATAACACTTTAGATATTTTATTTATTGCATTTCTATTTTATTTTTATTCACTAAATTATTTCTGGATTTATTTTCTAATAAACCAATTGTAAAATAATTTTATTTAAATAACATAAAAAATATTTCATTTATACAAAACATTTCAACGTTTGTAATGATTTAAAGCGATAATTTTTCCTCAATAAATGATTTAAATAAATATTCATTAAATAAGAACTTATTAAGTAATAAAATGACAATAATTTGTAACTTAAATCATTATTACAGGTTTTGTGTCAATTAGATAAAGCAATTTAAAGAAAACAAAAATAATTTTATACCAGTTTTAATATTTTCCTAAAATCATTAATATAGCAAATTATTTATAAAAAATTATTAATTAAATTTTATAATCTTTTTCTACAGTTACATCTAATGTTATAAAGTTAATTAGCTAAAGTAGATTGTGTTTATTAAATACACTACTATTTTATAGTAATAAAATAGTCAAATATATATAATTAATTAAATTTAATGAACACATAAATAAGTAAGTTAATCAATTTGAAATCTTTCAATATTTGAATTTATTTTTATTTTAGCAAATAATATAATCAAATAAAAATATAATATAAGAAATAAATGAGAGAAAATATTTTAGTTTTTAAACTAATAAGTAAAACAAAAGAAAAATTATTGACTATAAATCAAATTTGAATCTTTGAAAAAATTATAATTTAAAAAAAAGATAATAAATGTTTAGCCAAAGGCTAAAATAAAGTTAATATTAAAGGATTGTTGACCGTTATATGATATGACTTATAATATTTGCATTAAATATAAAAGCAATCAAATGTTATTTGCACTAAATGTTTGGCAATAAAATTAATTTTCAGAAATTTCCTATGAGATATTTTCTGAAAATGTTTTATAATAATTATTATAAAAAAAAATATTTAAATAAATCAATTATAAATTTTTTTTATTAAAATTGATTTGTTGATAATTATAATAAAAATATTGTTTGAGTCAATTTGTGATGATTTACGTTGTCTATCGTGTAAATGCTGTTTTAATAATAAACTTTTTCATTATAATTGTTGACAATTGCAAACAATGATTCAATAAAAAAATACTAAAAATATAATAAAGATAAACAACTTATCAATATATCTTTTGTGTATTACTATTATAACAAATATTTCACTACATTATGATTACTGTGATTAAGTAATACAAGAAATTATTAAAAAATTAAGTAATTTAAGACAACAAAATTGTATGCTTTAAAAATTTATAAATAAAGTATTTAAAAAATGAGAAACGTTAGCATAAAACTACAACTACTGTATTATAATTTAGTGGCTATAAGTTTTCAAGTAAATGCTATCAATTTTGTTGAACACATTTTATGTGACAATTTGTTTTGTTGTTTTAGCCTCTTTTTTAATTAATATATACATTTTCACTACACTTTTGAAAGTTTTATGAACTGACTATTTGTTAGCTCTAATTATAAACTGTTTGAGTTTTATATAACCATTCAAATAAATAAACACATAATGTCTGCTTAAATGAAACACTAAAAACTTGACAAATACCACATTTGTTTAAATTAAAAGGTTTTTCGGCAAAAATAGAAAATAAATATTATGTTATCCAATGTTTTTAATCTTAAGACTATTAAAATGATTATTTAACTTTATATATATAATTTCTGTTCTATTTTTATTAATAAATAAATTTAAAAAAAAAAAGTTAATTAACTATAAATTGCATTTTTAAAAATACAGTAATTAATTAATTCATCATAAAATATATTGTACAATTTTTAAAATTTAAAAATATTATAAATTTAATATTAAAATTACTATAAAATTCTTTCATCAATATATATCAATCCTAACATTATTTTTTTTATCTAAAATATTTAAAAACTCATCATTATATATATAAAATCATTCATTTTATTTGTAACATTTATTTAATTTTACAGTTTGATGGCTAATGCAAAAAAAAGTTTTTTAGTAAAATAAATAACTTCATGTCACAAAACGTTTAATATATTGGTTTAATTAAAAAATAAAATAAACCCACAGAAATAAAATTTATATATCACTTATTTTTTAAGCAATTGTTAAGAATGCCATTAACTAAATAATTATAGTTATAATATAAATTTATCTAAAGGTAAAAATTTATAAAATATAATAAACTATTTAATTAAAAATTTAAACTTTAATTGTCAATTTAATTTTGATTGAACTGCAAATTAAATACTATAAAAATAATTTTAACATTGAATAAACTCTGATTGATATTAAAATAATTGGATATTTAACTTTATAAAAACAGTGTATACTTTTAACATTTATGTTTCGCAATAAATTTTTAAAAAATTGTAAATTAAATATAAGAGTTAATAATTGTCAACAATGAAGACGATGAGGCCGTCAAAGACATCAACTTTAGTGATGTTTATATGAGTGATAGTTAAACATGTTTTGCAAACAATCGCAAATTATTTGGTCTACAGTTAATGATTTATATTAAAAAGTATATTTAAAACTTAATTAATTATTTTCAACATCATTAATATGTCGATAAATATTAATTGATTTACAATAATAAGTTATAAAATACAGATAGGATATACATATAGTTTAATCGCGGTAACTGTTTGATCGCTAATATCTTAATACATACTAGTTTAACCCGCGCAACGTCTATAGCCGTGCAATTCTTTTACTAATTTTAAAATATTCATCATAAGTAGTGATGAGGTAGTAGGTAGATAACCTAATGTAACAAAACTACTGAACCATTAGACATTATTTGGTCTAAACTTTTGAGAATTTTTAGTTTTTATATAAATTTAAATAATTTTAATAAAAATTGAAAATTTAATCGTTTTTGCATTTGAGAAAATTTTACAAAAATTTAGCGCAGGTAGCTTACCTCCCGGTGCCCTAAAACTCACACAATATAGCAAAGTGTAATTACACAACACCTGCCTACCTGTCCTTAAAACCTACCAGTGCTAAATAAACATTTAAAATTTCCCATAGAAATAACATTGCTTTCAATAAAAATTGAAATTTTTCACACAAATTGGAAATTTTTGCATTTGAGGAAATTTTACAAAAATTTAGCACAGGTAGCTAACCTCCCGGTGCCGTGTGACTTATAGAATATAGCAATATGTTATTACACAGCATCTGTCTACCTATCCCTAAAACCTACCTGAGCTCAATAATCATTTAAAATTTACAATAGAAATAACATTACTTTAAATAATAATTGAAAATATAACAATACATTTTTAGATTTGAATTAAAATATGGTTGTTGATGAAATGTGCACGCATACAAACAGAACTATTATCTTAAAGTGTTATATTGATTATGTAATGACTTTAAAAAAATTAATTGTATACTTTTTTACATAAACTATCAATAAATTAAATGTCTTTTTTTATATGACATTTGATATATACATAAATTATATAAGTAACATAATATAAATTATATGTTGATATATATCATAATAATTATATATATATATAAATTTATATACTATATTTAACTATATTGGTTTAATGTAATTTTAAAGGAAAAGCCCAGACAAACTAGATTTAAGCCAAACACACATATATTAAATGCTATCAAATGACAGTAATGTTAATTGACAACAACCGGTAGTTAATGACATTGTAAACATACAATCATACAATTTATTTAATCAATCATTTCTTTTTTATAATAACTATACTCTCAATATATTTTATTTTAGACATATCGTTGTTTATCAATTGCTTAAATAACTTATTTTGTTCAGTATATCTAAATATAAATACATAATAAAATGCAAAATTATTCAACAATTATCTTAACGGAGATTTAAAAAATAGTTATTTATTTACTACTATTAATCATTTAATAGATAAATTACTATTGTGTTTATAGAATAAAAAATTATATAATATTAATCATTGATTCAAATTATAAAATGAAATATTTTAAAAGGATAACAATTTCCATTTGCTATTTTATAATTGATGTCTAATAGCAAATAAACTAAATTATATTATTAAAAATTATCTTAAAAATAAATGTCATATATCTTTTAGCTTAAATTATTAAATTATTATTTATAAATATATGACATAATTAATAATTAGTTAAATAATAATGAGTTTTAATGTCAAAAACATACAGTTCACGGACAGTGGTGGGTATATGTTTGGGCAGTGATGTCAAACCCCTTTGGGAACAGTCAACAGTAAACCCGTGACACCGGCACACATCGGTACACAAGCGATCGGTGGCCAACTTTTTGACGGCATTCAGCAGACCATCGTCACGGCCATCGTCGCCGATATGTTCGGCGGCCGTTCTGATTGTCGCATTGATAGCTACCAGCGATGTCAATAACCACCACAACAGCTGCAGTGGCGATGATAATGATAACGGCATCGATGGTAACCTCATTGTCAATGTGTGTCTATTAAATAGGTTTGAATAAATAAGTTCATTAATTTTTATTATTATCTTATCATAAATGATCTTTAAAAAACAATTAATGAACTAGTTAATTTATTATTATTTTTTTAGTATTCTTGTTTTTTTTTGTTAGACAACACACAATATTATTCTACAATTTATACAGTTTATCATATTTTGTATATATTCGGTCGCATCCAAAATATCCAAACTTATAATATCAAAATACATTTGATTCACTGAATTAATTTAAATAAAAATATCCAAAATTAGTGTAATTAAAATTTACAATAATAATTTTACATATTATTATAAATATTTATTGAAAATAAATAAATTTGGATATTTTAATTTATATAAAATAATTTAGGATATATTCTATATACATTATAGTTTGTCAAAAGTATTAGACACGGTTTCTTGACAAATTTTGAAAACTTTTCTCAAGATTGAGTTGTAATCGAAAAAGAAAAACATAAAAATAATTATTATTGTAATATTTTATTAAGTATCTTAATATTTTGTTGTGGTATTCATTGAATTATATTCTAAATGTTAAAAAAATAATTAGTCAAAATAGAAAATTTAATTTTTGGAATATTCTTGATTTTTTATTGTTATAAACAATAATGAATGACAATATTGTATTTTTATGCAAATATAATATAATAATACAAATGTTTTATTAAATATTTAAAAAGCTAAACATAATAATTAATTATAATCTATACCAGTAATTAAAATTACATATCATATATATTTTTATTATAATTTATTTAAATAAACCTGATAAAATTAAATTTTAATGTTATATGTGTATAAAAATTCTAAATGTGGTTGAATAAATAAGGTTCAACTTTTAAATAAAAAATTATCATGATAACACTTAATTTTAATGACTACTCTATACAGACTATTATGCTTTTTACAGAATTAGTTTATGTAATACAACATATCTCTGACCCCACATCCCGGAGCTATTTATATTAAATGTTATAATTTTTATCAAATTTGTTCTAATTTTATTACTTTAAATAATATAATCAAAAACCGTGTCAAACATTTTTGACAACGATTACTGTATATACTAATATATATATATTATATATATATATAATTTAGCATATATAAATTATACATTTAACTTATATTATAAATCATAAAATTCTAGAATAAGATGATAACAAAGTATTTATAAAAAAGTTTACATTTGTTGATATTGTTGAGGATGTTATGGTGATTATGATGACTGCGATATCACTTAAAAGTATTATATAAATACAAACTACTATTACTACTACCACTACTTAAATTAATAATAATAATAATAATAATACAATCACATAATGTTTTATTGTGTTTCATCATTACATTATTGTATGTAAAGCACTAGTATTACTAAAAAGTATCTTATTTTGAATTTGTTGGTCTTATCCATTGATAACTACTATCAAACACAATATATACACTAACTTACAGACAAACACATACACACTGTTTATGGGCAGTGGCTTATTGTGGATGAAAATAAACCAACCAATCATAATGGGTTAAAACACCACACAGTTATGACTCAGTCTAAAAATTGACAGATAATTTTATTTTTAGGGGATTTCAATATAAATATAAATATAAAAATTTAAACAAAATTTAAACAAAATTTAAACAAAATTTAAACAAAATTTAAACAAAATTTAAACAAAATTTAAACAAAATTTAAACAAAATTTAAACAAAATTTAAGCAAAATTTAAACAAAATGTAAAAAATAAAACATAATATATATAATATGTTTATTACATTGCAGACAAATTAAAAAATCAACAAAACTTGTGTTAATAATGAAATCTAATTTAAAATAATATTAATATAAATATTTGAAAATTAAAATGCTTACCATCATCTATAAATTAAATTGTTTAATTTAATGTAAAAATCTTATTTACTAAATTAGTAATGATTAATGTTAGTAAAAAGTTATTTAAACGTATATTTATTTTATAATTATGATTGTAAAATATTAATTAAATATAAATTATATATTAAAATATAATGATTTGCAAAACAAAATGCCCTAAATTTAATATATAATTATTTGATCGTAAACCACAGTTTAGTATTACTTAACAATTGATTTTTTAGCTTTAATGAGTTAATTCATTTTTTATATATTTATATAAATATATATTATATTATTTATCTCAATAATAAAAATATATTAAATATTTTGTTATAGTGTGTATAAGTGAATAATTGAATATATTTTCATTAATTATTATTTTAAATTATATGTTATATCAATATATATTACATTCTTATTTATGATATAATTATAAAAATTTATTATTTATTTATTTTTAGATTAATAATTATTTATTGTATTTTTAATAATAAAATTTAAAATTAATTTATTTTAATACTTTTGTCATAAATCCTCTAAATTTTATTATTAATCTGCGTATTCTAAACACTGCACATGTTTCAAAACTCAGAAACTCTCGATTATAACATAGAGTGAACATTGAGTATAAACTAAATTTTTGGGGTTTAGACAGTACAGAGTTATGTTCCCGATATGTTAGAATAATTTGGAAATGTATAATATTTTCAAAAAATATAACAATACATTTAGAATTATTGTTGATTTAATCATAAATTTAAAGTTTAAAAGTGATTATATATTAAATTTTTTTTTTAAAAACTGTTTAAATTATGTTATTATTATTATTTAAGTTAAATAATATTTTGAAGTGGAATAAGTTGTTTAGTTTTAGAAATAAGTTAACCCAATTTAACCTAATCTAACCAAACTATATATATATTCTATTTTAACTTTATTTTAGCTAAACTAAGCTAACCTTTTTAAACATATATATGAATTGAAAAGAAAATCAAACATTTTTTAACCACAAAAATTGAGGGAATTTCCAATTGGAACTTAATATCTCTGTATACAGTAGTATAGCTTCTCAATTGTTTATGTACTGTATATTATACAGTGTATAATACAGTTTGTATTATATGTGCCCCAAATAGAGTAGAGAAAAACGTTATCTTGATTTCAATCTAATAACAAATATATAGTATAAATGAAAAATAATTTAGATTTTAAATAATTTTATTGTAATAATTTTTCTTGATTTTAGCCCTAAACCAGAACTACTCTATTTTATTGTAACAAATGTTCATTTAAAACAAATTTCAACTGTAATTGTCTGCTATATCTAAAATAATATTGTATTAATTATGTAACCACACTGTATAATCATATTATATTTATATAGATTTTGTGATACAGTGTGTATAGAAATTTAGTTTTATTATATATACATTTATATTCCGATATATTTGTATAATATACAAATGTATATATATATATAGAAATACTACATATATAGTATAATTATATATATTATCTACAGTACTGAATACCTGTAGATCTTATATTTATACAGTTATTGTATTTACATACCAGAGCTGCTTCACTGCTGATGGCTATCAATCATATGACAAATTTAATATATTATTTTCACTGAACAACAAAATTTTATTGAAATAATTTTTTTTAATAAAAATAATTAATATTTTTTTATTATAATGTTTATTGAATATTTTATAATAAAAAATTATTATTATATCACCCTGATAATAAGAATAATAATATTTAATATTAAGACCAATTGAGAATACTAGATAGCATTGCCAACACAAACTTCTAAATAATAATTAATTGTTGTTTGAACTTTTTATATTGTTTAGTCATTTTATTACTGAAATTTTGATTTTACGGTTAGATCATCGAAAATAAGGTATAGGGGATCAGCATTAAAATTTTTATCTCTTCGGGAACATAGAGAAAATTACAAAAAAATTTAGTTAAAAATTTTAAAGTTAAGATTTGAATAAAACATAAGAAAGTTAAACGAATCAGAATTAAAATTTTAATATCTTCCGAAACAGAAAATGGCGGATAAATTTTTAAAAATGAGTTTTTTGTTAAAATTTAAGTTTAACAAATAAATACAGTTAATTACAATATTAAGTTATAACAATAAATTAATATATTAAAAAATGGCCTATAAATCATAAAAATTTAATTTCATCACCATAAATATTTATGGAAATGTAATATTTCTGGTGATGCAATATTTATGTTGAAACAATATCTAAGGTTATACAAAATTTATGGTGTCGCAATATTTATGGTGATGCAATAGTTATGATGATGCAATATTTATGATGTTGCAATATTTATGTTGCATATTTATGATGATGCAATATTTATGTTGAATCAGAATATTTGGTTATAGAAAATTTATGGTGATTCAATATTTATGATGAAGCAATATTTCTGATGATGCAATATTTATGGTGATTCAATATTTATGATAATGCAATATTTATGTTGCATATTTATAGTGATTCAATATTTATGATGAAGCAATATTTATGATGATGCAATATTTATGGTTATGCTATATTTATGATGATACAATAACTATGATTATGCAATCATCATAAATATTTCATCATAAATAATACCATTAATTGAGACACCATAAATTTTGTTAGATTTGTTTCAACATAAATATTGCATCACCAGAAATATTACATTACCATAAATATTGCATCATAATAAATTTTATATCACCAAATATATTGTTTTACTTTGTCATGATATAATGATTTGGACTAAATATTTTGTTTTGACAAAAACAAGTAATTTACGCAATAAAAATTTGTTTTTGGTAATGCTTTCTAGCATTCTCAACTGGTTTTATTACTAAATTACTTACCATTATTTTTACTCCATTCTTTCACCCACTTACTTTATTTTACTCACCCAYTMACTCACTTTAATTAACAAATTTTTATTTATTTAATAACTAATACAAAATGATTTACGAAAAGAATGTAAAAACTATTTTTTTGGAAAAACTATTAAAATTTGTCGACTATTTTTACTAATGTTTCTTAAGTTGTGAGATATTATTGACATTTAAGACAAACATGTTTTACATTTTGATGCTTAATCTAAAACTGAAGTTTAATTTTGAGATATAACATAAACTAATATAAACACCAGTGTTGGCAGAGACTAAGTGTATGTATAATATAAAGCGTATTATACAGTATAATACAATGTAAATTACATGACAATTTTGGCTTACAAAAAATTTTTAGCGCCACCTAATAACAAAAATACAAAAGTTCACAAACAAACACATGTTTTGTAATAATAATTATTTTTTTATTTTAAAAAAATTTGAAATTAACTATTCAATTTAATTCTGGTATTGAAATATATTAATAAAATAATTAATATTAATTTTTAATAGTTTTAGAAAACAACGATTCTAATAACGATATTGAAATTATGTAATAATAATAATTTTAATAAAAAAATTAATATTTTATCATTGTTAATGTAATTTTTCTATAATTGTAAAATACATCCAGTACATTTTATTTTACTGTAATTTACAAAGCCAAAATTGAAAACCTTGTATTTTTTCAACCCTGATAAACACACATAGATTCTGGTAATGAAACTCTATTTTCTTAAACAATATGTAACTGAATTAAATAAACTTATTATTTTTTGAAATATTTATCATTTATATTAATAGATTAACAATTATTATGAATTTAATAAATTTTATCAATATATATATATATATATAATTATGTGAAGTTTGGCTAATTGTTTAAAATTTTATAATGAATTAATATATAATAAAATAAAAATATTAACAATAATTTTGATAAAAAAAATTCTACAAAATTGTTTTTATATTTTTATACATTTAATTTGATATCATTTATTAACATCAAACACATATTGCAATATACAGTATATATATATATATATATATTAATAATTTATATTGAACTTCAAATGTCTAAACTTGAAGCCATCATTCTTTATATTGGTTATCATAACAAATATCTGAATTGCAATCGATTTTTTAAAGTAAAAAATATAAGTTTAGATGAGATTGAAGTTTACGTCAAGATATAACATATCTTTACGTCATAAACCATAAAGCGGTCACCGATTTGTAGTATATATTATGCAGTTTTATGTCGTATATATTTTTTATTCAATAGATATATAAATTTACTTTAAAAAATACTTCAATTATATTACAAGACATTTCCACAATTTTTATTTTATTCATATTTTAATATTAAATGTTTTAACATTTAAGTATTATCTTTGTTGTTGTTTTATATTGTACGCTAAATTTTAATAATAATAAGTTTAATAAATTTATTAAAATATGATTCATATAAATTTAATAGACATAAATATTTTAAGATTATTTCCAATAAAGTGACAAACAATAAGAGCTAATAGTTAATGTTAGCGGGAAAATAATTATATAGACAACAAAATTATATTAATAAAACCTAAATAATAATAATTTTATAGATTAGTATTATATATAAATTACAACAAACATTAGTTTATTGTTTGCAATGACATTATTTGATACACTGAGGAATACTTATTCATCAAATCATAATGAAAGACAAATTCAAATCAACTAAATAGTTGTGGTTTTACTAATTATTTGGATTCAAAATTATCGGTCATTTGAATGCTCATTGACTGTCCATAAAACTGAAAGCCCATCAAAACAGTCATTTCTTTGATGACTTGTTGTCAACAATCCTTATATTCTTTATATTTATAAAGTGTTTTCTCTTTAATGATATGTTGTATACGATATAAATGTTTCAAAAATAAAACTTAGCCTTTTATCACATTAATTGATTTTTATATTATATATAAGGCTTTACTTATCAATTATTTAATAAATGAGACACTAAACCGAAAACTATAGTAAAAGAGTGGATAGGGATATGTCATGTCATGTGAGTTGAAATAACTATTTACAGACAAACTATTATTTCAACAATAGATAAATTGATTTTGATTAATAACATTTAAAAAGGCTTAACTAAATAAACAATATAACAATACTTGAAAATCAGTCAATAAATTTAATTTTTGAAAAAACTACATCATCTTTGCTAGAGTTGTGGCAATAAAGGGAAAGTTAGTATTTGCGGAAATGGTGGGCATATTATCACAGTTGCATTAAGTCACTCACAGAAATAATAATAATTATAATTTTGTGCGAAGTCATAATGCAATGAAAACTACAATATTATTTATATACAACTTATGTAATAACAAAAAAAATGTTTTATATTATACTATGCTTTTGGACCTAATTTTTTCATTAGATTTTCACCAAAAAAAAATTAGTTAATGTTTTGCACTTCAATGAAAACGTTTCACTAGTTTTTTAAAGTTTATTTTATGCTATTTTTATTTTGTTGTATTTTGCATTAGATCTTTCAGAAAGTATTTATATCGATGTAAAATGTTTAATCCTTTTGGGTTAATAATAATAACATTAATTATAAATATTCAAAAGATATATACACATCAAGTGTATCCACCAGTTCCTGCAAATGTTGTTCCCATACAACAAATGGGTCCAATTCAACCACCAATGCCAGCCCACGCCAAACCTCCTTTGGCTTCAGGTATGTATATAATTAATTGATAATTAATTAATTAATTTTTTACAATACTTTTAATTTCAATTAATCAAATAATATAGATAATTATAAAATAAATATACTTATTTAGTATAATATTTTAATAATATTTTTTTAACAGTTAATATATTTGCTATATATATTATTTGCTATATACACTAAAAACATAATCTAATTTCGTATCGTAAAAATATTGATATCATTAACTTTAAACTTTAATAACTTTTTTATTTTTTAACTTAAATAAACAAATTTGATATCAAATAATAGAGTAATAAATCACAATTAAATTGATATACTAGATGGTCAAAACAATGGTTTAAATAACAAAATATATCAAGGTAAAGTTATAGGTGTTAATAATTTAGGTACAAAAATTATTTTCGTGTTTTTAAAACGCGCGTGATTTCAGACACATTGTTGGGACCAATTGATTCCAATGCATTGTTATTAATTTGAATACACGTAAATAAACAGTAAATGCAGTGATTATCATAAAAATGGTTAAAATACAAGAATTTTCAGATGCAATTCGCCAACAAATGTATGATATGAGAGTCAGCACCGGAAAGTCATACGCAAAAATAGCGGAACTGTTTACAACAACTGATAATACTGTCCGATCAATTGTAAAGAAAGTCGAAAAGTACGGGACAGTTAGAAATCTCGCAAGAAGTGGTCGAAAAAGATGTACCAGTGCTAAACAGGACAGGATATTGAGTCGAATTGTGGCAAAAAATAAGAAGTTGACCACCGATGAGATTAAGGAAGAGTTGGCCGCCAGAAACATTTTGTGTCACAGAAACACTATTAGACACCGGATTCAAGAAATGGGTTATTACAGTGGTATTGCGCGAAGACGTCCAATGATAAGCCTAACAAATCAGAGAAAACGATTAGACTTTGCACGAAAGTACATCCGGATGCCTATGTCATACTGGAGGAAGGTCTTGTGGTCAGATGAGTCAAAATTTGAGATTATTAGTACTAAACGTCGCCAACGAGTGTTTAAAAAGAGAGGCGAAAGCATTAATCCTGATAATATATGTCCAACTGTGAAGCACTCGAAATCAGTTATGGTATGGGGGTGTATGACAGGCCAGGGAGTTGGCCATTTGGTCGAAATTCCATCAACTATGGACCGCTACATTTACGTTAACGATATTTTGACCCCACATTTGCTTCAGAGTGCCAGAGATCTACAAATAAGCGATGATTTTTTATTTCAAGCGGACAACGACCCAAAGCACACATCAAAATTGGCAAAGAAATGGTTGTCTGACAATCAAATTGAGACACTTGAGTGGCCGCCACAGAGCCCTGACCTCAATATTATTGAACATCTATGGGATGAATTGGACAGACGTGTGCCAAAGAGCGAAAGAAAAAGTTTTTCTGCGTTTAAAGAGTCGTTATTTAATGTCTGGAAAAATATACCTGAAGAAGTCACAGAAAAGCTGATCCAAAGTGTTCCAAGAAGATTGCAGGCTGTGATTGATGCCAACGGAGGCAATACTCGATATTAATATTGTTTTTACTAAATTAATAGCTTTATTTTGTTAATAATATTTAAAGTTTTGATTTCACGAAAATACTTTTTGTACATAACTTTTTTTACCATTTCTTACTTCTTATGCTTTTTTATAGATAATATGATAATTAATGCAATTTTATTTATTGACTTATAAACTTTGAAAAGTGTTCTTTCATTTGATATCAAATTTGTTTATTTAAGTTAAAAAATAAAAAAGTTATTAAAGTTCAAAGTTAATGATATCAATATTTTTGCGATACGAAATTAAATTATGTTTTTAGTGTATATAATTAATAAAATCGATAATCTAAATAATGCAAATATAAAAAATCAAATAGTTACTATATTTTATATTATTTTGATAAATTATAAAAAAATGTTTAATTATATTTCATTAGTTTATAAGGCATTAATTAATATATTAGTTATTTTGTTTTAAAAATATGACTTCCTTAAAATAAAATATCAATAAATAGATAATAAATTCTGTACAATAAAAACATTTTTACTAAAATGTCACGTATTATTGACTTAAATAAAACATTTTTTAAATAATAAACATTTATAATGCATTTGTATTGCATATAGTTTTTCATAGAATTGTTAACACAAACAATTGTAAGTATCAATTATTAATTTCACAATTAGAAGTAATAGTTAATTATTTTTAGTTTTATATTAATAAAAATACAATAGTTTACAATTAGTTATTGATTAATGTTTAATGTTAACTGCTAAAATATATTAAAAACAGTTAATGTTATAAAAGTAACCTTGATGCATTTATTATATACTAGATGTGGTACATAGAGGTTCACATAGATGTTATATCTGCAGTTGGTCTATAGTCCAGTGCTCTGATTTCAACTGTTATAACAATCCCGATATTTGCACAAACAATAACTTCAGTCCAAGTTTGGTACAACAGGCAGATTGTCCGGCAGGTTGTGAACAGTTTGTCATAACTGATCCAAACGGTGAGAGCATCACTTAACAGCATTATTATTATTATTAAATATTTATTGCAATTCATACAAATGTCATCATTTAATATATAGTGTATTTATATTTATAAAAAAAAATTATAGAAATAAAATATAAAGTCATTAACACTTGTGATATGACTATTCGGGTAAATACTGATATAAATACACTTAAATAACAACAAATATAATAGTTTTTTGATTGTTATGTTATTTAAAAAAGTGATTTTAAGTAGTGATTAATTTTGTCTTCAAATTGTTTAGGAATTGTTCAACAGTGGCGTCGAAACTGTGCTCCGGGTCTGTCTATCTGTCAATCCATGAATTGATTATTTTGTCAATACTTTCTTCATATAAAAACCAAAACTCGTAATCTATAAGACTTTTTTTCTCTCAAAGAATTTTCAACTATTTTCTTCTCCTCTTTTTTTCTCTCACTTTAACTATAAGACAGCGCTTTAAAGTGGTTTTAAAATCATAAAACTTTTCATTGAAAAACACATAAATAAGAGAAAGAGTTATATAGAAAATGTAAACCCTTTTTATATTTGATATGACTTCCAGTCTGTAATAAAAAAAAAGTTTAAATCTTTTTTCACTTTATTTTTTTCTCTCCTTATCTCTTTTTTTGCTTTTGTATTATTGACTATAAATCGTGTGTAAAATATAAAATCATATATTTATTTGTTACGATTGTATTGACAATTGTCCGACTTTTTTGACATTTTTCTGGTCTATTGATAGGCAATATACCAGTGATTGGTTTTAACTGTAAAACTGAATACCAATTGGGAGTTCGTGTCGATCGATGTGTTTGTAACAAAAATTGGTGCAATTCTTCACTAAAATTCACTCCAAATGCTATCTCTGTTACTCTCATGACATCCATTACAAGCATTTTATTATTATATATCTTATAATATATTTAAATAAATTCATAAATTAAAAACTTTTCAATTTATTCATTTAAAATTATTATTATTATTACAGTAAATATCATATTTTATGGTTAATAAAATTAATTACATATATTCATTATGATATAAAACAGTATTATATTATCATTACTGCATTGATTTAAATTATTTACTCTTATTTATTAAATATATCATATGTTTATACAATTATAATAATTGTGAAAAAAAATTTATTAATAAATGATATTTTATGTATAATTTTACATTTAAATTAAATTTTTATTGAAAATTATTTAATTAATAACTATTAAAAACGTTTGAATTTACAGTTAATGGTATAAAAAAAATAATGTAAAGTATTGGTTGACGTAATTGATGTTCGACTCAATGGTATCCAAACAGACATGACTTAAGACTTCCCTTTCCTTTTGTACTTCACTTCACTACAAGTGTGACAATAATTACCGCAATTTGGCGACCAATTAGTCGACCAACAGGTCATTTGATCCCCGTTTTCACTACAAAAGGTAATTACAGGTTAATGTGTAAACAATTTGATGTATTTATGTCTTGAATTACTCATTGTTTTTGATCGACAAATTAGATCCCGATTTTAAGTGACACTCAAGATGTTGATGCCGAAGAAGAATCGAGTGGCCATTTATGAGTATTTGTTCAAAGAAGGTGTAATGGTAGCCGAGAAGGACTTTCACGCACCCAAACATCCGGCACTGGAAACTGTTCCCAATCTTCATGTCATCAAAGCGTTGCAGTCACTCAAGAGTCGCGGTTACGTTAAGGAACAGTTCGCTTGGAGACACTTCTACTGGTATCTGACAAATGAAGGAATTCAATACCTGAGAGATTTCCTTCATTTGCCGCCCGAAATAGTTCCGCCAACCCTTAAACGACAGGTCAAGACCGAGTCGGCTCGACCGCGAACTCAGAAAGGTTTGTCTATATTATTATAATCTGAAGAATCTTATAATTTATTTGTTTTTATATCCGTAATTAAAGCCGATGAGAACCGACCACAAAGAGATGGCGGTCGCGATAATTATCGCCGCGATTTTGATCGTGAAGGCGGTGGTGGCGGCGGCGGAGCTCCTGAGAGACAATTCGTACGTTTGATTATTGATTTGTTTAGTAATATATTTTAATTAATTTATAATAATTTTTTAACAGAGAGGAGGTTTTGGTCGCGGAGCGGGTGGTCCAGGATTTGGTGGACGTCAGTGAAGTTTATATCAATTGTTTGTAATAATTAATAAAAACAAATTGAAACAATAAATATAAAAATTTAATAAGAAATATACAATTAGTTAAATAATGCTATAAATTATGATAAATATGTATATTTTGAGACAATTTATATGAATTTATTGACTAAGACTCTTGTTTTGGTGACTTTTGTCTGACTTTTGGTGTATTGGGCACAACTTCAAACTCTTCAAATGGCCAAACCTGTTGATTATAATATACTGTATTATAATATTATTTAAATTTGAAAATATATTTAAAACGATACCTTAAGTACTGCTTTGCCAACAATAAGTCCAATAGGTATGGGACCCCAGACTCGGGAATCGGTTGAGTGGTTTGTGTTATCACCGGCCAACCAGACATGTCCGCGAGGTATCACTATTTGTGAGAAGAAGCCCTGTCTGATTGAGTCGCCGGCAACGGCCACTACTCTCTTACAAATTAGAGTATTAGGATTTGTTGGACATCGGGCTACTACCACATCACCCCTGAGGTTACAAGTGTTGTGAATAATTGATTTGTGTTCACAATTTAATAGCAATAATAATGTAATACCGGTTATAATTTTTAGTAAAAACCGATGAGAATCGCTCCGTAAGTATGATATCATTGTCATGAAGTGTCGGCTCCATTGATGAACCCGAACACTGGACACGCATTTCAGACAATATAAAAGTTAATTAAAATTTATAATTATAAATATTTATCAGTCAATTAACTATAATTTATATGTTTTATAATATATTAATACAATTATCATATCAGTTATAATCCTATTAACACTATTGCTATTGAATATGATTTATCAAACTTAATATCATATGTAATATTTGAAACTATTTTCACCAATCATTGTGTGATTATGACTAATAACAGTCTGTTTTAAAATAAATTTTATAATCCCTATTAATAAGTGACACAAAAATAATTATAATATTTAAATGTTAAGTCAATAGAGATAATTACAAGAATAGGTTCGGCAATAAAATTCCAAGATATGTAACCACAAGAGGCAGTTATGGCTGCAAGACGTGTCCATTTGACACATTGAGAGATCAGTTGTCGCGTTGACATCACTTATGACACAATTATTATTGCGATAACTGTTGCGATAAACCAATTATTTATAAACAATATATCATTTGATACGATAAGAGACCAAATAAATCATTTGTTGTTTGATGTCATTCATCGATATATCTTTCGTGTCTTTCAAACCATCGACTACTCTGTCAAACGTTAATCAAGTCTTTAGTAAACCAGTTGTTGATATAACTGCTGAAACAAAGACACTCAAAGAGTTATGTCGTGTGAAACAATGTTTTTGATTTTGATAGTATTGTTGATAACAAAGACGGACACTTTGATGGCCAATTCAAACGATAGTAATGATAGTCACCAATTGATCCCTTTGGTGATCAATACGTGGAACTTCATGAATGGCACACAAAATGGTATCAAATGTTTGATTATATTGTTTATCGCGTGAATTGTTGTGTCAATCAATGCATTGCATAATACTATTAATATTTAAAGCATTCATTTATTGTGTTTTGCATTGCATTACACAAGACTTACTGTTTTTTATGTATTGATAGCATGGCTTACACTGCAAAAGGGCGGATCAGCTGTCGATGCCATCGAAAATGGTTGTTCAACCTGTGAAAGGGAACAGTGCGACCATACAGTTGGATGGGGCGGTAGTCCAGATGAAAATGGAGAGACCACTTTGGATGCTATGATTATGGATGGGTTTGAAATACATTTAGCAGATGACAAAAACTATTTAAACAATCCTTATATATGTTTTTATTACCCGAAGACCAACCCATAAAGTGGGAGCCGTTGCGGGTCTCAGGAGAGTTAAAGATGTTATATCAGTTGCTCGAAAAGTTTTAGAAAATACTGAACATAGTTTACTGGTCGGTGATTTGGCCACTAATTTTGCCGTTCAGATGGGTTTCAAAGAACAAAACATATCGAGTGATTGGTCTGAGAAGACATATCAACAATGGAAACAAAACAATTGTCAACCAAATTATTGGCGAAATGTAGAGCCCGATCCTAAAACGTCGTGCGGACCATATAAACCAGTCAAACGAGAAACACCACAAGTTGATCAAAATCTAGTTAGTTATGATAATCACGACACCATCGGAATGGTAGTCATCGATAGCAACGGTAACTTAGCGGTTGGCACATCAACTAATGGACTCAGGCATAAAATTCCGGGGTTCGGTATATTTATAACTTATATTTTATTATACTAAAAGCATTTATTATTTAACAGTCGAGTTGGTGACAGTCCTATACCTGGTTCAGGTGCTTATGTGGATCAAGATTTTGGTGGTGCGGCCGCTACTGGAGATGGAGATATCATAATGCTATTTCTTCCCAGGTTTGCTATTTATTATTAATACTGTCACTAATTTGTTTGGTTATCAACTACGGTAACTAGTTATCAAGCGGTTGAAAATTTAAGGAACGGTATGAGTCCAAAGGCTGCGGCTAATGAAGCCATCGGCAGAATCATCAAAAAGTATCCCAAAGCTCAGGCAGCTATTGTGGTGGCCGACAAACACGGCACATACGGTACCATTTAGTTATATTATTTAATATTAGGTTATTAACTATTTTTTTGCAAACTACTCAATTAGCCGCCGCCTGTATTAATATTGACGGAGGCTTTCCATATTCAGTAAGTAATCCAACCCTAGGAAAGGCTACCTTACATCGGGTCGATTGTCTTAAACTTTAAACCATTTATACAGTTATTGAAATATGATTTAATAAATAGTTCTTTCATATTAAGTGGGAATTATGTTAAATAAATTTTCGGGATAATTGGTTTCCGGGAACGCTATTTGATTAATGCGTTGCGGCCACCACTCAGGAATCCATGTCTTCATTTTGAGACCACTTTGAATATGTATCAAGTCTTCAATAGGAACTTGAGTTTCGTTACTTAATACCCTAAGACATGCGATCCCATTGAATCCCTTTCTATTCCTAAGTGTACCGAAATTTCGGATATATTTTGAACTGATGTTAGTTGAGGGCGGAGGCGAGTGTTCGTACAATTCTGACTGTTGGCACACAAACTGGACGGGCATTATTCGCTTGACTATTGGTTTCTTCATATAAACTTTGATTGTCTTTTCCTCAGATGTATATAAACCTACAAAAATCATAATAACTTAAAATAATTGATTCAAATTGTCAAATGAATTGATTATACCTTTGTCTACAGATATTGCGTTGAGATAATCACCGTTTAATTCAAATGGAAAGTAAAATCCGGATAACATGTCTTCATTTCCTTCACTTACACCTAATTTATATTTATAACTCCTATAGTGACCGATATTTCCTTCTTCAATACGTTTGTCTTCAATAAATGGTAAGATGTCCTGAAACTCTTTACCACCGATTCTACTTAATAATCGGTAACCCAATTGAGGCAGTCGTGGATCTGTTACTAACTGGAAGTCATCGCTAATTACTTCCTTAAGAATAAAGTCATTGTTTTCATTGAACCGCTCATCATATGTCTTCGGTATTAATGCCCACAAATCAATGTCATCAACGGCTTCGACCCGAATGTTTCGGGTTGTGTTGTATGCAATCAAAAGTCGTCTCAAAGCGGGTGCTAGACTTGCGTCGACCTAATGGTTAAACAATACATCATTTTAATTAATTGCACAAAAAATAATACCCAAATCTGACCTCAAGTATGAGTTCGCCATCGCTTAATAGTTTAGCCTTATATACAAAAATATCGGCTAAAACTTTGCCCAAAGCCGACAATAAGAAGGTGTAGACACAACTTCTTTGTGACACTTCTTCACCATTTAACAGATGTCTCAAATCATTGGTTAAAAATGATTGCAAATAAATGAAACTTTCGGCGCCCGACACTCGGATCAGTCGTTTGTTTGTCAGTTTTACGGCACAAAAATGGGTTTTACGTCTATTGATGGCATTGATGATGACTTTACTCTTTAATGACAACTGTCTTCTCAATAAACACGACGTCAAAGGACACCACATTTGATGAGTAATCGTCTCTTTAAAAGTCTTCTCTAAGTATCTCTTAATTAAAAATTGTCGCAAAAGTGCTGCAAATTTCTGAATCAAAACACTTGAATCACGTGATCATACTTTACTTGTCTTTTCATAAGTACTTACTGTTAGTATTATAAATATGTTTTGTATTATAGATTCTGTAATTGAATTTAATATTTCATATGAATATTACTGAATGATTAACAGATATTAATGACATATATTTTTTAATAAACAGATTATAATAAATATTTATATTTTGCGATTTATAAAATACAAAATAATTATATTATTATTATATCAAATTTTTATTTAATATACGCATTAATTATAAAAAAATAATTATAATTGTAATTATAACTTGTCAATTAATAATATTATTAAAAAATATAATTTGTTTAACTCTTACTTATTATTTTTATAATAATATATTATTTTTAGTGTTAATGTGTATTAATCATTACTAATTATAACAAACGTTTTTTAATGATAAATAAAATGATATTTATTTGCATAGAACATCATTATTTTGAATTTTTAGTTTATTAAATGAAAAATAAGATTTATATTAACTTTAATCTAATAATTACATAATTACAAAATAATAATAATTAACATAAATATTAATAGTAATCACTATAATTTAAACTTATAATTACTATAATAATAAATAAATAAATAATAATAATAGTAATAATAATAAGATAATAATATTATTAATAATCCATATATTAAAATTCTATTTAGTGTATGTAATTATTTAAAAATCAATTTTATTTTATTTATTTTAAATTTTAATTATTTAATTTTTAATGGATTTTTGGTTTTGGAATTGGTTTTATTTGGTTTTAATTAAATAAGGTTATCATAGCTTTATTGCCATTTTTGTTTTGGTTTTGTTTGTAATGAAACAGTTTTTTATATGCAATTATTGCATTAAAACTGTTTCATTGTATTCAGGGTTTTAACAAAATAAATGCCTGCCCTGGCAATGCCCAAATAGATGCCATAAATGCCTGGCATTTTGGGCATCTATTTTATTTGCCTGTCAAATTAAATTGCTAAAAAGCAACTGTATTTATAAAAATAATGTAATTTAGTCTTTTAGAGTGTTGATTAAGTAGACAATTAATTTACTTATTTTCAATGATATTACCTTTTAATTAAAGGTATACAAAACAAAAATATAAAAAATATATTATAGAACAATGTTTTATAAATTAATTAATAATTGAAAATTAAAATAATAGATGTCACCATCTGAAAATAGATGTCCAGGGCATGGCAAAGGCAGGACAGGCATTTGGCATATTTGGCATCTATTGTTTATGTCTGCCATTTTTAAAACCCTGATTCAGATATAACAGCAATGAATGGGCGGACCTAACAGTACTTAACTTTAATAAAGTGTTTGTAATGTTAAGTAATAAAATAATAATTCAATCAATTGAGAAAAAAATAGCGCTAGAGATCCTCATTTTAGTATTATGGGTAATACTAGAGGTCCTGTACTACTACTTGACATTAGTTTACATTTGATATCTATGGTAACTAAATATTTGGTCAACTTTTTTGACACTACTCTTAAATTACGTTATCATATTTATTGCTTACACAATAGCTTAATAGTAATAAATATGATAACGTAATTTAAGAGTAGTGTCAAAAAAGTTGACCAAATATTTAGTTACCATAGATATCAAATGTAAACTAATGTCAAGTAGTAGTACAGGACCTCTAGTATTACCCATAATACTAAAATGACGATCTCTAGCGCTATTTTTTTCTCAATTGATTGAATTATTATTTTAGCAATGAATTTAGAGGGCATTCGTGTCTCCACTAAGTTGTCATTGAATGAGACAATCATTGAATCAATCAGTTGTTGACTGCTATTCATTCAAATCACACATCAGTTTCAAAACTAATCCTCAGTTTTGTCTCACTTTTTTCAGTGCACTAAAAGATCTGTTGAATCAAACCATGACATCATTTACTATAACAACGGTTCCGACGAAGCCTTTCGAAGGTCAGAAACCGGGAACCAGTGGTTTGCGAAAACCGGTTAAGACATTCATACAAAAAGACTATTCAGAAAACTTTATTCAAGCGATTCTGGACGCCGCTCAAGACAAGACCAAATTAGTGATCGGCGGAGATGGCAGATATCATAACAAGACTGTCGTTCAAACCATTGTCCAGATGTGTGCCGCAAATAATGTAATTATCACCAAAACTTGTCACACATTTGACAAGTTTTGTCAGACTTGCATACATTCAATCTTAATCAAAGACCTTGACTTTTATTTGCTATTCATTTGTCTCACATTTTATCAATTAATTGATAACTCATTTTAAATTCATACTTTAGGTCAAACATGTGATTGTTGGTCAAAACGGCATTTTGTCGACACCGGCTGTTTCGGCAGTTATCAGAAAAAGACAGACAAACGGTGGTATTATATTGACTGCCAGTCACAATCCGGGCGGTCCTAACGGTGACTTTGGCATTAAGTTTAACACATCAAATGGCGGTCCGGCGCCCGAATCGGTGACAAATCATATTTATGAGTTGAGTAAAGATTTGACTCAATATAAGATAGTGAATGAATTAACAGTAGATGTCTTAACACTTGGTGTCCAAACTTATAATATCTCTGGAAATGTATTCACAGTTGAGATAATTGATTCAGTAGAAGATTATTTGGGACTAATGAGGGAAATATTTGATTTTAATACCATTAAATCGTATTTGTCTTCCGGATCACTCAAGATATTAATTGATGCTATGAATGGAGTGATGGGTCCATACGTTAAGCGTATTTTGATTGAAGAATTAGGAGCACCGACTGATTCTGCTGTAAGGTGTGAGTCATTGGAAGACTTTGGTGGACACCATCCCGATCCTAACCTTACATATGCTGCCGATTTAGTTAAGCAATTAGAGTCTGGAGTTTATGGATTTGGGGCTGCTTTTGATGGCGACGGCGATAGAAACATGATTTTAGGCAAAAATGCATTTTTTGTCACTCCATCTGATTCTTTGGCCGTTTTGGCTGATAATTTGGATTGTATTCCGTACTTTAAAATTGGTGGCGTCAAGGGATTTGCCAGAAGTATGCCAACTGCTGGTGCTGTCGATCTCGTGGCTAAAAAGATCAACAAAGAGATATTCGAAACGCCCACTGGTTGGAAGTTTTTCGGTAATTTAATGGATGCACAAAAGTGTTCACTTTGTGGTGAAGAGAGTTTTGGTACCGGTTCCGATCACATCAGGGAAAAGGATGGACTTTGGGCTGTTCTCGCGTGGCTTTCTGTTTTAGCTAACACTAAGATAAGTGTTGAAGAACTTCTTATCAATCATTGGAACAAATATGGCAGAAATTTCTTCACTCGGTTTGTATTAATGAAATAAAATAATTTTATTAAAAAAATTACTTTTATTTATAAAATTTTTATAGTTATGATTACGAGAACTGTGAGGCAAATCCATGCAATGAAATGATGACACAATTGGAAACACTATTATCTCAGACAGACTTCGTTGGAAATACATTTAAATCGGGAGAAAAGGAATATAAAGTGTTAATTGCTGACGACTTTTCATACAAAGACCCAATTGATGGTAGTCTGACCACAAAACAGGGAATTCGTATTATTTTCAGTGATGGCTCCAGAATTATCTTTAGATTGAGTGGCACCGGTAGTCAGGGCGCAACCATTCGTCTCTATGTTGACTGTTATGAAAGTGATTCGTCAAAGTTTAGAACCGATGCCCAACAAGTTTTGCGGCCACTTATTGATATTGCTTTACAAATATCCAAACTTAAAGAGTTTACCGGAAGGGATGCGCCCACTGTTATTACATAAGTGACAAATATGTGTCACTTATTTTACTTACTATTTGCCAATTAATATATGTATTGCCAGTAATTATACAGTAATTACAAGTACCAGTAATATATAATTCATCAATCATTTAGATAATTATGAATCAAATTGTTTTATACAACTGTTATAATTTTTTGAAATATATTTAATAATTTGTTGATTTAATTTTTGAAATTTTATTAACGGTAATAAAATAATTTATTAAGACTTTTGTTTAAGGATTAGTTATTTAAGTTGATTTGGTTTACTGAAGGACTGATGGCGTAGAAAGAGATGGTTTGTTCTTAGGGTTTCTAAGCGCCACATCTATTGCTTCTTTGAAAACAGTTGTCAAGATCTTTACAGGACTTCTACTGGCGTTTTGACCAAAAAAGCCTATTCTCCAGACTTGATCCAATGGTGGTACTCCGGCACTGATGACAATGTCATAGTGTTTATACAAATAATCAATAATGGCGTCTCTCTTGATTTGATCGGGAACTTGAATGACCAAAACTGATGTCAATCGTTTGTTTTCATCTTCGACCACAAACTTGAGTCCTATTTTAGTGAACTCTTTTTGTGCGATTACACTGAACTTTATATGTCTTGCAATCATTTTGTCTAAGCCTTCTTCCACTACCTGTGCTAATGATTCTCGAAGTGCATAAAGCAATGATACAGAAGGTGTATAGTGATAGACAAACTGTCTGTCTTCTGATTGACCCCAAGATTGGATTAAACGATTAAAATTCATTGAATAAGAGATTCTGTTGTTATCTCTTTTTTCAATCACATTAACCGCTTGACTGTTAAATGACATGAGTGACAGTCCCGGTGACAATCCTAATGCATACTGAGTATCAGATATCATGACATCGATGTTCATTTGATCCATAGCTATTGGTGCACAACATAAAGTAGCACTTACATCGACCATAAATAGACAATCATTTTTATGACACAACGCACCGATTCCTCGAAGTGGTTGAAGAGTGCCCGAACTGGTATCGCCGTGACAGAGGAACAGTACCTTTGGTTTGTATTGAGTTAATGTATTTTCGATAAAAGTCAATTCAACTAATTCTCCCGCTTTGGGGACATTAAGTCTAATTAGTTTATAATTCAAGTTTTTGGAAGTTTCGGCCAAACGTTCGCCATCGACCCCATGAACCTGTTTGTAGATATTTATTAGTTTTTAATATCTAAAACCGTCTAAATCAATACAAACCACTACTAATATCTTAGATCCCGGTTCTAGAAGATTGCTAATCGCTGTTTCAAAAGCCAGACACGCGGGACCTGATATGGCAAAAGTGTGGCGATTGTTGGTCTGAAATGTATAACGAATTCCGTCAGCAATTTCTGTTAATATTCGATGCAACTGAGGATCAGAATGTGGCAGAAGTGGGCAAATCATAGCCGCCCTGACTCTGGCCGACATATTTGCCATACCGGCGCTCATCAACAGCTTCTTCTGAACTTCAAATTTGTTTTGCAAACAATCAGGTTTTTCCACAGACATTGCTTATCATATCATCAAAAACTCATTCAATCATTAAAGCGGTTAAAAATATTAATTTTATTATAAGATTTGTATGAAATTTTAAAAATGAAGATTTTATAACATTATATATACAGAGAATTGTCGCGCGATTTGTATAACAATTAAAATGAAAAAATGATTGAGTCATCAGTTATCACCTGAAGTATACTTTTCAAGTAACTCCTGTTTCTTGCGGCGCAACAGCTCTTGTTGTACCTCTTCCTGTGTTGGTATGTATGGTACATATGATATGAACCGTTTGGGACCACTCGAGTCCAAGTCATCATCCAAGTCGTTGTCAACACTCTTATCATTTAATTCTTGAAACTCTTCTATACCATTGCTGGCCATTACTTCAGCCAACAATTGTTTTTCGAGTTTTTGTTCTTCAGCAACAATCACACCGTCGTCTTCATCTCTAAACCCATAATAGTCTGCATCAATGTCTCTCATGAGTTCCGCGCGTGTCTTCCGTGGTATAAGTGGTGGTTCGTGTGAGAATAGTTCACGAACACCGGGAAGATCTTTAGCGGCGCCAAAGTACTTATAACCACGATTTCCCACCACTTCTCGGCCCGTATTCTCAAATCGCGGACCAGTTCTGTAAAAAAAATGAAAGCAATGAATACGAAAAGTCTTGTAAAAGATGAAGAAATGTTGTCTGACTTATGTGTAAAACCGCCCAATTGGTGGATCCGATACTCCCAATGTCTTTTTTCTCTTAATAATTTGTTGATCTGATCGTTGAGGTCTCTGATCCTGAACTCACCTAATCCTGCGTTTTGTATTTGTGTTACTTTTTTGCTGACTTCTCGGATGATATCCAATCGCCACTTCTGTGCCTCTTTCAAGTCATGGCATTCAGAGGCCAGATATGGTCGCCTCTGTTTGTCGCCCGTTCCCGTGTCGTCCAGTTGTGATTGCCGCCATCGGGCCAAAGTGGTCATCGCTTTCTCGGCGTTTCGGGCCATCTCTGGTCACTTGAAAATACTTTTACCGAAAATAGTATTAAACAATATTTTTGACTTCAATTGTTTGAACACAACGTTTGATAACATAATACATACATAAATGACGTCAAACGGGAATATTTATACAAATGTTTATTGAAGAGTGAATGGGATTCGGGATTCGGGATATTCGGTAAATTAATTGCAATTAAAAACTATTATATTATTATTTTTTTTATAAAACTATAGTAAATATTTTATTTATAATTAATTTTAAATTTTTAAATAAATGCTTTTTATATTTGACATCTAAAGTATTGAATGTAATTTGAAAGTAAAATTAGACTTTTTATTAATTTATAGTATTTCTAGACTAAAATAATTATAAAATTTAATTAAATTGAGTATTAATTTGTATCATATTTCACTTAATTGTAACATTTGACTAATTTTAATGTATAACTTTTATTAAAATAAATTTACAACAATTTTAACACAATATAAATATAATAATGAAAATAGTAATATATATTGTATGAAATAAAATAATAAAAAGAGACGAGTATTTCAAAGAAAGCATATCCTGAGAGATGACCTATTGGTGACATCCCGTCATAAGTAGAAATCCTTTCCTAAACATCAAAATTACATGATTTCTGTCGTACTGATGATTCGTATTATTCAAATGCAACTCATGAGAGGTCAGTCTTCGGATATTATCATTGGGACCAATGATTATATTAGTGGCTTCAGTAGTCATGATAATAGCATTGATATTACCCTTAAAGCGCAATACTAGACATTTGTCGACCACTCCCGAAGAGGCCATTTCGTCAAAGTTGGCAAACACTAGTATTCGGCCCTTTTTAGGTTCAAATGTATACTCTATGCCATTAATACTCATATTTGTATTGACTGATTCACTAATAACAAGATTTTTGATGATTGGTCCCAAAAGTGACAATTTGTGATTCGGGATAATCACATCTTTGGGAAGTTCTACTTGTTTTTGTCGATCATTTCTTGCAAATCCTAATTTCCGATTTATAATATTCGGGAACAAACTGAACAAAGTGTTGAATTCAAGAAACCAGAAGTTATCACTCATTTGCACTTTGAAAGTCTTGCCACAAATAACTGCCAAACTTTGTTTCACTTGAACTAAATAAAAGTCAAATTTTTGAGCCGTGAATACAAAAAGCATTGGTTGATAAAGTAGTGGATCTTGAGATGAAAGCCCTAAAAATTGTGGTCTAATACATGTGTAGATAATCTTGTTTTCATTAATATCGCCATTTCCTGGAATAACAACAGTTGCACCAAATGCTAATAAGACAAAATGAAATCCCGATCCAAAGTCAATGGTCTGGAAGCCCGAGTCAAGTGTACCGATTGAACCATTTCTACGGACTATAAATACTGGTTCTCTCACTACTGCTATTGTATTAATGGCTACAACACATGCATTTTGTCCAATAAATACAACGATTTGACAGTTGAGACACTTGGGGTACTGCTCTATAGCTGATGGATAACCCTGTTTAACAACGGCTGGATTGTCACGAAAATCAATCCAATGATTGTCATCAACCTTATGAATAATAGGTCCGATCTCTAGACTTTTGTCTTCGTTTTTCACCTTAAGATATGGTGTATCGGTTAGGCCTTTGTTTTGTTCGACAACATTATAATAGTCTATAAGTTTTGCAACAGGTCTTTGTTTTGATGGCAAATTAGGGTCAGAAATGCCATTGATTTTAATCTTTTGAAGTAATACTTGAAGAGGATATTTATCGCAATGTAATAATAGTGTCGACATATCTGATAATCTCAATAATTATGTTTTATTAGCAATCATTGATAAATTTAAATTAAAAATATTAGAATATTTGATCAACAGTTTGTTAAAATTTGTTGAAATACTAATAATTTTTCAAAACAAATACTATCTAATAATTAATGTTTGATATGATATAATTGATTGCAATAATCGCCAAATATTATCGATTGTTATAATAGTGACTATAAATCTCTGACACAACAATGTTTTGATGGTTGGCGTGAACTAGAATTTCAGTCAAAAAATAAATAAAACTTTTTTTGTCATTACATTTGATATACACTATTAACGATCTTTTAAAAAAGTTAACTATTAGGTGATTATTAATAAAATGATATTTTTATTGCTGTTATGTTTGGTGATACACCATATAGTGATTGCAAGTGATCCGGTTTGTAGTACAAACTTTGTACTCTTATTTTTATAAAATGTTTGTAATAAAAAAAACTGTAAATATATTGATACATATAGGATGTCGATATTTGCAATAAGCCATCGATTAATGCAGGCGTCTATTCAGATGATGGTTACAGTTATATCTTTAAAGATAACTATTATTGGCGTACAAAAGATTTAGACAAATTCAATGGTATCATAGGATTTTCGGATTTGGTGGCAAATAAATGGCCAGATATTGTGGGAAACATAATAACAGTATTTACTTTACCACAATCGACTTCACAAAATTTGATAACAGTTTATGTTGTGGTCAGTTATTTTTAAAAATTAAATATATATTTAAAAAAACTAAATTAATATATATTTAATGAAAATCAGAAGAATAGATGGTTTTCGTATGAAAACGGTAACTATAAACAGGACGGATCCACTAATACTTGGCCACAATTTGCTGACATTAAGATTACGGCGGCATTTAATAAGGAATATATGAGTCCAAAAGTTTTTATATTGCATAACAATAGCAATAATTTCAATCTCTATGACTTTACATCAATTAAATATCCGTCTCTTTTGAGTACCGGTACGACAAATATTAACGATAAAATGCTTTTCTTCATTGAAAGTGATGCCAATTCTTCAGCCGTCAGTACATTAACCACTTTGACAGCACTTATTAATCCAATCGCTGCCCTAACCTATGATAAAAATCTGGTCTTAATTGCCATCGATAAAAGTTGTACCGTTAAACTAACTGATGATCGTTACATGAAACAGGCATATCTTCACTCAATGTTATAATTATTATATATATTTTTTATTAATTATTAATCTAATCTAATAGTGTGATCCCAATGTAACGACAACAGCACTTTTCAGTTGTCCACTTAATCTGAATCAAAGACCAGTAACTACAGGAACTATCACTACTGTAATATCGAGTGGTGGCGACAGTCAGCCTAATAATACAATTCTTGTTAGTAATACAACCATTACTAGCGAACAAAAATCGGTCGCTCAAAGTGACTCTTCCTCGAGTTGGCCATACATTGTCATTGTTGTGACAATTGTTGGTTCAGTAGTATCAATAGGAGTCGTAGTCTTGGTTTATATATTTAGCAGAAAGACCTCAAAGGGTGAAGTTATTTATATCGATAATTCACACAAAGAATTATCAATTGGTTCCTTACAAGTCAAGACCCAAAATTCAAATACCAGTAATTCAATTAAAAGTTAACCAAATTGTCATTTTCTATCAATTTTGTCATTAAATGATCAATAAACTAATATTTTCTTAATATGCTTACTATTACCGTAATATCTATTTTGTTAATTAAAAAAATGCTGTTTTTAATTTATTATATATAACACTAAAATACTGTAATATAAATATAAAATTATTATTATTATAAAAACAATATAATAAAATTTATAATAAATTATAATAAATCTAATCTCAAAGCAAAAAATATATAAAATTGCAAAACAATTCTTCAAAAAGGGACGATTTTTATTATATGTATAAAATGTTTACTAAGTATCGCATCACTAGATGGAGAATCTCATACAATAACTGATGAGTCATAACATAGTATAGCAATCTGTGCTCTAATAGCTGTTTAAGCGATACATACTTTCCAGTGAATGCATTCATACCAAATAAAATAGGCATAAATGGGATCAATAACTGAAAGGATAGTTTCCATAGAAATGTCTTACAAAGTAATTGCACAATGAGTTATGTAATCATATATTTGAATTAAAAAACAAATTTTAATAATTATTGTTTACAATTGAGAATTTTATTTTATAATTTGTTATGAAATATTATTCATAAATATACAATTTAAAGTCAATCATTTCTAAAATAGTCAAAAATTGTCTTATGTTTATGAAAATACCAATAATTTTACTATCAGTGGTGCAATTAAAAAATAATTAATAACTCAAAACTAATCACAATATATCAAATTTAACTATTTATTAATGTTAATTACATAATTGAAGTTCAATTAGTAATTAAGTCGCTATTATGCATGAAAATTTAGTGTCAAATAATAATCATCTATTGTTTGATCCGATAAATACAATTATATCATTTTACAAATGGTGCAATACTTTTGCCGGTATGTTATTTAATATCATATTAATAAATTATATATACAATATATTATGAAAATTTGTGTATGTAATAACTAAACTGAATTTTTATAAGTTTTGTTTTATAAGTTAACAAAATCTTTAAATAATTTAAAAATAATGAAAGTTATACTAAACTTACTTTTATTTATGTCTATTTGTAAATGAAGTTTAATATAGTATAATCTTTTTATTGTTATTATTCATAAATTATTTGATAGAAATTATTTTTCATTATATAAAATATAATATTTTTAAAAATATTCACTTACATACATATAAAAATATACAGAATAAACTATTGACTATTAAAATGTAATACAATTTGTCAATATTATATACAATATATATCACTTATAAATATATATATATATATATGCATTATTTACTTTTTTAAATCATTAAACAAATAATTACATATTTTTAATAATGGCAAATGACCAATATAATTTCAAATATAATCTAATAATAACTTTATATAATATTTAGATAACATTTATTAATAAGAAATTTAATATGCATTACTACTTTAGTTAAACCCATTTTAATATTACTTCAATATTTTTTTTTAAATTTTAATTTATAAATAATAAAACATTATTTTATTATATAATTATTTTATATATAATACAGATCCACGTCTAAAGTCATGGCCATTGATGGACAGTCCATTGCCAACATTTTTTGTTATTAGTATATACTTTATAATAGTTAAATATGGACCTATTTATATGAAATCAAGACAACCTTATAAATTAAAATGGTTTTTAATACTCTATAATTTTGGTATAACTTTATTCAATGGTTGGATGGCTTTTGAAGTATATATAAATATTTTTATTTGTAAAAAAGATTTATTAAATAATATAAATATAGCGTATATATTAATATTATAATACCGTATAAGCTTTAGCGTATTGATAGCTAAAAAATATTTTATTAAATTAATATATTATAAAGTTTATACTGTATTTAGCTTAAGATATTTAAAGTCTATTTTATTATTTATTTTCAAAATATAAACAGTTTTTATACTGTGGTATTAAACTCAAATATAACTTCATTTGTCAATTGGTCAACACTTCCAACGATGAATATGAAGTCAGAGTAAGTTTTTAAATTAAAATGTAATAAATAACAAGTAAATTGTGTTTTAAATTTGCATAAAAATATTAATAAACAGTAATTAATAATTATTTAAGCAATTTTTTAAAATTTGTTTTTATTTGATTACATTTGTTAGATAGCAATAGCTATTTGGTGCTATTATTTTTCAAAACTAATTGAATTACTGGACACAGTTTTTTTCATTTTACGAAAAAAACACAATCAATTGACATTTTTACACATTTATCATCACTCATCAATGTTTATATTTTGGTGGGTGGGTGCCAAGTTTGTACCGGGCGGGTCAGCCCTTACCGGAGCAATGGTCAACTGTTTTGTTCATGTAATCATGTATTTCTATTATGGATTGGCAGCAATTGGACCATCAATTAAAAGATTTTTGTGGTGGAAAAAATATTTAACAATTTTACAATTGGTAGCAAAACTTTTAAATATAATTTTCTAAACATAAATAGATTTACATTACAATTATTTCTTTTGTCATTTTATTCAAACTTTTTTTTAGATGCAATTCACAACAGGAGTAGTGTTAGGACTGAATTCCATAATAACTAACTGTCCGTTCACTCGATGGATGCAATATGTCTTTGTTTGCTATGCTTTCAGTTTCATCGTATTGTTTGCAAAGTTTTACCGAAAAGCTTATGTCAATACGGATCAGGTATTGAATTAAATCAATTTTTATATGGAGTCATACGTTAATTAATTTTTTCAATCATTTTAAATTAATCAAACTAATAATACATTTTATTTTTTGACGCCCTCAAGGAATTGCACAATAAAAGTAAGTAATTTTTTTTACTACTTTTACTACTATATTGTAAATATTGAGTTTATTGTCGGTATTATCGGTATTAAAAATTTGAGAAAATAAAAACTTTAGTAAATATAGTAAATGTATATTTGTAGTCATATTATATATACGTTTTCTTGCTATGAATGTATGTGTTTAATGAGTTAATTTAAATGTTGAGCTCAATTGAGTTAATTAGTAAAAGTAATGTTAATTTTTATTCACTTATTTATTCACATTTAATTAGTTCACTTAAGAGATTTTTTTTGAAAAAACATTTTATAATTTTATTATAATATTATTTAATGAAAATTTGTTTCATTTATTTATTGTAAAATAGAATAAAAATTATTTTTTAATAATTTTTAAAATTCTATTTTACAGTATTTTATACAATAAAACCCAAATTAAAAATAAGTATACATTTGATAAATTGATAGATAATACCATTACAATGAATATTAAAAATTATTTGTTATATTATTATTTAACGTAAATGTTTCTTATATGCTATTTATTTGTATACAACATAATCTTTTAATTAACAAACATTAAAAAATACTGTTTTCATTTTACTATGGTTTTAATGCAAGCATAATATAAAAAGATTACTATATTTAATATAGTTTTGTCATAATATTTAAAGACATTACTTATTTAATTATTATATTTTAATACCGCATACATAAATAATTTGTAATTAAAATAAAACTTTAATAAGTTAGTATATTATATTTTATTGTATAATATAATTAGTAAGTAGTATATTAATAGTTAATAAATTATGTAAGTATATTATAATAATACTATATATATATATTATAAACATAATGTTTATATTTGATAGTTATTTATTAATATTATTAATATATGAATAATATATGAATAAAATATTGATAAATTTATAATAATAATAATTTCAAAATTTTATTTATAATAATTTGAATTAATTCTTAAATTGTTTTAATTTTATTTTTATAGGGTCTCAATAAATGGGATGATGTGGGATAAAAAATACATTTAAAATAAAAATTAATAAATGTAATTAATTATCTATTTATATAAAATTTATTACATAAAAGTCTTTCATTTGAATAGAATAATTGCTTTAATTTATAATATGACTAACATTTATAGTATATAAAAATGATATTTTTAATAGTTGCGAATAAAAATCTAATTAACGATTAATTTGCAGATAATAGATATGACACAAAACTAATAATTTTAAATATATAATAATTATATAAATATTTTATAATATATATCTTAATTTGTAAAATAATTAATTGTCTTATCGAATACAGACATTGTAATCTATAATATAACGATATTTAAATTTTAATAAATATTTACAAAAATATTGTATTAACACAATTTTAAGAAATTAATTAAATTAAAATAATTATATATTATATAATTTGTTTATTTATTATTAATACATTTAAACATTTTTTATAGATTTGGATTTTAAAAATAGTTGAAAATAATATTGTATATTAACTAAAGTTTTACTTTTTTAATAAAGGAATAAAACATAAATTGTATGATAAAAGATAATCATAAAATTAAGATCTATTAGAAATTTGTAGGTTTATAATGTATATTATCGTTAGAGTTCAGGCAAATTATGAAGGAAGGAAAGTTCTTTAATAAATTCACTTCAATTTTATTGGAAAACAGAAAAAATATTATTTTTTCCATCTAACGAACAAAGGAAACAAAATATAATTATACTAACTATACTTAAATAATAATAACTATTAAAAAAATAAAATAAAAATATTAAAAACATAAATATTTAGCTTAAAACTTTATAGAAATACCTAAAAATAAAAATTAATTCAATAAATTTTGAATTACTATTTGAGAATACCACTCAATAAATTAATACAATTTGATATAATATAATATGTATTTTTAAACATTATAATAAAATGTGTGATTTATTAGGTGGTAAAACATAAAATAATTTCATTTGGAATTTCTCGGAAATATGAAACTTTTGGTGAATAAAACAAGAAAGTGAATTTGCCTCAACTCTAATTACAACAATTAAATATAATTTTATAGTTAATTTATGATGATTATTAAAAATTATATATTATTTTATTATTTTTTAAATTAAAGTTATTACTAGTGCTTTTCTAAACCTTAATTTTTGTTTTGCTTCGATATTTAAAAAATGTTTCGGTTATAAATTAAAAAATAATAACTTCTACTATTAAATAACATTAAAATTATATCAAGTTAAAATTTTAATTTATAGACAAAATAATAGACAAAATAATTTTTCTGGAGAAAAACACACAAAAAATTCTATAAATGTTTGCTATTTAATACAAATTGTATGAATTGATACAATTAACTGGAAAATAATTAATTGAATCCATAGGAATGTTTTACATTTGTTTATCATAGAAATCAATAAAATGTTATCTATAACACCAATAGGTTTGCAAATATATAGCCATATATTGAGCAACAGTTTGTTTGTCACATAAAAATAATTACTTATATTAGCATAAATTTTAGTCAAGTTTTTCTTAACCTATTATTACATGTAATTTGATATTTAAGTTTTAATTAACAATGTTTTTATATAGTAAAATAATTATTTTGATAAAAAAGACTAATGTTTTATTATTGCCTTATCTATTATCTAATAATATATTATATCACATAAACAAATGACAATTAAGAAAATTTAATTCTCCAAACAAATTAAAATTTTACATAAAATTCTAGAAATTACTATTTATATAAAACTCTTTATTTTGATTACAGAATAACAAATAAATTGAAATTATATTAAAATAAAATATTTAATAAAATATATTAAAACCATAAAGTAATTATTAGTTTATTGAGGACATTATTTTATTAAATTTACTGTTTATAAACTTTATTAATCTTATATCATATAATGATATATTGAATATATAAATCTTTTAAACAATTATATACATATTGAATATCGTTCAAAATATCCAAAATCAAAATATCCAAACTTATAATATCAAAAAACAATTGATCCAATTTAAATAATTAAAATGTAAATATTCAAAATTATTTCTTATAAATCAAAATAATTTATTTTCAATAAATATTTATAATAATAATTGTTACTTTAAATATAAAAATTATTACTTTAAATTGTAATTAGACTAGTTTTGAATATTTTTATTTAAATTAATTCAGTTGAATCAATTGTATTTTGATATTATAAGTTTGGATATTTTAGATGCGACTGAAATATACTATATTTATTGAATGAATAAAAATTATATTTTAAAATAATTATTAATATATTAATAGTTATTTTGATGAATTCGTAAAAGACATTTTGAATTCTATATTTTCATTCGATTTCCAGATTTTATTAATTTTCAAATTTTGAATTCAGATTTGGATAAAACCTCATAATATAGTTATAGAATATTATTATAAAGTTTTGTACTTAACTTGAATACAAAATGGCGGTCAAAATAAAAAAGTTTAAATTTTGAACTTATTTGCAAATAATTATCACAATATGAATAAGATATTTGAATACATTGTAAAGATGATTATAAAAATATTTAAAATATATTATTTTATTCTACAATCGTTTTACTTATTAAATACATAAATAATTTATTATAAGAATATAATGAATTAACAATTTAGTAACAATTCCTACAAAATTTATATATTTATCTAACACTATATATTCAAGTTTTTCTTTTGTTTAAAAAAGTTATTGTGGACTCTGAAGTAAATAAAATATTTAATCAATTATACTGTAATTTATAAATATAGTTTTTTATTGTATTGAAATATTGATATTATATTATTATAATAAAAATATAGCTTAATTATTTTTAATTTATAAAATGCTTGGTAGTAAAAATATTGATAATTAAAATAAACTTATTTAAATAAAGTATATTTTTGTGACTCAATTTTTATTCTCACAGTCAATAATAGCTTACAATAAAACAATTGAATATTTTAGTTCACAAATAGTCGATCACTCAAAATATATACTTAACTGTCATATGATGTGAAATACACATACAGTTAAACAACACTACGATATACTGTATTACGTGATTGAGTTAGAAAATTGCACTCAATATGAGTGACCAATACATATGTCCATCAACTTTATCCATACAACAGCTATTATATTGATAGCAAAAAAAGTAATTTTGAAAATAAAACTAAAATAGTATTCAATTTTATTGAAATTATAGATTATGAATCTATACTTTAAAGCTTATAAATAGTTATGAATGAATATAGTGTATGATAGAAATTATTTGTTATATATTGTATATACAATATACTGTTTGATACTATTTTTATAAATAACTTTTTTCAGATTAGCATAAGATAAGAATATTTATTCTCAATTTATAAATATTTTCATTATTAGAAAAATATTTATTAAATACAAAAATTTTAAATATATATTTAATGAAACATAAGATGAACATCACATGTAATTTTCATTAATTATCACTTAATTTGTTTTTAAAAATATATAAAATACTTACAGTATCATACTATAAAAGCTTAAAGTACTGTATATTTTGTATGACTAAAACAATCGCTATTGTATTACTAACTGTAAATACTGTATAGTTAATGTCGTGTATGTTAAATGTATATAAAATTATGAGAAAAGTGTATCAATCGATATATTAATTAATCAAATAATTTATGCAGTGTTTGAAAAATCGGATTTTTGTGATATCTTGTGAATAAAACAGTATTTTGAGATAATTTAATATATTAAATGATGTTAAAAACCAATCAGTTTTTTTTGATGGTATTGGAGCTCAGGTCGGATCTGTGTATACATGCGCTGCTCTATCACACGGTCTGTTTGTCTATAATATTGCCATTAATTCGCACAGATTTTTCTCTCGCATTACTTTTACTATATATTTCGGTGTAAACCTTATAAACAAAATTTATAGAAATTGCTATTAATTTTTTCTAAAAAAGATAAACACTAGTAATAAATTTTTAAAAATAATTTCAGGTATATTATTGATATATAATATTATAATAGCTATTTAACTTTTGCATTTTATATAGTGATAATAATTGTTTTCATTGTTAATAAGTTAATTTACTGTAAGTAAAACAACTATTATCGTTTTTATGCATTCAAATTAAACTTTTATTGTCTATTTTTATTATATTGTTTAATAAAAAAAAAACAGGAATTTGGTATAAAAGTCGATTTGTTTCTCACTTTTTGTTGTTGTTGTTGTAATTACATGTAAGTAAAAACATGTTATTTGAAGTAGTTTTTATTCAATTGATAGGTAAAATCAATTTACATTAATTATATTTTTTCTAAGTGTCTGCACATATCAATGTTGTTGTTGTTTTTATAAACATCTTATTAGTAAATGTGTGGAAAATAGTGAATCTTTTCAGAAAATATATTGATTATTGAAAGTGTGATTTCAAAAAACATATCACATTTGTTACAAAAATGCCGAAACTATTGCTCACAATATATGGATTACACTTATTGAATGACTTTTATCACAAAGTAAGTTATTTTTGATGACAGCATTGCTTTTATATTAGTAAAAGTCATAATAATTTAATTCATAGATTTATTTTACAAAATATTTATTATTATATAATATTGTTAATTATTTTTATAGTTATTTGTTAGTTAGTTATAAACTTTATTTATAAGTTTTTTACAATATTTTTTAATATATAAAAATAAATATTTCTGTTACTATTAATAATATTTGCATTCATTATACAATTATTATTATAAAAATTATGGCAACTGATCAATAAATGTTTTTATATCTAAAAATAATTACCGGTAATATACAGTAGTATAATACTGCACTACAGTATACTATATTAACTGTTGTATTAAATGTATTAATACTGATATAATTAACAATTATCAAAACAGATAAAATAAAGATTATTATTTAAAAAAAATATTGACATCACATGTGATTGGAAGTGATGTGATGGCAGACCCTCTTTGGTTGGATAAGAATAATCTGACAAATATTAAATTGAATGAATTCTTTGAATTGGATTCATTGGATGCGTTTGGACCTAAAGTACAGGCATTTCTTATTGCTTTATATTCATTGACAACATTTCTAGCGTTTACGGGAAATAGTTTAGTCATTTTGGTTGAATTGTATGGCAAAAGATCGGCCAGAAATCTACGAAAATTTCTTATAAATTTAGCCATTAGTGACATATTAATTGGTGTCTTAGTCGTGCCATTTATTTACACTGATTTTATGCTTGTGAGTAATTTTTATTATAATATTACTATTTTATAAATTTGTTTATTTAAATTATATACTATAATTTATTAATAATTTTATTAATTAATTAGTTTTATATATCAATATGATAATTATTAATTATATATAAATAAACAGTATTTAATTATTTTTAAATCGTGATAATATGATATATTGTTGATAATTTTAATAAAAACATTTTTTTTGTTTATTTTTAACATTTTTTAATGTTTATCTTAAAATAATTTGAAAAATATACTGCACTTTGTAAATATTTATTACTATTTTTTAAAAACTATATAAAATTAATTTCAATTTAATATAAATTTAATTTAAATAATACTATAAAATATATGATTTGTATAAATATTAATAATATAATTATATGATATATTAATATTTGTCAATTGATATACTATTTAAAGGGTCGTTGGATTTTCAGTTTGATTTTATGTCCGATCGCACAATTCGTTCAATTGTTATCAGTATTTGTCACAACATATACCTTAACGGCTATTGGAATTGAAAGGTAGTATTATTGACAATATTTTTAATTATTAGACAATTTTTATAATAAAGTTTACAATAGTATCTAAATATATAATACTTTTGCTAAGACCCCAAAATTGCTTACAAATACAGCATTATTGTGAAATTTTGTTTGACATAATAATTTAGAGATAAATGATTATACTGTATATTGTGTCTATAAAATTAAATTACTGTATAGGTATATATAAATTATATTGCATTTTTATATAATAATTGTATATTTTATATATTTATTATATTTTTATATGTTATATATAATACATAATCATTTGATTATGTAATGAAACCTTTGTGATGAATAAGTGATCGCTATTTACAAATGCATTTTGTAAACTGTTTTGACAATAAATACTGTATTACTAATACAATACAATCAAATGTTTATAAATATATATCTTAAACGGAGAAAACATCTCTTTAATGAAGTGTTACATTAAATGATAATAATATTGTAAATAGAAAACATATAAATTGTTATTTTATTATAAACAATATTTACTGCTATTATGAAATATTGAATAAATAATAAAATAGTTATTGCAATTATAAAATATTAGTATAAAATAATAAGTTTTAAACAACAGTTTTAAATAATATATATAAAAACACACTTTATTTAGATAATAGATATGATTAGAATAACTGACAAGAATAATGATATTTTTATTTACAAAAAATATAGAGAATATTATTTTATACATAAATTTATATTTCAATTATTATGATGTATTTAAAATAATTTTTACAAAAAATATATTTTAATGAAATATATTAAACAAACATGTATTTAAATACAGTAATTTATATAAATATAGTAAATCTAGTAATTTGTTATTAATTCAAAAAAAGTTTAAGTGAATAATAAATTTTATAAATAAAAATAAAATTTTGAGAATTTATAATTTTCTATAATAAACAATAAATTGGATTAAAATTCGATTGTTAATATAAAACTAATGAATTTATATATAGATATTATTACAAATATTTATATAATTAATGTAAATTTAACAACAAATATTATAGATATCTATTAAATAGTGAATTGAGTTTATAATTAATTGATATATTATATATTGGCTATTATTATTTAGATATTTGTTATAATATATCAAATAAAAATTATTTACATTTACAATACTTTAAAGCATATAAAAATAATTAAATCTATAAGTAAACTCTATTGATTTATTTAATTTTTATAAATAAGTTGAAAAATGTGTATATAAAAAATCACAATTAAATCAAAATTAATAAAATTTTAACATAATATTAATGAAATGTCACACAAATATGCATTTATCATAAAATCGAGGAATTCTTTAATTATATGAGATGTCTATACAAATATCTATTTGTCTTTTGACCTCATTTTCGGATCAATCGATTATTTGAAATGTTTTATATAAATAATGATAAATAGTTTACATTTAATTTATAAATGAAAAAATCAAGTAAATTAAACAAATAATTATATAGATATTTACATATTTTATTTGTTAGATATATAGCAACCCTTCATCCTCTATCGTATCCAAATATATGGTTGCGATCGCATTGTAATCTTATATTACAAATCGGTTGGATATTCGGTACAATAATGGCTTCCGTAGCGGTAATCCACACAAAAGCCGTACCATTTAGTTATAAAAATGAGACGTATTATGACTGTCGTCAAGACGTCGGATGGACTGACAGTGATTTCAAAGTTTATATCGTTTTCTCGTTTGTCGTCACCTTTTTGTTGCCAATGCTTTTCATAACCATCTCTTATGGAGCTATAGCTCGACGTCTCCTGAAGTGTCCATTTCTTAACACATCGTCCGGTGTTTTCTACGACAAACGTAACTCAGAGTTTATCAACAAAATTAAAGTAAGTTTAACTAATGTATTAACTAATCATAATTCAAATAATATCAAAAATAATAATATAAATGTAATAAATCTATTATAATATTCAATTGTTTGAAACTTTTTTTGCAATTGAGTGTACATTTATTTCTAATTATTCAATTTATTAACTTTACTATAATTATTATTAATATTATTTAGTCTAATATTATTATAGTAACTTAACTAATATAATAATTATAGTAATAGTTTTAAAAATGTTGTTATAAAAAGTTAGTATAAATATTTTGTAAATTGTATAAATTGTATAAATTAGATAAAATTGTTATATTTGATGAATTTTATTATTAAAGGTATTCAAAATGTTGGTTTTGGTGGTCATAATGTTTGTGGGCTGTTGGCTACCAATGAAGGTGTTTATGTTGATAATGGCCTTTTGGCCCGAGTTTGTTGAGATCGACACTATTTATGTTTATTACGCTTATTATGGCTTTTATTTTGTCTGTCATTTCCTCGCAATGGCCAATAGGTCTGTTGTACTGTACTTTCATTGTCACAATCAATAGACACTTCAAATAAATTGATTAATGCTTTATTTATTTATTTATCAAATATTTTTAATGTATAGTTTTGTCAATCCAATCATTTACTGTTTTATGAGCAAAAGTTTCAGGGTAAGTTTCTATATTACTTACATTTTTTTATAACTTAATCGACTAATTTCAATATCTATAAATTATTGCTAAAATTATTGTTTATTGTAGTTTAATTTATTATTAACTATTTAAATAAGTACTTAATTTTTATAATTAAATTTTAATATTCAATAAACATATGATTTGTTATTAGCTTAGTCATAAATTGTTATTATTAAGTGATAAATTGTTATTATAAATATAATTAAGTTTACAAATGATAAACTCCTGACTTTTACATTATAAAGATTATCACATTTTATTACGTGTTGTGTCATTCATTTATTACTATTTAATTTGTTTTATTTTTAAAACAATAATTTTTTGATTAAAAAAATTTGCTAGGATATTTAAATAAATAATATAGTATTAAATTTATTTTTATTATAAATGTTTTTATTTTATTGGGTTTAAATGTTTTCAAAATTGTTTATTTTTTAATAGTTTTATTCTATATAAATACTTCTATATTTCTATGCTATAAATAATTCAATATAGATTTTAACCTATAGTTATTGAACTCAGTTTTTTGAACTTATAATGCTATTTATATGCTATTATTTAATTATATTCATATTAATAAAATCATAAATATCAAACAAACAAATACAACAACAAAAAACAAATATTTATAGCATTATAATGTCAATAAATTGGATTAACCGTTAAATGATTATTAGGAATCTTTTTTCAATTATTTTATTTATACTTTTGTATTTACAAAATTTCAGATAAAAAATTTAATAAAATTCAATTGCATTTTTTGACAAAATACTACAAAATTAATGTAAAGTTATATGAATTATATTGCAAAAATATTTTAGGAATTATTAAACTAATCAATTATAAATAGTTGATGATTTATATATGAAAAAATTAATTATATTATTATAATCTAATATGTAATAAAAATAAATGATTAATTATTTATTTTATTTTGTCTTATGTTAATATGTTTTGTATAACATTATATGACTTAATCCAACATTACATACAGTATAGTATATCTTCATATTTGCTTACATAAGACTAAACATCTTTGAGTATATATATAAACAATTATACAGTTATAATATACTGTTAGGATTTGGCAATCATTTCAAATTTAGATGCACTCATATTAAGTACAGTACATAATATTTGTTTAATTGTATAAATCAATGATATATGATTGCAATCATATTCAAAGATTATGTCATCGAATATAATAATATATTTATAAACTTTTATTTGCATGTGTTGTTTACTATAAATTTTTAAAAAATTCTAACAATAGATACAAACATTATTTTTAGTTTTATTAAACTAAATAAAAGATTATTCAAACATTATTATTTATTTATAAATAGTCTCTAACTGTCCTAGCCATATAGTTTAATTTTTAGAAATTGAAATAATTTTATAATTTAAGTCTATTAAAAGTAATAATAATAATAATAACAAAATAGTTGGAGTTGAATTTCATAAGTGTCTGTATATTGACTTATGATCTAAATGTTTACAATTTTTTCCTCGACATAAGTTAACAATTATATAAAAATGAACAAATCATGTGATGGTATTTATTATATTAATAATATTATATAATAATATTAGACAACATATGTAGCTCTCGACCTAAATCTTGATTAAAATGCTTTTATAAATTTTTTTTCTCTAACTATTTATCAGTATATAATAATGTACTGCAATGAAGTTAATTACATATGTGTTATAAATGAATTAAGATTTAAGATATAATAAGTTATTAAATAAAATTAATGTTACATTCAATTCAATAGTCTTATGATAAAAGCGTGAAAATGTTTTTTATTTATTTAATTAATGTATATAAATGTGAATCATTAAAGACATTTAAGAATTAAATAACTTTAAAAATAATTGTAATTTTTAATACTTAAAATTATATATTTTGATTAATATGTCATTTTTTGTAGTAAAGATATGATAAAAAGTAAATTTATTTTTTTAGAGTTAGTAAATGACGTATAAATTGTAGACAAATTTATGTAAATTATGATATTAAGTAATAATTGAAATAATAAATTAAACAAAACAGTTGTGTTATATAAATATTGTTTGTAAAGTTCTTTTATATTTATTATAAATATTTTGTGAATTACTATACCATAAAAGGCAAACATTATTAGACAACCATAATATAAAAATGCACTAAAATGAACTATGAGTATATTAGAAAATTACATAATATCAAGGTATTTATATACAATAGATGTCTAATAAAGTTTGCCTTTTACTGTATAATAAGTTATAGCTATAGCTATGTTTTTTCGATAGTTAAAATGGCCAAAATCGGTCGGGAAATTGGGATATAAATCGGGAAATTAAATTTTGTTTTTTCTTATAGTACTAATAATAAATAGTTTATATGTCACACAATCGGTTATATTTGCTAAAAATAATTTATTTTCAGTTTTTAATTGATCATAAAAATGCATTTAGTTTTTATTTATAAACTATACTTTTTAGTACTACAATTGTAAACAAAAAAAAATACATTAATTAATTTAAGTTTTACAGTAAATATTTTTACAATACATACAAAACTAGTTTTTATAGCAAAATATTATCTAAAATGTGTTTTCCTCTCAATACATATCATCTCATTCATTGCTATTGAGTTAATATTGTATTATATGTATCGCTAATATTGTAATTAATATGTATTTAAGGGTTATATCTAGTGTTGGCAAAAAAGAGAAATTTATAAAATAATAGAGAAATTTCTATTTATGTGATCCCCATGGTTAATTTTGTTTTCTCGATATTTGTTATTTTTATCATTGTTTTTATAAGTAATATTTAAATATTAGTATCAGTATTTTAATTATTAATTAAAGTAAAGAATTTATTTATTTAATTATACTAAACTATGATATAATAAAATGATGAATAAAATTTTACAAAACTGATTATTATTAAATAATTATAATTATTTATATAGGTATCCCATTTGTATAATAGTATTATACAGTAATCTACATTATATAGTACTGAAAACGGCAAACTTTATTAGACACCCATTATATAAATTCATTGATATTATGTAATTTTAGAATATACTAATAGTTGATTTTAATGCATTCATATATTATTGGTGTCTAATAAAGTTTGCCTTATACTATATAATATTATAAACTAGGGAGCATAGAAAATGAGAAATAAATTATGTTAAATTAAATAATCAAAAAATAATTAATTTTTTCCCCATTGGCCGCAATACAGGCTTCAATGCGGTTAGGCATACTGCCGATTAAGGAATCTAGATATTGTGGGACATCATTATCCCAAATATCTTGAATTATGGCCCTCCAGTTATCAATGGATCGGTCAGTCCTCATTTCCAACTTATCCTTCATTAACTTCCATAGATTTTCTATGGGATTGAGGTCGGGTGAGTTGGCTGGCCAGGAAAGCACTTCATACCCGTTGCTTTCCAACCACTCTTTGGTGTTCCTGACCGTATGGGGATTGCATTGTCCTGTTGTAAGACAAAACCCTGGTGATACAATGACCAAATGGATTATATGTGCTCATGAAAGACATCTTGGTATCCCTCAGCGTTGAGATGTCCTCTTATAACGGACAATGTTGTCATACCTCTCGCGCTGATACCTCCCCAAACCATATAGGCCCATGTTTTTGGGTTGGTTTTGATGGTCTAGTTCTTCCCCATCTTTTCAATTTTCTTCTGTAAACTTGAAAACTGCTTTCATCAGTAAATGCGACTATAGACCAGTCCCAATTTCGGTTTTGGCGGCACCACTGAACCCGATTTGCCTTTTGTTGTGGGGTTAGATTTGGCGTCAACTTCGGGTGCCATTTGAAGATCCCAGACCTCTTTAGTGACCGGGAAACAGTCCATCTGGACACTAGAGGACTTCCTCTCTGGGCTGCTTTGGTTGCAATAGCAGATGAACTCCAGAGGTCGTGATTTATGGCCAATTGTGTGATCCTTCGGCGGTCACTAGAGTTGAGTTTTGACACTTCCTGTTCCCGGCTTCCTTTGGATCCCATTTCCCGATTCGATTTTATTGATGACCGTACAAACTGTTGCTGAAGGTATCTTGGTCATCTCAATGATCTCTCTGGCATTTTTAATGGTGTTGTTCCAGTGCCAGAGGATTGTTTGCCGAGCGGTGGTTTGCGGACTTACCATTATTAAAAAGACGTGAATATTGGTTATTTGTTTGCATCTAATATATGATGTGATATATTGTTTTAAACCTCATTTTTCACGCTATTTAATAGACGTAATAAATGGTAAACAAAATATTTAAAATAAAACTGTTTATTCAAACTATTGTTTGAATTTATCATTTTCTTTGCTCACAAGTTTATGTATAGTATTATATGTCTCATTAATATATTTATAGTTTTACAATATCTATTGATATGGGGATCCCATAGTATAACAATAAAGTTAAATTTTTATAGAAATTTATTCCTTAGAAACTTTCTCAGGAAAATTTATTAGAAACTTTCTATTTGCCCATCTCTAGTTATATCAATCAATATTTAGCGAATTTCGGGAAAAACACACTTAAATAGTGTTTTTCGAGATTTTGTCAAAAAACACCATAAATCGGGAAAACAATAGGCGTTAATTTCATTCAAAATGTTTCCATATTTCTATAAATATTAAATTCCCGACGATTTAATAAATAATAAAGTTTCGGGAATTCCCGAAGAAGCATAGCTTTAGTTATAGCTAATAAATATTACGTATTTTTAATTTTTTAGCATTTATAATAATCATTATTAACCATGTTCATTTTAATTAAACACAATCTCCTGTTAATAAAAATTAATAACAAATAGTTTCATAAAGAGTTTAATTTGTTTAATTAAGTCTAAACCAAAATATAATTATATAAAAATGTGTGATTTCTAAGCGATCAATAATAGTTTTTTTTAACTTACTGTATAATTGTATAAATAATAATATATTTATATATTATTTATAAACTTATTTGGATTAGAATTACTGTATGATATTTTTATTAAAATAATTGTTATTTTAACTAAGGTTTTTGTATTACTATTTTTTATATAAATTGATTTTAAATTCACTTATAAGTAAAATTTTAAAATTACTGTAAGTAAATGGATTTAAAAAAACTTTTTTATTTTATATACAGTATTTTATTGTAGTAAACAGTCATAATAGAAAAAATATTAAATTATAAATTATATTTAATTTTTTTCAATAAATCAATAATTCTATCTTATTTTAAGATAGTTCGATGTATTTTAGTTAAAATGTATTCATGATTTTTTTTTGTGTTATAACTTATAAGTTAGAGTTAGCAAAAAGAGACATTTTAAAAATAATTGAGAAATTTCTAGAAGTTTTTAAAGGAAACATATTATGTATCAGTTTTACATTATATACTGTTTTTATAGTGATTCCATATTACAATAAAAAATAAAATTTATCTATAGAAATTTTCTTAATAATTTTAATAGAAATTTTTATTTGTCCATTTTTAGTTATCGTAGAAAAAATATATTATTTATATAAATTTTTGGTCTATTATTGTGGAATATAAAAATAAATTTGTTATAATTCAGTTTTTTATTTTTATAAAAATCAGAAATATTCTTTAAAATACAATATATTCTTAAGTAATAAATATTACAATTTTTCAATTAACTGAAAATTGAGATTCTTGTGGAATATCATTTAAAAAATTATTTATAACTTTAATTTTTTAAATTTTTTAAATTGATATAATTTTTATCATTTATTTTCATAGATTCTATATTTGGTTTTATTTATTACAATATCTACTTTTATTATATTATTGAATAGATTTTTCTACACTTAATGTTATTAAATAAAATATGTATATTTTTATTATAATTTCTTATTAAAACTTGTTAATCACTTCAAACAGCGCAATATATTATAATATTAATTTATTGTATATTATCTTAATTAAATAAATGATCGATTATAATGTAAAAATAACTATTACTGTAAAATATATTAAATATAAAATTTATTTTTATATACAGATACAAAATTGAATTAACCGCAAAGTTAATATTATTGCGTTGTAATACTGTATTTAATAATGTACTGTATTTTTATTTTTTATATATAATTTAAGTCTAGACTCGTTTTATACATGTACTATAAATAAGTGTTTTTTAGAAAAACAACAACTATTCAAAACTATAACAAATCATTATTGTAATACAAAAGACTTACTGATAAGGTTTTAACGATAATTATAGGACACAACATATTTTTGTTAGACATACAGTATAAGTGCTATAAATTATTATAAAATATAAATAATTTATTTTTTATATTCAATAATAAACTAAATATTTACTATTAATTAAAGTTTGTGATAAAACTTATTAATATTAATATAATAATAAAATTATATAAATATGTTAACAAATTGCAGAATCTTATGGATAGAATACAACAGAAATCACTTTTACTATATATTATAATAGAAAACTAAATGACATTTAGTTACCAAAATAACATCAACTAATTTAAATCACTTAATTTTTATATTAAAAAGATTATTGTTTATTAAATTTTATATATATTATAGAGATTTAAGTACTAGTTTAAAAAATTATTATTACTAGTAATAGACATGGATTTTAAAATAATCTTTTAGCTTATACTAAAATAAAAAAAAGGTTAACTCTTGACATTTGTTAGTTAACTTTAAAATATCTGATATGAAATAATTTTATAAAAGTTTGTCAACAAATTATTTAAAAATAAATAAATAGTTTATTTATAAAATTATTTTAAATTATAGGCCGATTTGATTGATCTATTGATGTTAGTCTGCAGTAGATTTTCAATACCTCCGACGCGAACATCGGATCTAAAGGCAACCTCTTAAACAACACATCAATAATATCATGAAAACTATTTTGATATTTAATAAAAGATATAAACATATTATACCTTATTATACTTATATTGGATATTATATTATAATAAAATAAAAACTATCATTTTTTACATCATTGTTACACATTTTTCAATTTGAAATCAAATTTATAAATACATATACTTTATATTTAAAATGCCTTAAATGTTTTTTCATTTAAAATTATTATTTTTTCACAAATGTTTTTTCTCATTAATCTTATACTGTAATTAAATAATATTCTTAAAATTATTAATTTTTTTATATTACAATGTATATAAACAATTTTGTTGTATAAATTATATATTAGCTTTAATCATATTGACTTTATTGATAATGATATCATATAATTAATGATTTGATAAATAATAATTTATTTTCATTTACTTCTCATGAATATAATTTATATATTATTTAATTATTAAAATATTTTATATTTTGTTATTAATACACACATAAAAACAAAAATATTACAATTTTTATTTTATTAAATAAATTATTGTTATTATAACTTATTTTAAATATTTAATGGTATGATATGTTGATGTTTATAAACCAGTATTTAACATTTTATTGATCTCTCTGTATACAGTATATACTAGTGATTAAAATTACAAATAAAAAAATATATTTTTATTAAATAATAATTTATGTAAAGAAATTTGATAAATTAAAAATTTAATCTTGTATTTATATAATTCTAAAAATTTAAAAATGTGGTTGAAATAATTTTTAACTTTTAAATAAGAAAATTATCATTATATTAATAGCACTTAATTTAAATGACTGGTATATTTTTTTGGATAATTAATATTGAAAAATGTTATTAATATTGATTGTACTGTAATAGACAAAAATAAACAGAAAACTGATTACTTACTTGTAATTTTAAATTAAAATTTTTGTATTTTTTTTTTTGTTTTACATTACATTCTTTATAATTATCACATTAATGTTTTAGTTTAAATTTATATTTAAAATTTTTTTATAATATAAATGTAAATTATTTATTAAAATGATTACCAAAATTTTTGAAAAACAGAGCATTTATTATAATATTTTCTAGATATTATTTAACTATTGTATAAAATATAAAGTATTGATATATTATTAATTAATAATTAAAAAAAATATATAACCATTTGTGCGAAAAAATAAAATAAACAAAAAAAATGTAATACTTATATAAAAATATATATAAAATATATTTTAAAAACTAAAAATTATATGATATTATTTGATAGATAATATTTATGATAATATAAGTAATTAAAAGCCTTTATTTTTTATTTAATTTCGATGTAATAGTTTCAGTGACTTTCTCGAGATGAGTAGTCAAAAAGTCGGCCTCAGATCCCAATACGGTATAGACATCAAAACGGCCGACAAAGTCCTGTAAATGGAGACACAATTAGTATAAAATAGAGACAATCAATTGGCCTAAAAAACATGACAAACCTCTCTCCTGAAGCCATAGCTATTGAGAGCTGTTTCCTGAAGCACTTGAAAGTCTTCTTCCTTTTTAAGAAGTTTGATGAGTGACACATCTGTGGTCACTTGTTTGAGTTTCTTCTTCACCACTTTACTCGAATGTGTCTGTGATATGGATTTCATTTTTTCGATATTCTTCTTCTTGTATTTGATGACCATATCTGCCCTTTCAAATGAACCTCTGATGATATCTTCGACGTCCTTTCCGTGTAAATGTTTTCCTCCGTAATGTTTCATTAGTTCAATGAGTTTAGTGATGCGCGCCTGTTCTCCCTTAATCTCCATCACATCCTTTTGGATCTGATTAATGATACGCTCCGGTATGTAAGCCTTCAGATAAGTAAATACCATTTCAAAGCGTTCATCAATATTCCAGTCTTGGTTCTGAAGACCTGTTGGATCAAACGGATCGAGTAATACCAATGCTCTAATCGGAACTTTCTTGCGGCACATTTGAATGCCAATAACGGCTCCAAATGAATGTCCGACTAAATCATAATCTCCTTCGGGCGCCAATTGTTTGAGTTTTTCTTTATAATAAATGGCAACTTTCTTGATATCCTTAATCTCTTGCATTGCTTTCATCCAATTTAATGCCACAACCGGTCGGTCTAACTCTTTAGCCAACGCTCTCAATGATTCAAAGATACCCTCAATTGGGGGCAAAAAGAATATGGGTTTTCCTGTTAACGGAATCAAACAATTTATAAAAACAATCAAAAAATTATAATTAAATTTTATAACAAAGACCTGTCTTGACTTCATTAATAAGAGTTGTTTGTTCGTTAGGGATATCAAACTTAATCTGCGAGAGATTAGCTCTGGCTTTCTTAATGTCGGCGGCGTATTGCTTAAGACTGTCTTTCTTGCCATCTCTAAACTCTTTAAGCTCACCCACAGTGATCTTCTTTATGTCAGATAATGCAAGAGAAATATCATAATCTCTTTCAAGACGTTGTTGAATCTCGACAGCAGCCATACTATCCAACCCAACGTCACCTAATGTTTCATCATTTGGTCGTTTATCAATTCCCAAATGATTACATAACTGATGAAGAACTTCATCTTCAGAAGTGCCTGACTGATGCTCGAGATCTGCTTTAACAGTGGATGCCATCACAGCATTTGGACATTGCATGAAACGGTCCAACACATCAAAGCATGAAGAGATGCGTTGTAGAAGAATACCAGCAAACAGTTTCATCATATCTGCCTTTTCGTCGGAGGCTAACAGCTGTTCAGCAACAATACCAACGTCACCAATAGGACCCCATTGAATGGAAAGGCCGGGAAGTCCTAAAATAATTAATAACAAATCATTTAATAACATTTTAGGGTTAGATTGAAACGATTGAAACAAACCTTTAGCCCTTCGAATCTCACAAATCCTTTCCATACCAGAGTTGGCGTAACCATAATTGGTTTGACCGGCGTTACCGCGACCTGAAGTCAGCGATGAAAACGCAACAAAATAATCCAATTCCGGACATTTCTTTTGTGTCACGACATCCAAGTTAAGCAAACCTTCCAGTTTTGGTTCACAACACTCTCTAAATGTTTCAGCGGTTTGGTTCTCAAGCATAGCGTCTTTCAAGACAAGGGCTAAGTTGAAGACACCGCCTACCGGTCCCTTAGTATTGGCCTCATCTATCAAAGCGTTAGTTCCCTCTAAAGTGGTTAAGTTATGCGTTGAAATTGTTATATCTATTTTATAATCTTCAATAAGTTTTCCAAACTCTTTGAATCTCTTTAAGTATAACTGTTGGTATGCATTCTTAATGCCAGTTCTTGAAGTCAATATCAACTTCTTGGCGCCTCTTAATACTGTCCAATACGCCAATTCAAGACCAAAACCACCCAAACCACCGATAATTATATATGTCTTAAAATATATAATATTTATTAATTAATTAGAAATTACTGCAACTGTAATGTAATCATACTTTGATCGGATGAAACCAAGTTCTTGTGGTTGCCTTAACCACCAATGGCTTTGGTGTTATCACAATCTGTTCCCGTTCTTCATCTCGTATTTTGATTAACACTTTGCCCACGTGTTTGCCAGTTGTCATATATCTGAAGGCTTGTTCAGACTGTTTCACATTGAATACAGTCTTCTCTATGGGCTTAACAACACCTCTTGCGATACCATCGTTAAGAAGTCGTGTTATTTCTTTCATAAATGACTGCAACTTCTTAGAAGAGGGTCCCTCACGGAAGATGCAGTCGAGACCAACGCCATGAAATGATATGTTGTTTAAAAATGCAAATAAACCTAAGTTTTTATTCATTTGCATATCATATTTGCCAATCTCTAAGAACCGTCCATTTGGTGCCAGACAACGAAGCGATGCCTAAAATGTAAAAAAAATATTTTATAAAACTTCAACACTAATATCAATCTTATCGCACCTGTAGTTTGTCTTCAGTTAGTGAATTAAGTACGACATCAACTCCTTTGCCTTTGGAAATAGTCATAAATTGTCGTTCAAATGAGACATCGTGTGAATTGCCGATGTGGTCGTCATCGATACCGAACTTGGATTTAATGAATTGACGTTTCTCTTCATTTCCAACCGTAACATACACTTCACATCCCATACTTTGACATATAAATATAGCCGCCTGTCCCACACCACCGGCACCCGAATGAATCAAAACAGACTCTCCCTCTTGAAGACTGCCTCTCATTATAAGTGCATAATAAGCTGTTGTGTACACCACGGGAACAGTGGCCGCGTCCTCTAAAGTCCAATCGTCGGGAACGTCCCACAAGTAGTCTTTGTAAGTAAGAAGTGTTGTTGCAATACCTTTAAAGGGAACCATTCCCATCACTTTCTTTCCGTTATCACTACGACGTCCTGCAAATTCCAAACCAATTATACAGTCAAAGAGTGCACCTTCAGGTCCCGGTTGTATTTTACCGGACACTAACACCACATCCTTTAGATAGTCATTAATAATGTTATTATTTGTTTATTTAATAACTTTGTTTTAACTAAATCTTACTTTAAAATTAAGGGCTGAGTAATAGACATTACAGAGAACTTCCTGTTCCTTCTTATTTTTTTCGGCCAAATTTGGGAAATACTTGTGATGTGCGTCAAACCATTTCAAACTCGACATATCTCCTCGAGTGACAACATTGAGATAAGCGTGTTCTGAGTCAATGGTCTCCTGTTCCTCCGGTAATAGTATGTGTCTCAGTGAACCCCACTTTCCATTTTTAAATATATTGCAAACTAAATCTGTTTCAAACAATTCATTGTAAGGACTTTTCTCGAAGTCCACCTCTTTATCCAATTTCTGGTCGTAATCAAAGATACAGCGAACAAAAACACCCCCCGATTCCTGACGCAAACAATTTAATAGACCAATAGTGCCGTTATATGGCGAGTCATTGGCCACAAGCCATATATTTTTAGGATCGTCTGAATCCTTGTTCTCAACCACTATCTTCTTAAGCGGTTCGACCCAATCCTCATAATTACCATTAGGTATATTCAAAACAATTGGTTTTCTTCTATCTGTCATAACTTTTCTGAAGACAGCTATGTTAGTAGTATAAGAGTCACTCTTTTTTCCGACTAATTTGAGACCGGCCTTCGGCGCCAACTCTATAAATCTGTCCAATTCTTTGACCGATAAGATTCCGTGACTTGAGTTTTGTCCTAATAATTCGTAAACAGTATTTTCTGGTGGCGTTAACTTAGATCTTCCCATTAAAAATAGGAAACCATTGAACTAAATCAATATAAATAAAAACATTAACTAAAATTATTGATAATAATAGTGTAAAAAAACAAACCTTAAGTGTATCACTTAAAGCGTGGATCTGATCTTCAAGTTTCCAAGAGTTAACAACTTTGTTTGTCATTTGATAGACCAATAAGTCAAGCGATTGGATATCTTTAATAAACTGATTTGTATTCAAATCCCATTCCAGTGTCTTCAGGTTCAATGCTTTTGTTTCTTCTGGTATATTGGATGGACAGGTATTGACAATAGTGTAATCAACATTAATAAGTCCAATACACGAGTCTTTAATTTTATTAATCAATTGATGTCCAAAAACACTTTGACTGGCATTCATCTCCAATACCTTCATCTGTGTCTTATCGGTACTATTTTCAAGAACTAAGTCTACAAACGGCCGAATAAATCGTTCACTTGTATTGACAGTATTAATCAAATCTGTGGTCAAATTATTCTCTGTCTTTTCAATGATTTCTTTGATGGCAACTTCAAGATCAACCGATTCTTTCTTGTTTTCGTCGATTACATTTTGATTTGAATCCATTTTAAGATCAACCAATTCCTTCAACAATTTCATTAGTCTCCAGTTGTCTTCTGGAATCTCTGTATATTTCTTGACCAGTGCCTCGTTGGCTGATTTATAACCATTAAGTACTGGTTTACTAACTTTAGGAGTAATTTGTGACACCTTTTCAGCCAAAGCACAGCAAACAGATATGTATTCAATGAGATTATCTTTAAATGGACTCTCAATAGCCATATCCTCGAAATGTGGTATAAAATCGTATTTCTCGAGAGTTAATCCTTGTTGTCCCGGTCTTCGCGGAACATTCACTGGAATAAAACCTTTTATTTCTAGACCTCTGGTGACAATTGATCTAAAATTCAGATCAAATGAAACGGGAAGTATAGATATTTTGTCTTCATCTTTGTTTTCGTTGTCGAGACCAATGTTAGTGATGCCTAATATCTCTGATGCCATCTTATCTTCTCCACTACCCATCGCTGCTTTAATTTGTTGTTTTACCACATAATCTGCTTCTTTAGTTTCATTCTCATCCATGTCTGGTCTAATCTCACTAATAATCTCCGTTCCTTTGATGTCTTCTTCGGTATTAATCTCATCCAAACCCTTCGCTTTATTATTTTCTCTAAAATAGAAAAATTCTGGTTTTTCTTCATTATCTTCTGTTTCTTCTTCTTTTTCTTTTTTAACTTTTTCTATGGCTTCAAACAAAACGTTTGGATCGCAACGTATGGATTGAAAGCCAATCGGTATGAATAATGTACGTATGGGTAGAGCCACGAGTGCTAAATGCATAACTGAGTCGACAAAACTAACCCAATGACCGGTCCATTTGGCTTTACCGCGTCGGCCATCACCTCTGGCCTCAACCAATCCTTGAAATTTCTGACCGTAATCATAGCCACGAATTCTTAACTCTTTATAAATGTCTTTATTGTACAAAATTTCATGCATTTTTTCGTCATCTTTGTCTTCATTAATTTCTTCGTCTAACTGATCTTGCATTTCAAGAATCGGATCTTCAGGTATCGACACTTTACCTGTACAAGCAATAGCATTGTTCTCCGAAATGGTGAAATCTCCCGTTCCTTCGAGGACTCGGATTATGAATTTAACTTCAGTTGTTTCGGATAACAGTGTCGGCCGATAAAACCTATTAACAATATTTACATTATATACACAAATAAATTTCTGTATTTAAAATATTTGATAAAATTCTATACAAACCTGACATTCTCGAAGTGCACCGGTGTCTTCATCCATGGCTGTCCTCTCATGGCAGCCAATCGTCTCCAAGCCATCATCAGATAACCTGTGGCCGGAAATATGACCCGACCGTCAACGGCGTGGTCTTTAAGGAAATTCCAATCGGCTTCGAGTAATGAGAACTTCATGACAAAGTCCGAAGCGGTCGCATAATTGTGAAACTCTGGAAACTTCTTGACCTCATAACATCTTTCGTGATCCCATTTCATCAGTGAACTGATTGATTGTGTTCCCCGACATACTGGCCATTCAACTTTTGGATAGAAATTTTCAATTGTAGGATTCAAACCTAATGTAAATAGACGTCCGATGGCCGACATAAAGAAAGTCAGATTATCTGATTCGGTGCGCTTCATGAGTCCAGTGTATGTCAGGGATGGGAAACATCTCTTGAAAATTGACTCAAAGAGTGAATGCGGCGCCACTTCTATAATATACGAGTTTTTGCCGATTTCTCTCATGCCTTCATTGAATAGCACCGGACTTATCATATTATTTGTAAAATATTCGCCTAAATTTGAAAACATATGATTAAGTAAAACAATGACACAAAATAAGACACAAATAGCAAACCTGAAGCATATTTAGCTGTTTCTGATTCCCACTGCTCTCTTGGGAAAGAAGTGGAGACCCAGCGCTCACTTCTTTGTTTAGGATTAGGAATGACTTTATTGAGTGCTTCAATCAAAGGTGCGGCCACTATATTCATGAAAGGACTGTGATATGGAAAGTCCCCGCCGGCCACTTCACGGGCGAAAATATTTTCAGTTTTCAATTGTTCGACAAACTTTGCCATATTGTCGTAAAGACCAGAAATGGTGACCGAATCGCTTCCATTATGACATGCGGCTACAATACCGTCGGGACACCGTCTCTTTGTTTCATCCCATGTCATACCAACCGCAGCCAACATTCCTTTCAATCAATTAATTGTATAATTAATAAGTTTATTAGAAATAAATTTAATTTTTAAAAAAAATGTTTACCTTTGGGTAGTTTTGAAGTTTCTACGATTTTTCCTCTCCAATAGGCTGTCAGCACAGTCTGCTCTAATGTTAGACATCCATCAGCATAAGCACAGGCGACTTCACCAAATGAGTGACCAATAATGCCAACCACTTCAATACCCAATAAACAAAATGTATCATAAAGTGCTATTTGCATGGATGTGATGGCAACAAAAGCATTGGTCGGACATTTTTTAAGGGCCGTGTCGTCATCGCTAAGCAATAGATGCCACAAATCAATACCAAACTGTTCAAGAGTTGCGGCACATTGTTTGAGTGTATCTGAGAATGTCTTAATTGGCATCAATTTTTTTGCCATTCCTGTCCATTGACTGCCCATTCCGGAGAAGCAAAGCCATACTGGATTAGGTCTGTTGGCGTCACAAATGGTGCGCTCGTATTCATATTGTTTAAGAGAACTGTTTTCATTAGACTTTTCTTTAACAATCATATATCCTCTGTACGGAAAATTTGATGAACCCTTAATTATCTGTGTTTTCATTGATTCTCCAAGAAGTGCCAAAAAGTCTTTGTGTACTTTCTTTGGATTATTTTCAATAAAATCAAAGATATAGTTAACGGCCGCTTCATTTCTTCCCGAGACATTCACCAGACGAGGAATGGGATCACAAATATTATAGGTGTCATCTGTTGCCTCTCTTTCATTGGACTTAAGCAATGCGTGTGCGTTAACACCTCCGACGCCAAAGGAGTTGACGCCAACAATACCGTTCTCGAAGGGAGTGTTTTTCATCACTGGAATCAGTGTTTTATTGACGACACACTCGATCTCAGGTTTTGGTTCTTCATAATGAAGATTAGCGGGAATGCATTTGTTTTCAAAGGCCACTATAACTTTGGCCAATGAGCACAAACCCGATGAGCCCTCGCTGTGACCTAAATTACTTTTAACGGCTCCTAAAAGTAAAGGTTCCTAAAAAACATAATATTATTATCAAATTAATAAAATTTTAAAATAAATTTATTTAAATTATGACAAACCTTTCTTTCGTGACAATAAGCGTCAGCAATAGCTTTAGCCTCCTGTGGATCGCCAACATTAGTACCGGTGCCATGAGATTCAAAGAACTTAATTTCGTTGGGATCAACGCCTGCCTCTTGATATGTCTCAATCATGAGATCTCTTTGTCTTAACCAAAATGGCGAAAACAGACCAATTGATTTGAAGCCATCTGTATTTGTCTTTGCGTGTAATACAGTGGCGTAAACACGTTTGGCATCACTTCTTTTCTGCAGAAATATTGATCCCACGGTTTCCGATCGCACAAATCCGTCGGCCTTTTTATCCCATACTTTGCATTTGCCATCCGATGCGAGTAAACCAATGGATTGATATATACCGTTAGAAAACGGGGCCTGAGTTAGATTGCCAGTGGCCACTATAGCCGCATCACAATTTCCCGTACGAATGTCTTGTAATGCATTAGTCAGGGCTACCATTGAGGCTGAACAGGCAGTGTCTATCAAAGTGCTCGGACCGTGAAAGTCAAACAAAAATGATATTCTGTTGGCGTACAGGGGTTTGGCCGACCCATACACCCAAAGTGCCGCCTCTTTTCTGCGACAGTCATTGTAGTCGTCCTGAGGTAAGCCATCCGCACAGGCTTTACATTAATGTAAAAATTTATCATTTAATATCTCAATTTATTTTTATTATTTTTATTTTTCAAATTATCAATATATTATTTATTATTAAATTATTATTATAAAAATTAAAATCTACTTAATTATACTAATTTTATACAAATTTTATATTTAAAAGCAGTATTATTATTTAAAATTTGATTTATATTTAAAAATAAATAATAATTTACTATAAACTGAATAAATATTAACTATTGTATACATAAATTGATTTTGATGTAATCTATCAATAAACTAATTGCTTTTTAATTGATTTATATTTTTATAGATTAATTTAAATATCTTTTTACATTATATACAAATTTTTTATATGCTTTAAATATTTAAACTTGTTTTACAGTACTTTAATCATTTATTTATTTATATGGAAACTTAGTAAAATTTTAAGATCAATAAAATTTAAATATCTGATTTAAAATTTAAATAAGTAATATAATAATAATATAAACTTTATAAAAACTAATATTATTTTTAAATATACACTTAAAAACAAATTTCATGACAATTAGTTATAAATATCAAAATGCGATTTAAATGATCTATTCAAAATATTTTTAAATAAAAATTATATTTTTATAAATTAGAATTTTTAGTAATTAATGTCATTTAATTGAAAAAAATTATTTAAAACAATCATTTGTCAAAAACTAATAAAAATTTAAAATTTAAAAAAATAGAATAAAATTCCATAATCTACTAATTTAGATAATAAATTATAAAAATATATTATCAATATTATTAGTAAACCCTTTGATTATATTAATAGAATAAAGTATTTTTGTGACGATAATTATTTTTAAAATTTCTAAAATATGTGGAGTTATAATTAATCTATAAATTTAGCAGTAATTGTAATACATATTTTTTTATAAACGTGGATAAAACACCTTAAGCTATGTTTTTAAAATACATGTTAATACCTATATATATATATATATATATTTCATTACTAGAAAAAGTCAAATGAGGTTATCTGAAAGCGAAGTAGACTTTAGTTTTTATGTCTATAACAACTCTCAGATCTATAACTAAATATATAATTTCTAACAATTATTAATATTCATAATTATTATACTCTATTAGTGTAAATATTGCATAATTAATATCAATATCAATATATATATATATTAAAATGAGTTAATATAAGATGCAAATATAATGTGTGTTACACTTACCGACTGTATTAATGCCAACGTAGACACCAGTTTTGGTACCTCTGAGTGACTGAGGACAGACACCGGCATCTATAATGGACTCATAAGTGGTCTCAAGCATAATGCGCGCCTGTGGGTCCATTGCATCGGCCAATAAAGTAAGTGTACTGAAATAGGATGAATCAAATTTGTCGATCTGCTTGAGTTTACCCGTACGAGAGCCCAGACCATCGTTAAAAGCTAAACAAAAATACATAGACTTGTATTGACTGATAGCAATAATAAAAAACTCTTAGACTTACCAATAGGCCATCGACGGTCATCTGCGGTAACCATATCTATATTACTGAAAAGATTGTGTGCGTACTCATCCATATTGTCGGACTCCGGGAATCGCCCGGAAATACCGCTAATAACAATATCTTCGGTAATTTCAAACTTTGGCATTGGCTTAGGTTTAGGTCTCGGATAACTGACTTGTGTATCCATTCCTGCGCCTTCAGGAATGGGTTCACCAGACATGCCATTCATATCCATTATGAGCACCTGTTTGTCCGCAAGTCTTCCTCTTTTTACTATTGGTTACTAATAATTTAGTTTTCTATTATTAGTCACAAATTGCTTGAGTACTAAATATTATTGAAACAATAATTACTTTACTATATTTAATATACAAAAGTCAAAACTAGTAATATAAAGTTTAGATTACACATATAGATAATAACCAATTAAAATAAGTTTTATAAACAATTTATAATAAATAATAATAAATCATTTATTTTAAACTTTGACATCAATAATCAATACTTTAAACAAAAAATAATATATAATAAAAACTCTGTTTTTCTTTTTAAAAAATATTAATTATTATTAAACTCTTGAAAATATCACTACTATTCAGCAAAACTATTGATGAAGAAATAGATGTTTCTTAGAGAGCGATAAAAGTGAAAGTGGTTGTGATATTCAGATAACTGTCCGTTTTTAGGGCTCTCCTCTCACTTTCCAAATGCTATGTCTGTTCGTTACGAAACACTATTGCAAAGACGGAAAGTCATACAAATCCAGTTGTACTGAATTATACTAAACCATAGTTTACAACCATTAATAAGCTAATGGTTGGGCTCTAATCTTACTGTTTTCACTCATTTTTTTTATCTAATAAATTAATTATGAATTTTTGTTTCAACTTAAAAATTAATATATAACATATAATAAACTAGAATAATTAATTTATTCTAAAATTACCTGATCGTTACAGTTTTAAAATAAGTTAATTAGCTTTACTTGTGAATTATAAATAAATTATAAAAAATTATATTTTAAAAATTATACTAGTTTTAGTATAATGGCTTTTAAGTAATTCATAAAATATTTTTATATAAGTTATTTAATAAATTTTATATAAATATATATTTTTATATTTTAATATTTGTAAATATTTTTGACAATTTTAAAAATTATGAAAATTAATTAATTAGTGTATTATAATCAAATGACTTTGTAATTTTATATTATAATAAAAATTGTATAAATTAATTATATTCAATATATATGTTTAATATTACAAACAATATTATTATATAATAATAGTAATAAATAGATATATTTTTTTATAGATTTACAAAAAAAAATTCACGACAACTAATATCAAGGATTTGAATAAATTAAAATATTGATGACGTGAGGGTAAACATATACAGAATGCAAAGTATACCTAATAACAGGTCATAAAATTTTGATCCAAATTTTTTTCACAAGAAATTCAATAAATTTTCATAAAATTATCTACAAATGAATAAAATTATGGACACATTTTCACAGATATTTGTCGATAGAGTTCATTGCAAACAATATTATTTACTATAATTCAATGAATAGACTATTAAAAATAAAAAATGCAGAAATATATTAATATACAAGTGTAACATTTTACTATAGAAAACATACTGTACGTAAATTATATTATTAATTTGAATAATTGATATATTTTTAATATAATTTAGTTGAATTATAAAAATTATTATATATCTATATATTTTATCCAAATAAATAAAAATAAATTATTATAGCTTATTATTTTAGTGAAATTTATTAGAAATTATCATTTGCTGATTTATATTCAATTATTTATAATATAAAGGTATTATTCTAATAATTTTCATAAATTAAATGTACATAAAATAGACTATAATATACTTAAGTATTTTAAGTTTATTATAAAAAAATAAAAATATATAAAAATGTATTTTTTAATTTTATAGAAATTGTTACTTTTATATTAATAGCTTATTTACTCTTTAAGTTTATTAAATATTATGGTTAATATAATATATACTTAAAAATTATGAAAGTTTGATACTTATGATATAAGATACATAAAATTTAATAAAATTGTGTTAAAACTTTATGTCGTAATAATTATATTAGATACTAATCTTTAATTATAAAGATATAATAAAATTAAATATCAAATATATATAGTTAGTTACTATTAGTAACTTTTAAATAATTACAAAATACATTGCAAATAAATGTTAAAATGTCTTTACAGTAAAATGTTCAGTATATTTTTAATTTTATTTAACTTATAATTTATAATAATATATATTTTTATAAAATGGCTTTTAATAATTTTTTTTGAACATATTTAGAGTAAATTAATTGGAATCTAATAAACATTAAACAAATTATTAAATGCATATATATTTATTCATTACTTTAATTAAATTCAATAAATAATTTTAAAATGTTTAATATTAAATTTTATTTATACAACCCAGCTAAAATATAAAATATATTTTTATCTATTAAAGTAAAAATTATTTTACTTATATTTGTATTTTAACAACTCTATATAATACTTTAAATTTAAATATATCATTAGATATTTAGAGCAATATACTGATTTAATTATCATATGTCTTGCATCTAATAAATTAATAATTAAATAATTAATTCATTAAACATATATTATTAGTTGTCAAATGACACAAATGATACAAAAAAATAATTTTAATATATAATTGATTTATATTATACTAAATATCAGGTCATTTCGTTAAATTATATTACAAATACAGTGTGTATAGTGTCAGTACAAAGTGTCAAAATTTTTTGTTTGTATTATATATTATTGTTTATATCATATAAATATTGTGATTTTTCCATCAAATTAATTATAATATTGTTATTTTAAAAAGTTCTTATTTTTTAAAAATATATTGTAAAATATTAACAATTTTTTCTTGTTAAACCAATTTGTCAAAAACTTTTTTAGTTTATATTTTGATACATTAGAAATACAGTAGTTTGGGTACAAACTGTTTCTATAATATTATACATTATTATACTAACATTTGATTAGTTGCTAACATAAGTTGTACTCTCAAAAGTTGCTTTCAATTAGATATCTGAATTTATCCACATCTGAATGTTATATTAATAAAAAATTATTTTGTGACAAACATTTAATTTATTGTTTATTATTTTATTTAGATTCAAATAATATAAGTAATTAAATTGACAAATTTAAATTTTTATTTGTATTTTTATGATTTACATAATATTTATAATATTTATTTAAATCAATTTATATATGTAATAAAAAGATATATAATATATAGTTTTCAATGCATAAATTTACTTATAAATATTAATCTTATTATTTTTTAACTATCATTTAATAAAATTATCTACTGAACATAATACAGTTAAAATTACTTTATAAAAAATAATAAATTTTTATATACACGATTAAATTAATATAATCATATATACAAAAACATCATTACATACTTAATAATTTGTGATTTATATTATATACTCTTCAAATAAATATAATTGATTTTAATAAGTAATAACATCATAATAATCTTTAGAAAAACAATAATTTTAATGTGATATAAATAAATATAAATATGATAATTGATGTTAACCATGCTATATTGCTTTAAAATTGTTTGTAAATAAAAAAAATAAAAAATAATTATATTTATTTTTTGCTAAATTAAATTTTGTTGGTCATTACATAAAGTAATTAAATATTATTGAATTTCTTTTTTGTGGTTTTATAGTTAAAGACAAACATATAATTATTGACTAATAATATAAAAACATTCAATAAATGATTTATTATTTAATTGTTATCTTCAAAAACTAAATTTTCTTGAAATATATTGAGATTATATCTATTATATTTGTTATATTTGTTATATCGGGACATAAATCTATATAATATTAATGGTTATTAATATTAAAATTAAATTTGCACGATTAATATACAAAATATAGAGTATGCAAATAATAACAGTTATAAATATTATACAATATTATTCATTATAACATATTTTTGTTTAATATAAAATTTTATAATTATTTTTATTTATTATTATTATTGTTATTGTTATTTTTTTTCGTTTTGTTTTTTATTAATTTAATCAAAAAAATTTATCTAAATTTTTACTTTCTGTTAATATTTAATTATTTTTAATTAAATTAGTATTTTTAACCATATAATTTGATTTAATAAATTTTTTATTCAGTTATGATAAAAACTAAAAAACAGTATTTTTGTTTAATATAATATTCAGATTTAACTGATATCTAATATTTTAATTTATATCACTAATAAATTTAAAGCTGTCTTAGTTTATAAAACAAAAAGTCTATTTACTGATAATTATAATTTATAATGTTTATAAATATGTAACAAATAATATTAGATTATGCGATATCACTGAGTTTAGTACAAGTATTTTCTGTTTCAAATCTATGATAGTTTATAAATTGTTAAACTGTTTTTGATGTAACTTTAATAAAATACTAGTAAAACAATATTTTTAAATAATAATGGAAATAGCATTAACTGCAAAAAGAGTACTAATAACTGGTGCCTGTGGGGGTAAGTTCAACAAATTTGATTCATCAATCAATTAATTAGAAACAACCAAAAATTAACGTAAATTTTATTGTAATATATTTTTTATATATATATAATTGAAAGGTATTGGAAAAGCGTTAATCAAGAAAGTAATTGATTGCAAAGGTTTTGTCATAGCTTTGGACGTGAGGTCGGATCAGTTGAGGTTATTGAACGAAGAGGTTTGCTTTGACTATCATTATATTATTTATAATAAAATGTGTAATCCGTGTGTCATTTGACACAAATGTTTTTTTTTGTTTTTAATTTGTGTTATTTTATAAAAAATAAATAATTAGCAATTAATAATTCGTATTCGTATTCATATTATTATTAACAAAATTCTCATATATTGTTATTTTTCTAAATGATATTACCATAAATTGTTTTACAATTGTATTATATATAAAAAGTTAATTTTATAATCTGATGCCCCAAATGATGGTTAAATATCGTCTAACACTGAATTTTCTGATTATTATTTTGTTTAATTAAAATTACAAGTTTATCTAAATTTTTAATGAGTTTACTGCTCATATTAGATTAATAATTAGTAATAAATATATAAATTAAACAAATTATGCAAATAATTATTTTATACAAATCAATCATTTCAAATATTTGCTAAATTAATTTTTAAGTATAAATCAATATTATCTATACAATTTGTGGGAATTTTAATAATGTTTATTGATTTAAAGTTTCAAAAAACAAAAAAAAATATTAGTACTTATATTTATAAAACTAGATATTATTATTAAAATTTGTATACAGTTTTGAAATATGATAAAATAAAATCGTTACTTAATTTATTAATGTTATTATATTATTAATAATATTGTTGCTTGAATTTAATTTTTAAAGATATTTTATGTTTTAAGGATAGATTAACAATTTAACAATATTTTTATATAAAATTGATTATTAATTTATTGGTTATCCAAATGAATAAATAAATTATTATAAATACTGTATTGTGAAACATAATAATGCAGACAATCGATCAAAATATATAGAATTAGTTTATATAAAAAGTTTTAGATTAAATCAAAATTGAAATTTATTTATTTTATAAAAATGTTTAATTTGATACTAATTTAATATTAAATAAATTCATAATTTTTGAATAACAAAAAATATTTGACAAAACAATTAGTTTGTGGGAAATATTGAGACGATTTGCGTTGATTTAAACGACTGGAATGCTGTTATAAAAGCCTTGAATTGTATCTCAAGAATAGATCTATTAGTGAATAGCGCCGGCATTTGTTTGCTTGAATCGGTCGGTGCGGTCACACAACAGGCAGTGGACAGACAATTGTCACTTAATGTCAACGCTCTCATCAATATCTCTCAAACAGTGGCTCAACAGTGGATCAAAACTAAGACAAAGGGAGTGATTGTCAACATATCGAGTCAGTCAAGTATGAGAGCTCTTAAAGATCATGTGGTCTACTGTGCGACCAAAGGAGCCGTCGATCAGATCACTAGAGTTATGGCACTCGAGTTAGCCCAACATCACATCAGAGTCAATGCAGTCAATCCAACAGTCGTTTGGACCGATTTGGGTGAATATTAACTCATTTTTCAATTATTAATTGTATTTCAATACATCAATCAAATACAAGTAAACAATTATCTATTACTCAAATTATTTGTATAATATATTTATTAGAATCTGTAATAATTAGTATTTAATTGTGATTTTAATTATAAAAATAAGATAAATTACCTAAATATGTCCTATTCATCAATATATTAGGTTATATTCATATATCTGGTCATACATACTATACAATGAAAACTTTGTTTCCATACAAATACCGTATTCCCCATACAATACAGTGTTTCCATATGGGAATAATGTTGACTCAGAAATACGGTATTTGTGTTGTTGTTATTAATTATTTATTTTGTATAATAATTTGTTCAATTTTTACGATCAATTATTTTTTCACAGTGTAATAATTTTTTATCAATATATACATATCGTCATTACTATTTGAAAATTAAAGCCTCAATTTTAATCACTGCTATACAGTATTCACACTGTGTTAGTATAATATAATTATATTATAATATATATATATATATATATATATATATATTTATATACAGTATATAATAGTATAGTTATTAATAAATATTAATAATAATGATTTAATTTATTTTCCAAAAAAAATTGAATATTTTTTATAATTAAAAAATTAAACTATTTTCATACAAACACTAGAAACTACTGTAAAACACAATTAGATGATATTTTTTAAAAATATATTTTATTTATAATTAGTATATTTTAGTGCCTCTTAAGGATTACTTTAAACTTTTAAATTTCAATAAATATCATACCGTTATATACAGTATTGTGTGTTTAAATTAATAATAAGATGAGTTATTTTATATACTGTAATATTTGACCAAGGCACAATTATTTAAAAATGTATCTTAATTTAACATATGTTTAGATAATAGTTAACAATGTTTGTTAAAGTGCTTAAAAAATTGATTACTAATATACTATAGACTAGAAGTTATTATATATAATATAACAAAATGCTGTATAACTTTCTTACTAAATAATTGACAAAATTTTATGGAAATTTATTGAAAATTTTATTAATTAAAAATTTGTTTAGTTTTGTTTAGATAAATAATGAGGAAAATTTAACAAAACTATCAATTATGAAAATCAAAATTTATTTTCGATAAAATATATATTGAGGTTAATATAGATTTATTTATAAAACTAATTTTGTTTAAATCTTGTTGCTATGGATTAGCACTTTAATAAATTTATATGAATAAATTCACACAAACATATCAAATAATATTTTTCATGTTTTTATACACTCTATATTAACATTATAAATAATACTATTCATTATTTAAAATTTTTGTATGTAATTTGAAAGCAATTATATATATGAATGATATTATCGATATTTTATATTATTTTTTTAGAATTTTTAGTTATAAGAAATAGTTGTCATAACTTATAACATCATAAAATACTATATAATAGATTAATAATTTATTTTTATAAGTTAAAGTGCTAAAAAATAATACAATATTTAAGTAATTTTTAAAATTAAACACTGAAAAATAATTAAAATATTAAAAATATTATATATAACTTAAAAAACAGTTTTAGAGATATAAAATTTAATTTTTATATAGAATATTATTATTACTAATACTATTATTTTATTATTTATTTTTAGAATACAAAAAACTTGGAATAATTTTTTATTTTTATTAAAACAAAATTTAATGTGAATTACTAATATAAATAATTAACTTAAAATAATAGCAAAAATAGTTTGGGCAGATCCCGTTGTTTCGGGAGCAATGAAGTCTAGAATACCAATGGGAAGGTTTGCCGAACCCGAAGAAGTGGCCGATGCTGTGGTCTTCCTGTTGAGTGAGAGGTCGTCTATGATAACTGGGGTCACACTTCCAGTTGACGGAGGATTTCTTGCAACTTAATCATCAATTAATTGGTTTTACGTATAATTATTTTTAAATATATTTTTTGTTAAATTTTTGTAAACTAGATTTTTAATTTGGTTTTTTATTAGTAAAAAAAACATTTAGGAAATTTACATCAATTTTTTAATTATATAATTATAAAAACCATATTATAATATAAAATATGTTTATGTTATTAATAATTTATATAAAATATAAATTATTTATTTAAAATAAATTTATTATAACAAAATTTTAAAATTATTTATATTAATAAAATTAACTAAAGTTATTATGTTAATTTAACGATTTTATGAAAAACGAAAAATAAATATTATTAAAGTATATATATACTCAATATAATAATTTTAATACATATATATACACATATATATATATATATATATATATATATATATGTATATATACGGTATAATACAACTGTATTAGTTAAATAATATTTTAGTATTAATATTATTTATATAAATTTTGATATAATTTAATAATAAATAACTGAATATTTATTAAAAATGTCATTTATTTAGATCCAGAGAGAGAGTATGTCAAACATACTGACCAAAAAATAATTAGTAGTAATTTCTGCAGTAATTCTTCGTATTTTTCTCGGCACCAAAACGTGATCACCTTTTTTGACCAGCATTTCGACCACCCGTTCCTTTTCACTCATATAAGTTGGAGCACCGATTGCAATGACCACACATATGTCCGTCTCCTCAATCAGTGCACACCTGTCGACTACTTTACACAAAACTATATCACGATTGGGTTTCATATGGGCTATCAAAGCCTTTTCCAAGACTTCATCCGAATAGTAAGTTTGTGGTGACATATAAGCCATTGTTTTCAATCTTGAGTGTGGATTATATTAACAAATAAATTGTAAATTATAATCGAAAAATTGAAACACTATTAAAAAACTTGACTGTATTTTATAAGAGCTTCAATTTAATAATACTGTATTTTGTGAATTACATTTATGGTAAAATAAAACTAATACCATTATTTAGGAATTTTATTTAAGCAAATAAATCATATTTTATTTGCTTTATTGGGTTAAAATCAAATAAACCATAAATTTATTTAAAACTTTCTTATTTATTTAAAGGGAATATATTTTTTGATTTATTTAACTTTAGTAACACAATAGTAAAGTATGCTAAAGTTAAATTGCAAAACTAGTTAATAACAAATAATAATTATAACAAATAAATATATTTAATTAAAATAATATTAAATATAAGTTTTTAAAATTATAATTCTAAAGCTATTGTATAATATTAGTAATTATAAAACAATGTTATTATAATTAATTTTATTTAATTATATAAAAATGTAATTAAAAGATTATTTCCAGAAACTTAAGATATCAAACATTGAGACAATAAAGTAATCAGTGGTTATATCGGCGGTAATACGTCTGACCTTTCGGGGCACTAAAACACGGTCTCCTTTATTGATGTTAACTTCAATCAAATATCCGTATTTATTCTTATAGGTTGGATCTCCGACTGCCATCACTAAACAGACATCACTTTCTTCAATAAGACATTCTCTGTCCAAAACTTTGCAGAGAATCTGATCCCGAATTGGTTTGCAGTGAAGATATAGCTCTCTTTCCAAAATCTGTAAATCCATTTTTTTCACCAATTGATCAGTTGCTGTAAATAATAAACTGTTTTTTATTTATAATAAATACTTTTTAAAAATTCAATTATTTTATAAGTTTTTTACTACAAATGTTTATGAAAACTATAATAAATTCATGAATTATACGACAAATGCAAACATCCGCTTTAGTTAAAGTTTTTTGATTATTTAATAATTTTTAGACTGATGTGTAAAAAAATTTATTTGATTATTTGTAAAAATTAAACATTGTTAATAATATTTTATATTTTATTTTTAACATATTATATATATACATATTTTAATCAATATTTAACAATAATAAATTAATAATAATTATTGTGCAAATTAGAGATTTTAAAAATTGATTGAAACCGAAACCGAAATGGTTAGAGATTTTTGTCATTTCTCACTTGCGATTTGGTTTCAATTTTTAAAAATTAGTTTAATTGCACATAAAATATACATTTTATAAAAACCTGTTTAATTTTAAATGTTGTACATTATTTAGCAAATTGTTAAAAACAAATTAATAATTTTTACTGTTATAATAGACATGTAAAGTAATTATGAAGTAAATCCTTAAACTTACTGTATCTTAACTTTAAAAATTAATTAAAAATTGAACATTTTTGATGTACATAAAAATTGATATCCTATAGTATAGGTTCTATACTATAATTTATATATTTGAAAGTTAAGTATAGAGTATTAATTTCCATCATATCATACATTTTATATTATAATCTTATCTTTAAATCAATTAACAAAAAATAAAAATATCTTACACTTTATTACATTAATAATTGAAATCAATTTAAAAAATATTTTATCAATATCAATATTTTTATTTTGAGAAATCAATTTAACAAAATAATTTTGTAGAATATTCAAAATTATCTTTAAAATCAATAATTATAATAACATAACATTATTTACTTTTCAATTAATTGCATTAACAATTATTAATAGTTAATCGTGATTTACAATTTAATTATTAATTTATAACAATGTAATAATTAAAAACAAAACACTATTTAAGTATTAAAGCAGAGTATAATTATATAAATGAAACAATAGATAATGTACTTTAGTTAGAATACATTTATTTGATATGTAAAAACAATTTTTAACAAATTTATATAGCAGTCTAATTACTTAAGGAATAATATGAAATATAAAAATTTGATTAATTAATGATTTATAATAATTCAAAAAATAAATAAATTTCTATGCATTAGTTAATTAATTTTCAATTATCGCAATATTTGTAATGAATTATCCAATCCTTGGTTTGACACTCTTTTGAACAATACTTTCTGTGACAGCAATAATAAAGAGCTTCCTTTCGACAAACGACACACCAGTCGCGAGTCTTTGAGTCAATCAATTGACTTTTGAGATCATTGATTACCTTCTTTGACAACTCTAATTGTTTGTCCCAATAATAGTTCAAAACAATCAGTTTTTCTTTCAATGTCTTGGGATCTATGCGTTCATCTGATCCCTCCGTCATTGACATTATATCCGTCATCTTTGTCTTAAATTCTTCGCCAGAATTGTCAAAATCTGTAAGCAGTTTATCGATGCGTTCGTCTGTTACCATCATTTAGATAATATATATAACAAATTATAACAAAATTTAGAGAAATTAAAATATTGAAGAAAATAAAATGGCTTTCAATCAAAATAATGAGGCAATACTTCTAAAATAGATAACCTTGAAATAATTATAGTTAAATCAGATATATAATTATATATACTATTAATTAATTACCGATAATGTAAAAAGAAAAATGATTTTAATTAATAGATTTAAAAGTTACTTGACTTAAAACTATTACTGGTAATTATCATTAAATATATTTAGTAACTTTTTAAATAAATTTTTACAATAATTAATCTAATTATAATTATAATATTGTATAAACATAATTACCGTTATTTTGTTGACTGTTTGATTGGACATCTGTTTTTATTTCATTTGGTGACATATTATTGTTCAAATTAATTGCAGTCAAATTATGGACAATCATTTCGGATGAATCAACTGTTTCTATCTCATCAATAGCTGGTTTGGGATCAACTATTTCAGTGACATTATTGGTTATAACATCAATTTCCATGTCTTCTTCTTCTTCTTCAATGACATCAATTTTATTTTCTATTTCTGAATTGATATTATTTTCCATTTGTTCATTTGATCCATTAGTTTGTTCAATAGTTTTCTCTTCATTCTTAATGTTTTCTTTATCTATCTTTTTAGTAATTATTCTTCCAGATCTTCTCTTATCAGATGTTACAGGTGTTTGAAGTAAAGAGTTATCACTACAGTTGACTTGTGTTGGTGTATGACTTGAAGGCATAACTTGTGATTGTTTAGGACTTAACGAATTGGACGAATCGCTGAAATCAATAAATTTTTTCTGTAAAATATTTTTTTCAGAATTAAAACAATTTCTATTAACTGTTGGTTTATTTAATTTAGGTTTTGGTTTTCGGCCTCGTTTTCGACCACTTTGTTTGACAACCGACTCAATAGAATCTTCAATACCTGACAACTCATTTACTTCAGGTTTCGAAATAGTTGTAAAAATATTTTGAGTAATTAATACATTTTTATGCAATTCTTCGTACTTTTTAAGCAATTCAAGTGATTTATTCATATTTTTGTTATTTTCTAATTGATCTCTAATGGCTTTATTAGTTGTTAACTCAATTTGTGACTCTTTAACGTTATCAGCTCTTCGGTACTCTTTATCAAAGTATCGCACGGATAATGTCCTCTTTTCTTCATTTATGTTAATCACTTTCGCCGGAGAGAATGGAAAACCCTTTGATTTAACAAATACTACTTTATGTGGCGGAACACATGGTATGCAAAACCATAACGGATCAGTTTCTCTCAATTCCTTATCGTTAGATCTTTCATAACAGTCAACACAGTATCGCATTTGTTCCAACTCTTTAACCAAATAGACTCTCAAATCAGCAAAGTTTGTGTAAATGTCTGTGTTTTCAAAGTCAATAGAAGTTATGTGAAGATTGTGCATAAATATAAAGAAGTCGTCTTCCAGTTTAGAGAGACTCTTGTATTTATTATCATTTGCTTTGTTTGCCATAACTGTTAAATCCATTTTCTTAAACATAATTAGTTTGCTGTTGTTATTGACATTAAGATCAAGTTTTTTCACTTTGTTTTTCATTTTCGACTTAACAAAACTCAACAAAAATCCAATCAATCGATTTACTCGATCTTGAGATACCTTTTGTTTGCCAACACATCCGTCGGCTTCCCATTCTTCGATGCGCTTACAGAATGGACAGATATAGTCAGCGCTGTCGTCATAATTGACACATTTTCGATGAAATACACGAAAGCAAAGAAGACATTTCAAGAATAGTGAAGACCTCTTGTCGACCAATATATCGCAATCAAAACAAAACCAGTCATGTGTTGTCTTCAACTCTTCATGACTTCGGGTGAGATATCTGAAGACGAATGGATTTGACAATCCGTTGTCATATTAATGACAAATCAATCCTTACCTGAATTGTTTGGTCGACTCATTCATTTGAGTTTTAATGAATCCATAATCGATGGCAATGTCTATGCATTCATCGATGGCCTTCTCTCCGGTGCCATCAAACACTTCCGTTACTTTATTGATGAACCATCTCTTTAACTCTAATTTGCTGACCACTTGTGGCCAGTCATCGTTGTTGGCCAGTATATTGTTGATCACCACAATAACCTTTAACAGGTCATTGGGCTGACCTAACACGTGCTGTTGACGCGCGTGTGATGTCGAAGGGGTTGACATTTCAACACACAATAGACAATCAAATCAAACAATACATTCAATCAATCAATTGTTTTGCAAATTATTTTTATTAATATTTAGTCAATTGTTTCGCATATTATTATTATATAACTTATTGTTTGGATTTATAAAAGCATTAATTTTATTGGTTAGACATTAATCGCAACAAAATAGCGCATAAAATGCGTTAACAATTGCTATACATTTGTACACAATTTTGCTTAATATAATTAAACCCCTGATTGACGTAATTTATGAAATGATAGAAATTAATAGAATGACGAAATACATAGAAATTAATATTAAGTATTGAAATGTATATTACATTCAATAGTAAACCAAATTGAGGTCACAATCAATACAATAGTGATTTGCATTCGATTGACACGTGATTTACAATTAACACCAAAAATATTGAAGATTTCATAGTAAGAGACAAATAGTAAGCAATTGATTGAAACACGTGTTTATCGATTGGTTATCAATGAGTGTAACAATCAGTGTTTGATTGGTTGTCGTGATTGTGGTCACTAAGAGGTGCCGTCATATTGGCATAAATGGATGCGCCGTCCACTGGCATCAACACTCCTGATATAAAGGAGGCGTCATCGGAGGCCAAGTATGCCACGGCTTTGGCGCAATCGATGGGCTGACCGATTCGGGCCAACGGGTAGTTCTTGGCCGACATTTCGATAATTGTGTCCAAACTGAAGGACTCGATCCCGAACTTGTCGTACATCGGTGTCTGTATTGATGCCGGACTGACCACCAAAATACATGTATCATACAAAACATTAGTCTTAATTTTATTAGTGGTCAGGTATGTCATTGAAACAGTTAGGTCTCACTTAATACTATTGACACGAATGCCTTTTGGTCCCAACTCTTGTGCCAAACATTGTGTTAACATATCTAACGCCGATTTACTCATACAGAAGACCTGACCATTGATTAGATTGTTAAACGTCTTAATATAGTTTAATATAACACTTGATTCATACCATAAGTGGTCCCAACTATTGAATGATAGTTTAAATTAATATTAAATAAAACAAATTTAATTGTTTTACTTACGGGTCGTATACCACAAACACTGGAAACGTTGACAATATTGCCTTAAGATATGAATTGATTTGAAATCCAATAAGAGATAACATTATTGAGACAAACCTTTGGTTTTTTCTAAATAGGGAACCGAAAGACTCGACAAATACAGTATTGACTTAACATTTACGGACATTATTTCGTCGTAAAATATCATGAGATCGGGACTTGTAATGGGAGTTATCTGCGAAACACCGGCACAATTGACCAAAATGTCAAGTTTTCCGAACTCATCGATCGTTTCATAGATCAATCTTTCGATGTCTTCGTATTTACTTAGATCTGCCATCACTTCCAACACTTTCTGAAGTGACAGTTCCCGACATCGTTCAGCAACAGACCGGACTTTGTCCTCATCTCTACCGGTGATGACTACCTGTGCGCCCAAACTTGATAAGTATAGCGCTATTTCTTCACCGATTCCCGAACTCGAGCCTAAGTTTTAGATTTTAGTGGATATCGTAATAAATAAGTCATACAAACCAGTAATGAGAGCAACTTTTTGATTGAAATCTCGACAATTTGACATATTTTTAATATTTTGTTATCAAATGATTTAATAAATAACTCAAACTATTGAAACTTATTAATGAAGAGATTCTTTAATAATGTCTTGTAATTAAAACTTGAATTTATTTTACTTTTCATTTGTATAACAAATATCCTTGAATTTTATGGAAACACCTTTTAATTTATAAGACTATACATATAGTTATAATTAATTGCTATTTAATTCAAATAAACTTACTTTTTCGCGCTATTATTCATCTATAATTAATAAATCATTAATAATATTTAATTGTAAAATGAACTAAAAATTATATTTTTATCTATACGCATGATTATGTTGATTATGTTTAATTTAGTGTCACTAAAATATCCTCATAAGACAACCATAACATTTACTGCTACAACTAAATAGTGGTTCAATTATTATTATTTTAATTGAAACGTTTTAATATTATAATTTTGTAAAAAGTCAGCTAAAAATAATGGAAATCGTGATTATAGAGAACAATGATTATTAATGTAATTGTTTATATGTATAGTTTACAGTACAATATCTATAAATTAAATATAATATAATATTTGCCTAATTTTTGGCAATCAATTGTTTTAAACTTATTATTGTTGTTTCAATTATTCTTCTTTAAGATGTCTTATATTTTGCATTTCTTGCAATAATTTTTCCCAAATTTGTGAATCAATTTCGTTGACTTCTTCATAATCATTGTTTTTATTGTCATTATCTAAATATGGCGTAAATTCTTCATCTATTTCTTCAGATTTACAATCGATTTCTTCTGATTCTGTTTTCTATAAAATATATTATTTATATTTTTAAAAGATTAATAAGTTATTATATTATTGTATATTTATATATAATATATTATTAATAGTATCTAATATTAATTATATTCATTAAGTGTTTAGATATTTAAGGAAATAGAATATATCGTAAATAAATACACATAAAAATCATGGATTTATAATAAATAGAATAAAACATATAATAATATGTATAATATGTATCAATATTATTAATATTTGTGTTTTCAATCATTATTTATCATATTTATTATACATTTACCTAAATAATAAAGTTTCATTTTTATCTCACTAATAGTTAATAATTGATTAAAATATATACAATTTCCTGAAATGATTTGTACTTATATTTAAATTATATAATTATTTTCTAATTTTAAATTTAAAAATGTTATAATATAAAGAAATTTTTATAGATATTATACATCTTTATTTGATTTGTTGTCATCGAAATCTTCAATATTTTCTTTTTCTTTATCATTGTCCACATAATTATCAATGATTTCATCATTCATTTCATTTGTTTTAGTTTCCTGTTTGCAAGTTTTCGTCTAAAAATAAAATATCAAAACGATTAATAAATTTTATATATTGCAAAATATATTGATTTTGTAATAAAATATTGTAAACCAACAAAAAGAAACAGTTGTATTCTAATGTTAATATATTATATAATTGATCGATAAATTGTTATTTTTATCAAAACTTATATTTATTAATATAACAATATGTTATATAATTTGCACAATGAATATCATATTTATGACAAACCTTTGTTGCATTTAAACATTGTTTTGCTGTCTTTTCTATACATTCAATGTCTTGTAATTGATTATCATATTTATCCTTATCTTTTAGTTGTACTTTAAATTTTTCCATATCTCGAATTAGCACAAGTAATGCATTAGACACTAAAAATTAAGAAATGTTTATTTATTATTTACTTTTAAATAAATTATTCTTATAATGATTTTGTCGTTTTTTCGGTAATTGTGGTCATTGACTAACTGTCCGGAGTTTACATTAAAAATAGCATTCATTAATATTATCATAACATCAACTTATTATGCTTTTAATAATCTTTTACTTATTTTTAAAAATTTTATGTTAAAATCATTTAAATAAAATTTGTTTATAATAAATCATTTTCTATAATTCTATTTATTTATTATCTAAATTATTTTTAAATAAATTTAAGAGCATTTTCTTATCAACTATTATTTTCCTTTTGAACGATCAAAACATTTATTTATTTTTATATTTATTTTTAAGTAATATAAAAATACATTGTAATAAACTTAGTAAAGATTTATTAGCAAATATTTTAGTGACTCAATTTTTTATTAGCTATAATAAGTTAAATACAGAAAATCAATTATTTAAATAATACAAACCTTTTTCTTTGTCGAAATTAGTGATAATTTTGTTTCTTTTATAAGCATTTCTTTCAGTTTTATTATCAAAATCTGCTTTTCTTTTAGTCATTTGTTTAGTTGTAACTCTGATATCATTTTCATCATTTGACATAAATTTTTTATATTCAAAATCTTTTCTATAATTATCGTAAATTGGATTTTCATTAGTTTTACCATTTTCTTCTGATTTGTTTTTAAAAAGCATCTAATAGTTAATGTTATTAATTCAATTAATATTCAATTAAAATTGTAATTATGTTAATAATATTAATAAATGGTTAATGTTTTATACATACTTTAAATATTGTATAGACAAAGAATACAATGACACCAATGGTATAGAGAGGCATAACTAAACCCATGAGACCTCCAGAAAATTGTTTGTAATTGTTTTGATCACTTGTTGTCATTTTACTTTCTTTTTGAAATTGTGGCTTCAAATGTATATAATAAATGTTTATATATTATAGTTTATATATTGAATATATGATATAATTAATATGTTATAATACCCGTCCCGGTATACGTTGATATTGGTATGTCTCTGATAATCTCATGGCTTCCCTCACTCGGGGAGGTATTAACATATCATCTAAATATTAGATCAAATATATATTTATTAATAACAATAACTTAATTTACATAGTATAATAACAAATAAAAAATTCTATAGTTTCATCATGATAAATTTATTAGAAATTTTCTCATGAAAATTTCTATTTGCTATACTTGTATTTGAATTTTAAATACCCTATTTAATTTTAAAAACAAATTTTTACAGTTTAAGTAATAGATATAATATTTTTGTTTGTTTTTATAGATATTTTTAATTAAATAATAATTTTTAAATAATTTAATTATTGTTTAATATTTATTCATGATATATAAAATTTATTTCAATATTATTTTTTTTATTTTATAGTTATTTTGTTTAATATACAGTATTCTAATTGAATTCTGTATAATGATTATAATTTTTCCGAAAGATATCATTAATATTGTTGTTATATTGTTTTATTTATGTATAAAATTTTATTGTATAAATAATTAGATATTATAAATTAATTGAATTTTTTATTATCATTTATGCATTTAATTTTTATACAGTATATTAATATTAAATAGATGTTAATATTATCATTCCATGCATGCATTTTTCATTAATATTTATTATTTAAATTATTAATAATATCTATAATATTGTTTTCAAATAATTGTATTTTGCTAAATTACTTATTGTTAAGAATTAATATTTTAATTATATATAAAATAAAATAATTATGAATAACAATTGAATATTTAAAAAATTACCTTTTTTTTGATTGGGTTGGGAACTGGTCATCGATAGTGTCGACTGAAGCATCGGTAGAAATATTTTAGGCCAAAGGATTGCAAAACAACATATAACTACACCCAACACACAAATACTTTTGCTATTACTTAACTCATTTATAGCCATTATTTTTCAAATTATTATATAATCAAAATTAATGATTTAATTTTAATAAATTAAAAATGTCTATATAATTATATTAGATATATATTAGTGATTTTGTTATTAAACTAAAATATAAACAATAATCCCAAACATCCATTAATATTTTAAAATCAATAAATATTTAAGATTTGGATGCAAGAGAAGGAGCTCTGCATCTATGAGAGGGCACATGTATTCATCACTTGATTTGTGTTTTGATAAAAAGTCAAATCCTATTATTGAGTTTATATTTAGCTTTTGTTATATAAGATTTATATATAATCACCTAATTTATCGAAATATAGCTAATACTGTATATTGAATATTAATTATAATACTAAACAAGAATATTGTATATTGTATTACAATTTGTATATTAAATATTGTCTATACTATAGACTCTATAGTATACAATGTAAAGTGTTTATTCAAAATGTTAATGCTTACACTGCAATTTTAATATAACTAAAATTTATATAATTAAAAAAATTATTCAAGAATCAGCATTTTTATTTAAAAATATTTTTACAATAATTAAAAATACTATTATAATATAAAAGAATTTGTTAAATAATTGTTGATACTTTTTTATACATTAAGAATAAACATTTGTATGTTTTATTCAAAAATAGTTTAATATTTAATTATATTCAGTGCAATTAAGTTGGTTTTATTAAAGCTAATAATAAAATAAGTTACGGTATATATAAAATTACACTCATGTGTATAATAAGTAGAGGTGGGCAAATAGAAAGTTTCTAATAAATTTCCGTGAGAAAGTTTCTAGAAAATTTATCATGAATAAATTTCTATAGAAATTCAACTTTATTGTTATTCTATGGGATCCCCATATCTATAGTTATTGGAAATACTATAAATATATTAATGAGACATAATAATGTACATATAATATTATACAAATGGGATACCTATATAAATAAGTATAATTATCCAATAATAATCAGTTTTGTAAAATTTTATTCATCATTTTATTATATTATAGTTAAATATAATTAACTATAATTAATTTTTACTTTAATTAATAATTAAAATACTAGTAATAATAATGGTACAAGATAAAAAATATTGAAATAACAAAATTAAAATGGGGATCCCATAGATAGAAATTTCTTTTAGAAACTTTCTAGAAATTTCTCTATTATTTTATAAATTTCTCTTTTTTACCAATACTAGATTAATCACACTATTGTTATGTCAGTATAATAAATTATAATGTTATAATCATAATAAATACTGTAGTTATTTTATAATGTCGATATGTTTTATTTATTGCTGTAAAAAATACAGTCTTAATACTGTTTACATAACTAGTTAGTCGACATAACTAACCTGGAATTTAATTGCATTATTTGCATAATACAGATATTTTATGTTTACTTTGTAATAACATAATATTTTTTTAATGTATTGTATAATTCAGAACAATATTATAAATTTCATTTACTTTTTTGTTACTAAACAGAATATATTTCTAAATATAATCATTTTTCATAATTATAGTGTTCATGAATATACGATAGTTAATATAAATGTAATTTTTCAAATTTTTACTAAAGGAATCTTGTTGAAATATATAAACATTATTAATGTTTGAAATGCAGATAATAGATAATTTTTATTAAACAAATAGAAAATCAAATAAATCAAATATAAATTATAATAAATAATAAAATAAATTGAAAATTTTTACAAGTTATCAAAATAGTATTATTAATTTTTTTTATATAATCAATATTTTATATTTAATAAAATGATTTAAAATAAAAAATTAATTATTAAAATATTGTATAAACAAATACGTTATAATTTGAAGTACCTATACATTGTAAGTAAAATTAAATAAAAAATATACAATATAATATTACTTTATTAAAAAATTAATACTATACATTAATACAGTTATTAATCATGTATAAGTTTAATAAAACATAATAAATATTCAAATTTATAATATTTATTCACATAAAATATTTTGTATAATCACGTTATTAAAAATTTTATAAAATAGAAATCTTTGTGCAAATATTTAATGAGTGCAACAAAATAACATTATAATCGATTTTTTCATTATATATACTGTAAATACAACATAACATAAATTATTGAAACTCTTTTAGAAATACAATTTGAATTTAACTATTTATTCTAAATTAAAGTTTTTTTTGTTATAAAATAATATTTACAAAATTTTACAAAATGTCAATTTTATTAGAAAAATGTCAATTATTTATATAATAAATTTGTTTTATATATTGTTAAGAATCTGTAAAAAGTATTCAATTAAAATTTAACAAACAAAATATAATTTACTCAGGTCATATACGATATTGTTAATATAATGTTCAAAATATAGACATTTTATATATTTAAAAACATAAATAGTTATTATTTTAGCAATTTATTATATACAATATATTATGTATATATAATATTATATATATTATTGTGTGATAAAAAATAATAGAAACAATTTTTTATTAGTGAAGTATATTTCCAATAAGATGGCAAATATATTGACATTATCTAAAAAATAAGTCAAAATTTTAGATCATTATTTATAACAATAAAACTATATAATTGTTATAACAAACGACAAGAAAATTAACTTTTTATATCAATATTAACGGCACTTTATTTCTTTTTTTTTTAAATATGTTTTTTTTGAAAACAAAAATTAAGAACTAATGGACGGGATACTTTTCATTTAGAATAAAAAATATTGATTTATATTAATAGAAATATTTTTGATACTAGTTTACTATTGTTATGTTCCCCAATACTATTAGACTTTGTTTTAATATAGAGTTAGAGTTAAAAATATATTAAATTCAAAATAGGCTACAAATTTTTCGTAGTTAATCTATATCCATGTTTTCCACATCATTTCCTATAGTATACAATAATACTATAATATATAATAATAACAACATTATTATTAATGATTAATATTAAACTGAATTGTAATTTAAGATACAGTACTATATATAAGTTTATGTTTGTTCACTGCATTTGTTCACTGAATCCTTAAGATTGCAATAAAATTGAGTGAATTTTCTGACATATCCGGCACTGAAGTCATTTTCGTCAAAAACAAAGGCATAGTTCTCGTCGATCTCAATCTCATTGCTTATCATAAAAGTTAAACCATTTTGTGACTTATTATTACAATTAATATTATCATTACTGTTATTATTAGAGGTATCGTTGAATTCAAAGCCATTTATATCGATCTCCATTCCGTCCCTTTTGGGCGCATATATTAAACTCAAGACATCATCTTTAGATTCAATCTTAATTGAGTTTTTGCTATTTTTTGTTAATTTTAACTTAATTTTTGCCGGATTCAGATCCACTTTAATCTCTACTAATTTGTTAATAAGTCGGAAATAGTTTATAAAATTATTATTGACTTCATCATAGTTGCAGTTATTAGTCAACTGATCCAAGTCCTTACGCTTTGACGTATTTTTTATTAAATTAATAGCTATATAACTAAAGTGAAAGTTTACAAAACTAGGCGCCTGTTTGAGGTATAGACAGTTACGGAACAGATTAATCCTATTCGGTATCAAATTGATGATAAACACCCTTTCCTTAGAGTCCACTGCGAGCTTATCTATTTCTTTTGTGATCAAACTCAAGATCCAGCTATTAGTGATAACATTTGCGTATAACAACATTTTTGTCTTCAGATCGTCAACAGAGCTAATGGTAAAAGTCTTGACATTTGCATCGGACAGACTCTTATTGTGTCCGTTATGTTCGGATATATTATCCATTTCATTATTATTGTTATTTTTATGTAATTTATTGGTTAAAGTGATGGGACTGATCATTGACTTATCTTGTGTTAGTTTTTTGATACGTTTGCCTAAATTGTCCATGATCAATTGTTCCACATCTATATAGTGATAGGCAATGTTCTCAGAGTCGGCTACACTCTCGTATTGTTGTAATAACTGCCAAATAAACTCTCCCTTATTAGATCCCGAACCACCTAAATATTAATATTCATATTTCAATAATATTCCTAATTATAAATAATTATATTCCTAATTATCATAAAATTATATTTTCAAATAACAAAATAATATTCTGTAATTTAATATTTAAATTGAATATATAATAAAATATAATAATAATAAACCACACTAATAACTTTTCTCTAAATCATTAAATAAACTACATTTGCATTAAATTGCATAACAACATAAAAACATTCAATTGTTTACATTAAATATGCACTTTTTGTATTATTTATTTGATAGAAATAAAAATGTTTTTAATATATATTAGCATTTAGATATAATATTGTATAATAAATTATTTTGTAGTAAAAGTATCAAAAACTTAGACCAGACATAAAAATATAATAGATATTAGTATTATATAAATATTATAGAATAACATCTATTATATAAATATTATAGAATAACATCTATTATAAAATATGTAAAAAATTAGTAATAAAAAGCATTGCAATTAACTAATGATTGGAAAACTAAACACAAAACTTTTGTATTTAACTAATAATTATAAATTAATTTTAATATAATAATAATAAGCAATAAATACAAACCAAATATGAAAATACACTTTGGATTTGGATTATCTTCATTAGCAAAGTATAAACTTAGACTATGTATGTCCACGACTTCAATATTAACAGATGAAATGTTTTTAGTTGAATCAATGATACGCTTATGTACTTTACTGATCGCACAACCCATTGTCGACAGAAGTGCTCCACAGGTGATCAAAAAATGTCTTTAAATAAAATTGTTAGTATTATAGATGAGATCAAGCATTAGTCTCTGATCCGCGAAGTCGTGTCTATTCAGTTGAATCAATAAACTGACAACAATTGTGTCATTTGTAAGCTCTCTATCAGTAAAATTCATTGTCGTATAAAACGAAATCATCGGTTATTATATTATATTAAATCGTGAAAACCTTTTTTCATGTCTTTATAAATACTCCAACTTTGTTGCCACTCGTATAGCATATTATACAGTATAGTACAGTATATACCAGTGCTCTCTCGCTATTCGCCACTACTCTTAGTCTTGAATTACGGTTCAATCGATCGATCAAAAGTTAAGTTCAAATACAAAGATTATCCCAAACAGACTGACTGACTGACTGCCTATCAAACACATAATACATACAACACTAAAGTGACAATTTTGTTGACTTTTAGTTTCAATCAAATTTATATTAATTTTTATCTACTTTTATGAAATGTTCAAATGTCATAAAATTCAAATCAATATAATAAGTAATAAAATAACCCTAAAATATAATATATGCAGTTATATGCTATCATTATTTTTAATAAATCTATTTCTTCCAAATTAATGCACTGTTTGTTGCATACATTATGATAACCATAGTTTTGAGTTACAAATATTAATTAAAGATTTTGTCAGGAAATTAATATATTTTAATAAAAATGCATTATTTTAAATACAAGAAATTTTTGACTATAATTTTCTTTTAGATTATTTTATTGATTAAAATAATTTTAATAATGTTTAATAAATTAATAAATAGAAGAAAACCATGAAAATTAGTTGAAATTTAACAATAAGACTTATGAATACATTGTTATTATTATATTTTACAAATTATTTCATATTTTATCATTTAAAAAAATAATTATTTATTTTATCCTATTTTACAAATTTCTTAAAAACAAAAAATTTTAAGTAATTTAGAATATAAACTTTAAAAAATATAATTCACTAAAAATATTATAATAATAATAAATTCTAAGTTATAAGATTAACATAGCATAAGGTATAACAATACAGTAATAATAATTTTTAAAAATTGTTTTTAATAAATGCATAAACACATAATTAATATAATTGTATTTTATATTTAACATTCAAAATAGATATAAAATTTATATATACATGGTAATTAATTTAATAATTAAAATTTTACAACTAATTTTAAGTGAAATAAACTTTTCTGACACAAACTTTTTTTCTATAAAAATTCTGTAATATTCCGTAATTAAAAATAATTTTTTCATCTAATGGCTTAACATTAATAAAGTAGTTTTATCTGACAAATACTGTAAGTATAGAAAAAGTAAACACTTGAAAATTAGTTGAATATTTGTAAATATCGTATATTAAATTTCTAGTGAATAGACTAATTATGCTGAAAACCCATGCAAATGCTATAAAGTACTCCAACATAATTACCCAATATATTTAATATAAATAATACTAAATATTTATCTAAATTATATAAACCACAAAATATATTACTTTATGGTTTTTAAAAATTGCCAGTAATTTAAATATATCTTAATTTATTAATTAATCAATTTATCTCAAATAACATTATAAAAGAGTAAGTTATTACTGTACGTGCAATACATAGAAATATACCGGTACTACCAAAAGCTTGAAAATCAATACAATAAATAATATCCATTAATGACAATAAATTGATTGTCTCTGTAAATGAACATCAATTATATACAGTACGATAAATGTAACTAAAATGTAACTAAAATATATTTATTACATAATTATATTGATTGCAAATGAGTTTAACAATTAATAAAAGATATTTGTTATGACTTTAAAACAATGAAATCTTTTCAAATAGCAATTACTTGTGTTTAGTTTTCTGTTTATTATTCATAATATCTTTATTTCTGACCACTGGTTGTCTACTAATACTAGATTTCTCATCATTTCTGTTAAAACCCTTATTTTGAAATGTTTTCATTTTTTTCTTAAATTTATCGATGTTTACATTTGATGACTCAATTTGTGAGTTAGACTTGTCATTAGGTGCCTCTTCTGGAGGAATAAACGGTGCGTTTCGGCGCTCCTGTCGTTTCACTTCTGCAGAAACTTTTTTCTCAAACTTTTCCTTCATTTTCTTAGCTTTCATTTCATTGTCTTTAAGGAAATACTCTCCAGAAGCCAATTGTTTATCAATTTTGCTATCAGTTTGTGGCGGAGGGAATGGTGTGTAATCCTTCTTAGTCTTGTTTTTAATAACCTTTGGTTGTTTACGTTTCGACAAAGTCTTTGACTTATAGTGTGGTAAAAATCGATCCCAACTTTCGTTCTTGAGTTTGGGATCTTTAGCTAATTCCCTTTTAATCATCAATGCTTTGATATTATATACTGGATGTATATTTTTCATTGTATCGATCACTATCTTCCTCACGTGTTGTAATCCTTTGTGCGGTCCAATTGCAGATACAGTTGTTCCCTGAACTAAGACATAACAATTGGTTAACAATTCGATGGCCTTCAAAGTTGATCCGTTGGGTCCAATAAGTCGTTGTCTTCGTTTAACAAATCGTTCCTTATTTCTGACCAAAGTTCCGATTTTAATGATATCACTCGTCACTTCATCCGCCAGCACTTTGATCGCATGTTCGTAGGGAACACTTCTGGCCAATAATTTTATAACATCTCTGGCTTTAATAATAATATACGGATCCCATGTCTGTCGAGTGGTGGCCACAGTCATCGATCCTTCAATCAGATCCAACTCAGCTTTAATGTTGTTTTCATTCAACACTTCTTTGATCAGTGGAAAGCATTCCGTTATGTATTTTTCGCGATATTTCGGAAAAAGTGTAGCAAAAGAGCTTTCGACCAAAATTCCCGATTTGTTGTCATCTTTAGTAAACTTCGGTATCTCTATAGCCCATGGATTGGACACAAACTCGGCTACAATTTGAATCAATCAATTAATCATTAATATTATATCAAATATAAAGTCAAAACTTACCGTTTGGTGAATCGTTGGCCATTATATATAATCTGTGGTCAAATGTTTTAATAATAGTAAATACAAAACATAACAAACAAATTGCAATCAAAACTTAAATTATTTATAATATAATATATAAGTCAAGTGTTGTATCAAATCATAGAAAACGTGATTTTTATAGACATATGTTATAAATATATTTTCTAATGGATTACAAGTGATGTCACTCCAGTCGATACCAATGTTGCCATTGATTTGCATTGAAATGTATTGAAAACAATGCAAATCTATATCTGCATTAATATAACTTTATAGACTGTTTGCTATTAAAGTCTATGGAAAATGTCAACAATTGGCACCAATTTGTGCGCCTAAAGTGTATCCGTCTCTATGGACGCCAACTGTTTGGAAACCAATGAAATTGTTTGAAATGTGAGACACACTGTATGTATGTATTGTCTCTGTGTTTGTGAACTCACTGTTGTTGTTGTGTCTCAAACATGGCGTTCACTTAAATGATTTGTTTTATGTTTGGAATTGATATGAAATTAACGATTTGAATGCCATTTAAACAACTATTTAATCAACAAATTTGTGTACATTTAATGAGTGACACAAACAATGAACTATTGATTGATTGGACGCATCCATCAACTAATGGTATGTTATTTTTGATGACAATATATTCATTCAATTAATATATTATGTATTGAATTATGTGTCGATTGTTTCAAACAATTGTCATTTTTTCAATACATTTAACATTAATATCCAATTGATTGTCGATTATGTCCTTATCATTGATTATACAATGATATGAATGGTGTTGTGGATCAACTCATGTGATGATATTGTTGACCATTAATTAATTGATTAACCATTTGATGCCATATTGATGTAAATATTAATCACATTTTATAATTATAATTAATTGCAATTAATTATATGATTATAAATTGATTAATTGATGATATCATATGTTTATATATCATATATATATATATATATGAAGATTATATTGATTTTTATTTTGTTTATTTTTGTATCAAAAAATGGCTACAAATATAGTTATAGTTAAAGCATTTAAATGCCATTTAAATGTTTGTGTTATTTGTTAAGTCGTCAATAGTTAATGTTTTGATTGATTATTGTTTACAACACTGTATTTTTTGAATTAAGTTACAATTATATGGTAAATACATTATAGTTAATATCGATTTAGACAATTAAGGTTTTATATTTTAAATAAATGAATAATACATTTTGATAACATTTTACTATTAAAATTGTAGTTTACATTGAAATTTGCAATTAATTATTAAGTAATACTTGATATCTGCGAAAATAAAATTAACATAAATATCAAGCATTGAGTTTTGCAATGACTTGTTTGCTGTGATTTTATGTGAAAAACAAAGTGATTAGTGTTTTCATAGTATGTTTGGCAACGGATGTATGACTTAAGCATTGAATAGTTGGCCACAAATGCCGACATAAGACTACATCCGTTGCCAACACTTGTCGACCCTTTTTTTACAAAGCATTTGTTTCACAGACATTGTTATCGCCCTTAAAAAGTAGTGACTTCTTAGTCCAGATCTCGACCCAACCCATGAGTGACACATTTTCTTATTGTTGAAGTTGTAGTTTAGGTGCCATACGAGGCATAACCTCATTGTTTTGTATAATGTCTTAGAGCTGATGATAATCTATTTTGATATATACTTTTTATAGATTAATTGCAAATATTATATATAATGTTTGAAATTAGCAATTAGTTGTATTGTATGAATAAATAACATTTCATTAACTATAGAAATATTTATAATATTTGACGACATTTCAATGATATACTTTATATGTGATTTCACTGATTTGATACAATGCTTATATAAATTATCTATGAATGGTATGATATCGAGGAAGAGGTATGGGTTTAAATAGTGTTGTATATATTCAATGAACCACCAAATACTTGTATACATTGCACACTAATTCCACTATAATTTATAGTGAATACCAGTCCTAATGTCCACTTTCCTGGAGTTTATAGTTTGACACAACCTTAATGTTGATTTGCAATGTCTTGAAGGCAAACAAACAATGATTACACTATTGAAACAACAATACCTACGAAAGCAGATAATACTATAGATATCTACTCGGTTTACATTGAGGTTATTGCGATGATTATACAATGAATATGATATATTGTTGATAAATATGGTTAATGCATATAAATTGATGTAAATTGTCTATTACTGTGTACTACTATCTATGTTCATGTCTAACAAATGTCATAAGTATTGATTAAAAATAGTTTTATCAGATTTTATATACAATACATGTGATTTGTCTGTATAACTAAAATGTGTAAAGAATTTTATACAATAATTTTATATTAGAAATCGATAAGAAAAGAATATATTTGTATTAATTATTATCAATAATAGTATACTATATATGATATTATAGTTTTAGTGATGCCATCAGTTATTATGACCTGTTTTTCTATTACAATACAATATTCACGTGTTTGTGCTGTTGATTGCCATTCATTACATGTTTCACATGAGTAATAGCACACACATATAAAACCAACGGTTCCAATGGTTGCGTCTATTTAAACAATACTGTGATGACAAACCACTACATTTGTTTAGACCCAACCATACTATACATGTTTTATATGTTATTTAAACATTTTTAAAATCATTTGACTTAACTTCAAAAATATTTTTTATATTTGTACAGTATATAAATATAACATATTTTCAGCTGAACACGTTTGTATTGATTTTACTTTTAATATAACATTTGGTAATAAATTTAATTAACTATAATTTATGTTTAATTTTTCGAGTCAATTTGTTTTTAATTGATGCCTATTTATTGCAATTAATGGGGTAACCAAACTAACCTATGATTTAAATTACCCATATATTTATGTGATTTATATAAGTAATAAAACTTTAATGAAAAGTTATGATTATAGTCGACGGCATTCTAGGAATAGGGTGGAGGACAACACTATGCATATGTTTACTAATGATTTCATATAATATTGTTGTTGACTTGCATTTAGTAAATAAACTACAAAATAGGACATACATATGGAAACATAATTAACATGTATTTATAGTTTAGTTTAACTTAAATAAATGTAACCAACAGTTAATTTTATTGATTACTTTTTTATGCAAAATCTGCTTAATTTTACAATTTAATAGCATTATTATAAAAGTGACCACGCATGTTTTATTTAATTAATACGTCAGTTACTGTTATATTATAGAAATACGTATATATTATATTATGTCAAACATAATAATAATTATTATATACAGCATTATGTTTAGACACTTGTCGATAGTTGTTTTTACCCCTATATATATATATATATATATAAAGCACCTTTTCAAATTGGCTAATTTCAAAAATTAATTAATTTTATGTTTTGAAAATATAACTAATAATAGTAAGATATTAATGCATGCAATATATTTCGTAATATTTAATTTTCATTTTGCATTTTTATAAATTTTGCAATTTTTATTGTCTATTTAATTATGTCTAGAATCTCAATTGATTTTTAATATTGGACATATAATTTTTTTGAAGATTTTAATTATTATTACTATTTATGTTTCGACAATAAGATAACTACTATTAATAATTATATTTAATTATATTTTTACAGAATATAATGATTTCTGAATTCTAAATATAATGTAATTTAATAATTGAAAATTTATTATGAATTGAGGATAAATTGTAATATAAGCTAATTTGTTAAACTATAGAAACATGCAATAAATGAAATGGTGGTAATAAATAGTGAATAATATGTTAGTTTATGGTTAAACTTAATTATATGAGAAATTTAAGTAGTTTTTTGTTTCTACAATAGCATAATATTAAATTGAAAAGACAAATATCATTTGATTTGTAATTAATAATAAACTGATTGGTACTCAATGTTAAAATATGATATGAGAGGGACTTTTTGGTTGAGTTGGAAGTGTTTCTCAAAACATGTTGTCCTTCGGGTTGGTTACCAATAATGTAGTCAATTGTATAGACTGTGCCATTGGTTTGGCTATTATTTGCTTTACCGCTCTCTTGTCTCTTATATTGTCAGTGTTTGAGAACTGCTGTAATAAAAGCCATTCAATGATTGCATTGAACGCAAGGGAAGTCTGGGTTTCGTCTTTCCAGATGTGCGTCAAATGGTAGACATGGAGTGTATGTGCGCTTTAACTGCCACTACAGTCATTGAAATACAGTACTCGACTATAAATTGTTTGTTAAAAGTTTAGGGAAAGTCTGATTGTGTTGTGATAGACGACTATTCGCTGCAATCGACAGAATAGGTTTTTCTCTCTCATACCAAACCTCTCTATGTTTTCAACTGACTGGTTGTCGAAAATAATTTTGATTTTCACATATTTTTGTTATACCGTCGATAAACACATACTTAGACTTCGGCTTATACTCAAACAAATTATAAAAGACAAGCAATCAATTGAATAGTTATTATGAGAAACTAAATGATATGATATAAGTGTATATATTTGAAAAAATCATAATAACATAATCGGTGTTTATTTTAATTTTAAAGGCCGTCTTTGGTTGGAATGCTTGAAAAAGGCAACTCTTATTCAGGCAATACATATGATAATAGCATAAATTTGACGACATCTTCATCAACAAACACTTCAACACTGTCTTCATATTACCATAAGAAGAGACATTTAGATCACGTAATCGGAGAGTTGAACAGTGAATATAATGCCAACCAAGTGGAAGATATATCTTCCACAACCAGTTCCTCACGACAACAATTGTCAGACAATGTGCACAATGTGTTAGGACTGTCGGGTTTTGACACTCAGTCTACATATAATGGTCAATCATCATCTATACCGTCATCACCGCAACACATCCTGCAAAGTGTGCCGCAGAGTGGCAGTCATCACACGTTTATTCGCGCCTCCGCTATAAAGCTGTTGGACACCTATCAGGTTTGACATCTTATTGTTGTTTCTTTATATATCAATTTAGGACAACAAAGAGTTTATTTTATTGTTTGTATAATAGTTACCGCATTATTACAATATTTATCAATTTATTTATTTCAAGTTTATTTTAACCGATATTTTTATCATAACCTTCTCTTATGAATAGTTTTTTTTTTATAAAAATGAATACATTTTTATAGTGTTAACTATTGGTGAATGTGTTAGGAAAAGTTGTTTTAAGTGATATATTTTAAATGTCATTAATATATAAAACCCATTTTCATATATTGACAAATTTCCCAAATATTTAAGTACATTAAAATGATATTTTATTTGTAAATGAGTTTAAGGAAAGTGTTTTTTATTTTTGTTAAATAAGGAAAAGTAGTTACTTTACGAAACAATAACTAACAATAATGTAACTGTTATATGAAATATTAATTGAATTGCAAATGTTGTTAATTATAGCAGCGCTGTAGTACTAAAAGAAAATATAGTGATTTGGAGAATGCGAGTACCGGTGCGGCCAATCATTACAGTCAATCAAGTTCTCGACCGACAGGACTCGTCAATCGAAACAAAGCCCACATTTCTTCATCGCGTCGTCCGCTGGGACTCGACTCGACTCATACCAGAAATACTAACTTTTTATTAGGTGTACACTCGTCAACAACAACAGCAATCACGGCGCCCGCAACGTCTAAGGCCAGCTCCTCAAACAGCGAGGGCGACTACCAGCTCGTCCAGCATGAGGTGCTCCAGTCCGCCACCAATCACTATGAAGTTCTTGAGTTCCTCGGTAGAGGTACTTTTGGACAGGTGACCAAATGCTGGAAAAAGGGCACCAATGAGATAGTGGCCATCAAAATATTGAAGAATCATCCGTCATATGCTAGACAGGGACAGATCGAGGTGTCTATACTTCATAGACTCAGTCAGGAAAATGCAGACGAGGTATGAAAGCATTGCAATTTACATTTTATTATATTACTTACCATTGAATCTATGATTATTTCAGTGGAACTTTGTTCGGGCCTACGAGTGCTTCACACACAAGAACCACACATGTCTTGTGTTTGAAATGTTGGAACAGAATTTGTATGACTTCCTCAAGAATAACAAATTTAGTCCTTTGCCACTCAAATATATCCGTCCGATTCTACAACAAGTGTTGACTGCTTTGTTAAAACTTAAGGTATGACTTATTTGTTATATTTGCGATAATATTAAGCACACAGAAGACTATATAACTTAATGTTAAAATGTTTTGTAGAAAAACAATATGACATTTTGACAATTGTTCTTTAAATATTAATTTACATAATTTGCTAGAATATTAACATTTTGTCTGACTATAAAGTAATTGTTGATTATTAAAATTTAGTTAAATTAGTTTTTTTTCACAATTAATAATTAATTACTGACAAATAAGTTTATAAGTTGTTATGTATATAATGTATAGAATAATATAATAATTTTTGTATAAAAATAGATTTCAATAGAAATGACTCGTAGTTTTGCATTATTATAGCTTTAATCAATTGCGAGGCAAAAACATTGTGTTTATTGTTAATTTTCATCTAATGGTATACCAGTCACTTAAATGGCAGTCTTTATATGAAAAGCAGTTATTTGCACACAATATTTGTTGAACTAAATGCCAATGATTAAGACTATTGCCTATCTCATCAATATATTACTATTTAATGATTCACAAAGTTTTATATTATTGGCTAAAGTATTACTGTAATTGTAAAGATAGATGAGTTATATAGTGGACACAATGTTAAACATTTCAGTACAATAATGATAGTCTAATACTTGAATTTGATAAACAATTATTATTATTATTATAAATAGTTAGATTTGATAATTGAGTAATGATGTAATTGAATTGACAGCAACTGGGACTGATTCACGCCGACCTCAAACCCGAGAATATAATGTTATGCGATCCCGTGCGACACCCGTTTCGGTAAATAAAGTGATTTATGCGATAATCAATTATATGCTAACCTTAATGATTGATATTTATGTTTAGTGTGAAAGTTATTGATTTTGGCAGCGCTTCACATATATCCAAAGCTGTCTGTTCTACTTATCTTCAATCCCGATACTATAGGGCACCAGAGATTATATTAGGCCTTCCCTTTTGGTGAGTCCCTTAATTACAGTATGTCATTGTCATTATATAATTAAATAAATTATATCTTAAACAAAAATAGTGAAGCGATCGATATGTGGAGTTTGGGTTGTGTTATTGCTGAACTGTTTTTGGGTTGGCCTCTATATCCCGGTTCATCGGAATACGACCAAATCAGATATATAAGTCAAACACAGGGGTTGCCAAATGAGCATATGTTGAATCAGGCGACAAAGACAACCAGATTTTTCTATCGGGAAACAAATCCTAATTATCCCTTTTGGAGACTTAAAAGTCCTGAAGAACATGAGGCAGAAACAAACATTAAGTCAAAAGAAGCGCGAAAATACATATTTAATTGTTTGGATGACATGGCTCAGGTGAACGTTCCCACCGACCTCGAGGGCGCAGAATTGTTAGCCGAAAAGGCCGATAGACGAGAGTTTATCGATTTGTTGAAACGTATGCTAACATTAGATCAAGAAAGAAGAATAACACCCGGAGAAGCTTTAAATCATAACTTTGTGTCACTCAACCATTTGGCCGAATACGGGCACTGCTCTAACGTTCAGTCATCGGTTAAAATGATGGAAGTGTGTCGTAAACGGCCAACTAATACAAGTAATAATAATAATTATGATCACAACAGTAATCAAATGTCAACTATAATGAACAACTTTACTTCTTCAGGCAATGTGACGCTCTCTTTTAACAACCAATTGTCTGGTCTGTCAAACACTGCTTATCAGTTACATCCGGCAAACTTTTACCCGACAGCCGCAAGTCTTTCATCATCTCAAACTGCCTCACGTCTGGCCACAAATCAAAACAATGCCCGAACGGCTAATCAATATGCGGCTGCCGCTGCTAGAGCTGCAGCAGTGGCTGCAAATAATGATCCGTTTGGACAGTACACGTCCATACTTTGTCCGGCAGGTCCTTATCAAAGTTTAAACTCACCGGCAAAACATGTGATGACAATGGCAGCTGCTGTGGCCGGAGCACAGGCAGCTCAGTCTCAGACAGTACAACTTCAACCACCACTTATAACTCAAGTGACAGGCGGTCAACAATATGTTCCCGTATCTGTTGTCGAACAAAATGGTCGCCAAATGTTGTTGACAAATGCTGCTGCCGTTCAATCGGGTTGGCCATCAAACAGACAAATGTTTGCCGCAGTTCCGACTGCTTGGCAGCAATTCTCTACTCAAGCCGCTGGTCGCATACAACAGACAACAGCTGTACTTCCCGATTCTGATGCATGGAGTCGTTCACTTGTTTTAGACAGATCGACACTACTTCCAGAACAAGCGGCTGTATTACCGATGGAATTCCATGATCCGGCAGTTTATGACCACTTAAGATCAGAACGCAATTTAATTCAATCTCAAACAACATTTTCGGGTATGAGCGCACCCTGGGGTGTAATGGCTTGTGGCCAGCCATCTAATGCTCACCAATCGTCACACTATACATCCAATCAAAATCTAGTGCCCGCACACAACGCCTCGATTTTGGCGGCCATTTCCAGTTCAAAGCGAAATACAGGAGTTCAGTCAAAATCTATGAAATCAAAAGAGCATTTGTCACCCGTCAAGAAAAGGGTCAAAGAGTCGTCACCACCTAAATGGCAGGAGGTTTTAGGCCGACACGTAGAGTCAGGATATGGTGGGTCCATAAATCTGTGCACATCTAATGATAACACTCCTAATGCTAACGACACCAACAAAAATCTACATAAGGCGTCATTGATTCGCAATAATACCGGCGCCCATAAAATACATCAAACCATCACAATTGAAGACACGCCTTCACCTGCAGTCTCTGTCATTACAATCAGTGACTCAGAGGATTCAAATGAAAGATCGCCCATTTGGTAAACAATTTATTTTAATTATTTTATAACTATTTTTTATTTTATTTTTACTATAAAACATACAAATGATGACTTAATTAATGGGACGTAATTCAGATTGCATTACATTTTGCAAATGATGTTTCATTTGTTGTCTGATTTTTAAACACAATTAAGACTACAATTTTCATTGATTTTATTTAAAATTATTAATATTTTAATAAAATCCTATTTTTAACTAAAGCGTGTTTTTATATAAAATTTATTAATTACCGTAATATATATTTATACATATATATTATATAACCATAATTTACAATTGGCTTTTAAACTATAAAGACTAGAAACACATTTTAAGTAAATATATATAAATAAATAATATATATATATATATATATATATAAAGTTAAATCTAATATATAAATTAATATTTTAAATATCCTAAAAACAATTAGTAAATTTTAATTTATTTCTTATCTAAATATCTTAACAGTTATAAGAATACAACAGCAAAACTAAATGTACCTCAAAAACCAATATCACTGATAACACAGACAAATACAGTCTCAACTACCTGTGCCAGTGTGTTGACTCTGACCCCCGAAGATAATGACGATTGTGTCCAATATGGTGTTGCAACTCAAAGTCACAATATAGCTCCCATGAAGTCTTCGTCGGCCATATTTAGCAACTTTGGTATTCAATCTAATAGAGGACTTAGCCATTCATTGTCGTCATCAGCCATCACTAAAACATCAAGAATTGATATCAATTGTTTTACATTACCTGACTCTGACTCTGAAGGAAATCACAGTCCACTGAGACCTTTGCCTAACTTTACGAACTCAGTTATGTCGAAACTAATTAAACCCGAACCACATAAAGACAACGCATTGAGTACATCTCTTAATGACATTTCAAAATATGGTCACGAATTGACAAATGCATCACAAAAGAAGCGATTATTGGCCAAAGCCCAACATCAGGCACACATCCAAAACCTCAAACAACAAATACCACAAATTATGGTCACTAAACAAGAGGTGGTCTCCAGTGAAGATGAGGATTCATTGGCAGGACGTCTTAATTATACTAATGGTCAGATTTATCATAACAGTCAAAGCAGTTCCACATTAAACAGACGCCATAACGACTCACTGAATGCACAATATATGCGTCACTCGAAGATTGACAACTTAGAGGGAGAAAAGCTTATCAAATGTGCCGTTAGTCCAAACAGGGTATCAGTTGTTTACACTTAACATTATTATTTTTATTAAAGATTAAATATACCATAGTTATAATTCTAACATAATATTTATTCACACATTTTTTATATTATAGTCTATTTGCAATAGTTTTAATTAAGTTATATTTCAATTAGATTTACAATATTTTAAAATATAAAATTATGTTTATTTGATAGAGAGGTAATGGGAATTGTCGTACAGTTCATACGGGACACCATCACATGCCATCTGCACACTTGTCACCGGTACAACCAATTGGTCAATCACTATATTTAAGTGGATCAACCAATCCCGATATATATCGTGATTACTGTCATCCGACAGTTTACGTGACCTCAAATCTGAATCAGTCATATGTGACACAACCGCAGAAGTACGTGATAGCGCCTAACGCACCACAAAGCGGACCATTTGCACAATCGGTTGCCTCATTGCCGGCGCCACCACCGGCTCATCATCATCACAATAGTACACGTTCAGCAGTGGCCACTGCAGTCGGTTACGCGCCAACAGCCAGTCATCCACTGCCGGCGCACATACAGCAGACGCCTTCAGCTGTGACTGCAATGCCCTTACAGTTCGCCGGACAGACCGTCCCTCCCTATGGTTATAATATGTCATCCATTACATCAACCAAAGCTCCTTATCAACACTTGTATCAGATATTTGGTGATTAATCACTTGACATTAAATTTGATTTTTCATTTACTTATTATTATTATTCACATTATAATTTGTTTTGTTAATTATCATTATTTGAATCAAAATTACTTTAACACTAAAAAGAGACACAAAACGAGTTTTGTTTGAAATATTTATATATCAGACTATAATTAATCGATAAATGTGTTTCTCATTTGAGTGTGACTCTTAGTCTCAACTTTATATATAATTTAATAATTGATATTAAGTTAATTTTATTAATTGAAAATTTCCAGTCATTATTATCACTTATTATGATTATTAATAATATTATTATTGTTTATTTAATTAATTAGTAATTAGTTATTTTATATCGACACATAGTTTTTATATGTTTAATACTGTATCTTCATTGTATATTTTAGCGCTTGATTTAAACTATTGTCGGTTTATTGTTATATTATTCAGTATATATTGAAATCACATTAATATATTGATGTGAATAATAATAATTATTAAATTTATGGTTAAATATAAATTTGAGATTTAAGCACTATTTCTAAAATTACAACTAATCATTAACTATGCCTTTAAATTAATTAATGATTTTAAGCTTCAAACTAAACTAATGGTAAATTATATATATAATATTAGTAATTAAAAATTTTGTGACAGTAATTTTTGTTTTTATTATTTGACTAATACAAATAAAAATAAGGTAAAATTACTATAAAATTTTATTTTAGCAAAGTTATATATTTCATTGAAAATTTATTTACTATTGAAATATTTGACATTTAATAGATTTACTTTTCAGATATTTTAAAGCATAAAATGAATGCATTTTATCTAATTGTTATTTTATCGAATCATAACAACAAATGTTTGATTTACTGAAACATTTATTAGTTTTATAATTATTTGATAAAATCAAATAATGACATTCTGTATGAAATTTAAATATATCACTTATAACGGTTTAATAATAATTATATATAAAATGTTTATATTTCATATATTAAAATTCATTTTATATGAATTAATAAAATTTGATGATTAGTACAAAGTTTTTCTCAATTGAAATACAATGTACTCTTATTATTAGTTTTATCAAATTATTGAAAATTGAATAACTGTCACAATATTAGAATAATTATTAAATTGAAGAAATAGATAAATTCTTAATTGAATTTTATATTATATCAACAAAATAAATAATATTTTTGTTTAATATAAATTATATATATATTTATTAGAAATTTAAAAAATAGGTGTAATTAGTCGAGATTTAATAGAATTACTAAAATTTATAAATTATTATTTTAATTAAAGGTATATTTAATGATATACTTACTATATAGATATAAATTTGTATACTAATGAAAATTTATTTTCAATTTGATCATATACTCAGCTCATAATCTTTTTATGTTTAAAATACTAGTTTGTAACCAAATGTTCACAAAACAAGCAATTTATTATAAGTATGTTATAAATAAATCATATATTGAACACATTTTCCAGTAAACAAATTTAACAAATATATTAGTGTATCTCATATATATATATATATATATATATATATATATATATATTTATGTTATAATATTATTATTATTATTTAACTTATGTAGTTAACGGTAGAGCCATCATATTAATATGTTTGGCCACCGCTGACCAAAAGGGGATAAAAGCTGACAACAAAATCGACCGCAAAATCACTTCCGTTTGTGTCTTAGGTTTTATCTAACCATCACTTATGTCGAAGTGTTTGCGGCGATGTGTACATAGATATCATGTATTATTATTATATAATTATAATGATTAAATGTGGTATATTATAGCTATAAAGATAAGAAAATATATTTATTTAATAACTCATTTCTCAAATTATTATTGCAATATATAGTTTGATGTTGTTATTCGTGAGATTTATAATATTAAATGAATTTCTAAATTGAATGACAATTTCTATAATAGTAATTTGATATATTTTTATGATAATACAAATAACATTACAAAAAAAACATTTAAACTTTTATCCTTATTCTCTAAACTCATGTTTATATAATGCGAACAATTTTTGTATCATTTTTTTTAATTTTCAAAACATTTTAAAATTTTCTTTTCTTTCAATATAATTTGCTATAATTACTATTTATCAAAATTAATTAATTGTTTTCACGTTAGTCAAGATTTATAGTTATAGATAATACTATTTTCTATGTGAGCTAACTTAGGCTTATTTCTTGAAGCACAATACAAAGCTATGAAATTGCAAATATATATACAGATTAGAAACATATCTGTAGTTTTTGTTTTTTGATTTTATTGTAAATATTGTTATATTATTATTATATTATAAATTCAAAGTTTGAATTGATGTAAATCTTCAAACTTTGTCTAAACCACAAAAAGGCCCAAAAACCAGAGTTTTAAATGACTTTCATTTTCATCACTTATTCGAGATTTCAATCGAAAGTTTGATTGAAAAATGAAATGTCATTTAGTTGTATATACTTTTTGTCATTTATTATTATTATTAATTACTATTAATTATTATTATTAACTTACTTTTTTGTAATATTTCCATGTATTATGTTATGTAAATTTTTAGGTATTTCAGGGTATTTCCCAATTATATATATATTTATTATTGATTTAATATTTAAATATTGTTTATTATTAGTGTTTAACGATAAAATTGATAAATTCAATAATAATTTTGAATGGCTTTAAAAATTACTAATCAAGCTAATAAATTATATCAATTATAATTTTATTTAACATATTGCCTATTATAAAGTTAACTATGACATTTATAATAAAATAATTTTATATAATAAATTAAGCAATCAATATGTGTTTGTTTTTGGTTAGAACTTTGATTCAAATTATTAATGATTTATTACTCATTTAGTTGTATAATAATAATAATATATTTTATTTTAATATTTTGCTGTTTATTAAATTTTTAATTTGTTTTATACATTTGAAATTGAATTACTGAATATTGTGATCATTTTATGCACATATCTATACTTGCAATGCATACCTAATTATTCGTATATTTTAATGGATATTTCTATATTAATTAAATATATAACTATAATTATTTAATTATTAATTTTATTTCAAAAAATTATTATAATTTATATTTATATTATAAATATAAATTAGTTTAAAAAATTAAAAATTGATTTAAATAAATAGAATTTACTAAATATATTAAATTTTATAAAATTTTACATTTTTCATCAAAATATAACATGGTATGTTAAAAAAAATATCTAAAACTATATATTCTGAGTAATTTTTACTGATAACTCATTGATTAACAAAAATTTGTAGTAAATTAAATAATTTCAGGAAATACTAGTCATCGTTACTTTTTATATAACTTACTATTTGATTATAAGATCATATTTATTAAATTGATGTTCAATTGTATTGAGTACTCGCAGGCAATGTCTCATGAATTTAAAAAAGCTTTTAAAATCACAATTGTTTTAATTATTTTCAATTCACAATCGCATTATACTCTCAATTGATATATCTATATATTTATTGACATATATTGTTATATGTAATTATGTAATCTCTTAACATTATTATTATATTTGTGCCTCTCATTACTTATAGAATTAAATATTGAAATATATTACTGTATTTTATTTATGGTTTATAAACGGTATGTTTTAATTGAATATATATTTGGTTCTTTATTATAATTATTATTAATAGTAAATTAATTTTAGTTTAAAATCACTTAAAATCATTTAAATACATTAAAATCAATTATTATAATTATTACAATTGATTTTTAAGTATTGGTTACAAAAGTGTCGATAAACACCAGTGATTAGTGTAATATCATTATCAAAACAATTGTGTATTAATAGAGTACTGTTTATTAAAATAGTGACAACATTTCCCAATTTTTCAATTAATAATAACTTAATTAAAACAGATTTCTATGTCCAATATTGCCTTTCAAATTTGCCATTTATATGTAAATTAATATTAATAATTATATTAAACTTATTTATATATTTTATTTTCTTTGCCTTACAAAAAATATTTTAAATTTTAAAATTAAAAATAGTTTTCATATTAAGAAATTTTAAAACTAATGTGATTGTAAAATGTATGCTCTCATATATTAACAAATCTATAAATATAGTAATTATTACATATATTTTGTGTCTCTTTAAGGGGTATAATCAATTTTATTATATGATAATGTCATTTAAAATAAATATACATAAAATTAAAAAAATATTTCTCATAAAAATAACAAAACAATATTAATACATATAAAAATTGATAAATCATAAAAAATATAATATACTTGATTTGTTACATACATTGTAGTGAATTCATTATTGTATTCATTATTTCAACGAATTTTAAATATTGAAAACATATTTATTTATACCTCAATATAAACTGCATTAAAATATATGTGAAAATTAAAAAAGTAAATTCAATTAATAATATAAATATTGATATTTTGTGTGAATAATAAAAACCCTTATCACAAATGTTTTCTAACAAACAAAAAATAATTACAAATAAATTACCGGTTCATCTACGGTATAATAATATATATTGATATTAAAAATTATTAAAAGTGATTATTCTGTCCATTGTTTTTATAAAACAAAATATTATAACAAAATAAATTCAATGATATTGTTTTTGCACACTAATTAAGTTTAACACTATTATTGGGAATATAAATATATTATATTTAACAACAAAGTGTATAATAGTTTTAGACAAAATATAAAATTATATATAAATATTAAATCCTGTTAATATAACATGTATGTTATATAATAGGAACAAAAATATTAAAAAAAATAATTGTGAAATTTGTAAATAATTTATGAATTTAAATATATATATATTATATACATATTATTTTTGTTTATATATATATATGAAAAATGTGAAAATTCATAGAATTTTTGTGAAGTAATTGATTGAAATAACAATAATTATGGAATTGGAGTAAAATATTGTAAAAAATATAAAGAGAAAAACGTTTTGAAATAAAATTACTAACAAATGTTTTTATTTGTATTGAAGTAGTAATGAATTTTACAAAAAAAATATTGTTATATTAATTTGTATATATATTTATATTCAATTTTATTGTCAACACACAAAATGTTTTAGATATAAAATTATTTGTGTGATTATTAATTATGTTTGTATATCACATAATTTCTAATAATTACGGATCAAAACGGAATATAACTTTAAATTTTTACATTTTGAGTAAAAAACAAAATTGTTTATATTATTTTAAAATGAGATTTCATATATAAAATTTGTAATTTTAAGGATGCAAACTTTATTAAGTATAACACATTTATTACAGTATTTAAATTTTTAAGTAAAAATTATTGGTGAAATTACTGGAAATAGTTTTAATACATATGACAAGGGTTTCATAATTTATTTTAAAAGTATAATTAACATTAATTGGTAATATTTATCATTTACGTATGTTTTTTCCTAAAAATAATGTTATTTTTATTATCAAATTTGATAACTATGTGTAAAAATGGTTTAATTATATTTGAAATCATATTTAAAATTTTGAAATTAAAATTATTAGTCTAAGTCTCTTCAAGAATATGAGATAAATTATATAAATTAATATGATTTGATAGTATTTGAAATTCATTATTCATGTTTGTATGTCTTAGAAGTATTAATATTTAGCTGACTATACATTTGATATCATATTAATTAACAAATTATCTCATAATCCTTGACTATTTTTGCTGAAGTTATTTTAAAACACATGATGTTATTAAAAAAAATAAAATAAAAAAAATTGTATGTAATTCTTATTCATTAATTAATTATATATGAAATCACATTTATTTCTCATTTAATAAGGGTTTCATTGTTAAATGCAGATTGCATGATATTAATAAAAACAATTATTTGCTTTAAATGTTTATAAAAAATATGAATATATTTGTAATAAAAACAATTAATATAATTATTACAAGATTAAAACATATATTGATATAAAATTAAATAAATTGGAAAATTTAGACATTTGACAGCATTCAAATCATTTTGTCTTTTATTTAATCTAAATTAATATCAAATTGATTCATAATAAACATAATTATGCAATTAATGTATTATAAAATTATATATTTATATAACCATTGCTTAATCAAGTGAACCACTTTATAATTGTCAAGATTATTGCATTGCTAACCAATAATAATAACTGTGGCTAAGTATCATTAAATATTATCATCCCATAAATCATTTTTTTAAAATCAACAATTATCTACAGTTTTGTAATTTTTGTATTTATAATATGAAATATTATGAATAGTGATATACTGTATAAATTTTAATGTTTGTACACTTGAAAGTTAGTATTTGAAACAATATTAATATTTGTGATAATTAACATGTCGTGTCAAAAGAAACTGTTTGATGGGAAAGTTGTGTTAATAACAGGTATTTATTAATTATCTATTATTTTATTAAATAAATATAGAATTAGAGACAATAATAACATTATACAAAACTATGAATAATTGTTATAATAATGCAGTTGTTATGTGATATGATATAATATATTATAAGCTTTTGAAAAAAAATATATTAAAACTGATATAAAATTTAATAAAGTTTTGTCTCAACAATTAAATCAGTCGATACGGTAATGTTTATCACTTATAATTACATACTATTTTAATATGAAAACTAAGGATCAAGTTCTGGCATCGGAAGGGCTACGGCCCTCACGTTTGCAGGTCTGGGCGCTAAAGTGGTTATCACTGCAAGAAATGATATCAAATTGGATGAAGTGGTTCAAAGCGCACAACTAATATCTGAATCAAATGATAATGTTATACATATTTGTGTTCATCTAATTAAATGCTTTCTTAGTTAACATTTTTATATTATATTAAAGATATTGAAAGTTAAAGCCGACCTTAATGTTAGACAAGACATTGAGATACTAATTAATAAAACGATATCGACATTTGGAAAGTTGGATGTATTGGTAAATAATGCGGGAATCGTTGGAATAACTGATATTGAAGACAAAGACATGGAGAAGACATTTAACAATATTATGAACACAAATGTTGGGTCAATCGTCAGGTTATGTCATTTGGCTGTTCCGCATCTCAAGAAAACTAAAGGAAATATAGTCAGCGTTTCAAGTGTTGCCTCAACTAAACCGGTTTGTAATTACTTTAAATGAAATATAATTTACATTAAAACTGATAATATATTTGATTGTTATTTTAGCACTCGTTATTCTTCGGGTATTTAATTTATCATAAAATGTATTGTATTTTTACTAACACTTATTTACTGAACACTGTATATAAATGACAAATATTTAGCTATTGTATGGCTAAAAGCTGTGTCGATATGTTAACCAAATGTCTGGCCATTGATTTGGGAAACAGTGGTATTCGTGTAAATACTGTTAAGTTAGTCAACAATTGGTTTTTAGTAAATATTTTTTGAATGATCTAAATATTGATTTTACTATACAGTCCTGCAGTCATCCGAACCAATATATTTAAGGCGGGCTTTAATTTCAGTGAAGAAGAAACTCAACGAAATATTTATAGAGACTGTGAACAGACATATCCATTGCAAAGACCCGGAGAACCGGAAGAAGTGGCCGAAACAATAGCTTTTCTTGCATCAGATAAGGCGTCGTTTATCAGTGGGACCACACTTGAGGTCGATGGCGGCTCTATGTGGACATCGAGGGGCGCCAATCCTAACAATAATTCATAATTTTCTTATTAATTATAAAACATTAATAATTAGTGTTTTAATGTTAAGTGAAAACAAATTAACTAAATAAACAAAATCTAAATATTGGGAAAATTTATTACATTTTCTTTCAATTTATTAAAGTCTTGTTTTGATCAGAAAATATCTAATTATCTAATACTTTATTTGTTTAAAAATGTAATTTCAAAATATATTATGTTTTTAAGTTTCTTTGGGGGGCCGAGAGGTTAAGGTGTCGGTCTAAATGCGCTTTTGTATGACAGCCAGGATTTGATTCCCGGTTAAACCATTTAGAATTTTTTAATTAAATTGTGATTAAAAACTTAAAATATTTTCAATAAAAACAATATTATATTAAAATAATGATAATTACATATAATTTATATAATAATGTTATTTATAAATTACATATATATTTTACATTTTAAGTGTAAAAATATTATTTATTTTTAAAATTTTAGTCAAAATAAAAGATTTATTATTATTAATAGAGTTTAAATATTAACTGAAAAAATAATTAGTATTAAGTTAATATTTATCTAAATATAACATCATTTAAATAAAAATATTTAACTTAAAAATGATTTATTTTCTCGAAAAATGAATTATATTGCAATTAGAATATTATTTTAAGATAATTAAAATACTTATACTTAATTATACTATAAAATTTAATAATTTACATGGGAATTTTTTTTAGAATTTTTGGGAATTTTCTCTTGACCCCATCCCTGGTTTAAAAATGCAATAAAAAGATACACTCAACCTATACCTCCACTAAGATCCAAAACCTATATATATATACATAAGTAATATTATATCTTTAAAACTATTAGATATAATATTGTACTATATTTGCATTATATAATTTCATTAATATATCACTAATTATTAATAATTTCGAGATCCATAGAAAACCATTGCTTAGTACAGCCATCACTCAAAATCATAATAAATGATTTGTTAGATTTATTTATATTTATTGATATTAAGTATTTATTAAAAATTTTATTGAAAATTCCAAAGTGTCTTGAATTTTATTTTCACGAACTCCTGAAAGGAGTACGTATCTGAATTCTATATGTCCTTTCGTCCGCATTTGATTGAAATTTTAAATTTTAACTTCAGATTTGGATTAAGCATCAAAAATAAGGTATAGGGGATCAGCATTAAAATTTTGATATCTCTTCGGGAACATAGAGAAAATGGCGACTAAAGTAAAAAAAATTAGATAAAAATTTTAACGTTAAATATTGTATAGAGCATAAAAATAAGTTATAATAAATCAGCATTATTTTTTAAAAAAAATGGCGGCAAAAGTGTAGGGTAATGTATAATTTTCTAAGATTTATATTATTAATATAGAAGTAATTCAGTAATTTTTCAAAAATCTATTTATAAATTTTAATACTGAATCATTTAATACTTCACATGAGTAATTAAGTATATTTTGTCAAGCTGAATCATTTGATACCCTACATGACTATAGTTGTATTTATTTATTTTGTTATACTGAATCATTTGATAACCCACATAAGTAAAGTTTACTTTGGATAAGGAGTTTGTATGGAAATGCTTTGTAGCATTCTCAACTGGTTTATTTTCTTAAATTATTTAGTTATATTAATTTGGATTTAATCATTAGATAATGGGTTATATAAAATCAGGTATAGTAACTCTAAGTACAAAAAAAACTATAAGATATAACTTATAAATTTATTTATTATTATAAAATATATAATATTTTATTTCTAAAAACTGTATATTAAAATGACAATATCTCAAAAATATAAAAAGATTTAGTAAATTCTTATTAGATGTTAAAACATTATAGAATAAAATATAATTTTTTAAAAAGTTTTTATTTTTATTATATATTCAAAATTAATTGCATAATTAAATATAGTTGTGTTACTATTCATCAATATTTAAAATATAAAGAAAATAAAATATTTCTTAATAAATTGTCAGAGATTTAGTAAAAATATTTTCACGAACTCCTGAAAGGAGTACGTACTGAATTCTATATGTCCTTCCGTCTGTCTGTCTGTCTGTCTGTCCTTCCGCATTTGATTGAATTTTGAAATTTTGATTTCAGATTTGGATTAAGCATCAAAAATAAGATATAGGGGATCAGCATTAAAATTTTGATATCTCATCAGAATATAGAGAAAATGGAGGCCAAAGTTAAAAAAATTTAGGTAAAAATTTTTAAGTATAGATTTGAATAAAGCATCAAAAACTAGCAAAGGAATTAGCATTAAAATTTTTATATCTCTTCGGGAACAAAGAGAAAATGACGGTTACAGTACAAAAAATTGAAAACATTATAAATATAAATTTGAATAAAGCTTCAAAAATAAGATATATTGATTAGTATAAAAAATTTAATATCTTTAAGAACGTATATAAAATGGCGGCCAAAGTACAAAAATTTTAAAATTAATATTTAATACTTGGATTGGAATTAAACATTAAAAATAAGTTATATGAAATTAGCAAACAAATTTTTATATCTTAAATAAAATAGATAAAATAAAGCTTGAGTTAATACTCTTTAAATTTAAGTTATATTTATAGTAAAAATAATAATATATTTTAGTTATTTGATACTTTCTATGAATTGTTTGAGTTTATTTTGTCCTACTGTCATTTGATACCCCACATTACTAAGGTTGAATTTATTTTTTGCATATTTAGTCATTTGATACCCTATATGAATTGTTGTTTATTTTTTTATACTGAATCATATGATACCCCACATGACTAAAGTTTAGTTTATTCTGTCATAATGAGTTATTTGATACCCTACATGGCTATAGTAAAGTTTATTTTTTTATACTGAATCATTTGATACTCCACATAACTAAGGTTGTTTATTTTTTGCATACAGTCATTAGATAACCTATATGAATTGTTGAGTTTATTTTGTCATACTGAGTCATTTGATACCCCATATTACTAAAGTTGAGTTTATTCTGTGATACTGAGTGATTTGTTACTCAACAATGTGGAGTCCACATCCATGTCATACTTAATCATTCGATTTTAATTTAATTTTTAATTTGGATTAGGAGTTCGTATGGAAATGCTTTCTAGCATTCTCAACTGGTTTTTAATAAATATTTTTCAAAATTTTAATGAATATTTTTTAATAATAATAAATATTGTTTTAATTTTGTTTAGTTATACAGTATATTAAGTTATTTTTATATTATCTATTATATTACAGTATAATGTATTTTTATATCAACATTTTTTGCTTTTATTAATAACAATCTATTATCAATTTTTAGTTAAATAATTTTATTTTTTAAATAATATTACATTTTTTATAGTAATTGTACTGTATTTTGTAGAATAATAATTTTACAATTTTATTAAATTAACAAAATTTTCTATATTATAATTATTAAATTAATATATTTAACATAAAATAATTATTAACATTTATAATAGTTATTATATAAAAATTAAACAAAACATTTTAGTAATAATTTAGTCATCAATCGATTCCTCCGTAAATGAAGACAAAAACTTTCTTCCTTTATCTGACTTTATATTTAAATAATTAATTAAATATTTATAATACAGTATTAATGATAAGAAATAACTATCAAATTATAATTAAGTTTAAAAAGTATATATACTTTAATCCATTTCAAAAGCGGTTGAAATTCCTGTTTCCAAACAGATTCACGAATCCGTTTGCTTTCGCCGTTAAAAGCGATTAACTTTTATGTAAAATATATAAATCGGTTGTTTTGAACAAATAATTTAGTTTTTTTTAATTTCTATAAAAACTCTAATTCTTACTGAAGCGCAGTTCTAAACAATTACATGAAATAAATTTGTTAAAAATTTATGGATATTTTTTATTTTTGTGTAATAAATTTACCCTGGGATCCACCTATTTTTAAAAATAAAATTAATTTAATAACACAATTACAGTTAGTATCAAATTAATTATTTATATTACCTGACACATCTGTGATGGATATTCATTGTAGATATTGTTGATATAACGTATGTTAATATAAAATAATAAAATTAGTTTTTATGAAAAGTTAAAAAATTACTAATTTTAATAACAACTTAAACTTACCATCTTTAATTCAATTATAAGTGACATAATTTAATTATAATATAAAAAATTATTTTATTAAATATTTAATTATTTTGGTGTTTAAAACAGATTTTATACCTTTCTTCCCTAAATTATAATAAATATTCATTTATTAGTTATATTTGAATATATATTTCAGATAAATATTAACATTGAAATAAATGATAAAACAAAATACAAACCAAATTCATCTGAAAGTTAAAATACATAACAAAAAATAATTATTATGTAATTCAAAAGACAGTCTTAGTCTTACCCCTCGTTTACTTTCATTGAGAGACCAATCGTTTATTGAATCCTTTGATGATATATCTAATTGTCGATTATTTTCTTATTAATTATTTAGAAAATTAAGAGCTTATTAAACAAAATATTTAATTGAAAAACATACCACTATTTGCACAGACATTTGAAAAACAAAATAGTGATAATATAAATATTAATAATACTAATAATGAGGAATAAAATGGTAATGAATATGTCATAATCACAAAATTGTGTTTCACTTTAAATAACTTTTTTTAAATTTTAATTTATAAAGTGCTAACAAAACTTATGACAAATAAAATTCAAATATTGATACTAAATGACTCAACTAACTATTAAATAGTAAAACAATGAATTTTTATAAGATTTTGTTATAAATTTTTTTATACAATTGTCATAACTTTTTAAAGGATTAATCTAATGATCAAATAATACAATTGGCCGCAAAAAATGCAATCATCGCATAACCCACGCCTTCTCTCATTTGACATCAAATTCAATCAAAATGTTATATACATTTGTTTACCTATAGCTAGATATACCTGTATTATATAATATTAAGCAGTGGCGTAACTTATTTTATTGCTGACCATTTTATCAGATATTTAATGATTGCATCTTATGTTAGGAAAAATTACTAAATCAATATACAATATTTCACTATTTTTAACAATATATAAATATATAATGAATAATAATATGAAATTTTTAGTTTAATGTGTTTGCAAATATATTGTATATAAATTTAGCAATAATTTACTATTTCTTAGTTAATTTCGCAATTTAAATATGAAAAGTTTATAAAATTTTAGTGTTTATTGATATTATTATTACTATTATTGATTATACAGGTCTAAGCAACTTTGAATATAAATAAATGTTTTAATTTATTTTTCGGTTCTAAAAAAACATTATGTAATACAATGAGATTGTATATGGATTTGAGTTTCATTTATAACTCAGGACTTGTATTGGCATTCAATAGAAACCAAACTATAAGACAGTATATACAGTACTGTTATATAAATTTATATTGAATGTCATATTTCTATTATTATTGTTTTTATTAAACCAATATCTGTAAATCTATTCTTAATAAATCATATTTTATAACATAAAATACAAAACCAAAATATATTTTTATATTAAATATCAGATTTCTTAATTATATTAAAACTCATTTTCTTTAGGTTTTATTATTTGATTTTTTAATTACATTAACTTTTCAAAGTCATTTCAATTACAAATTCTTTTATCTATCAATTTGTTGGAATCAAATCATGTATTGTTTTTGAATATTAGGTGACAATTATCTAACAAACATTTTATTAATATTTATTTATAACTCTTAACTTTTATAATATAATTTTATAAAACTTAATATTGTTTATAAATTTTAATATTTCAATTATTTGTTGTTGTTTTAAATTATGATAATTCATTAAATTCACAAAATGATTCACAAATGTAATAACTGATATTTAATCTTTAATTAATATAAATAAAATTGCAAAATTATCCAGTAATATATATAGGTAATACATATTAGTAATATAAAACAATATCGTTATAATTATCATAAATAAATATACAGGTTTATAAAAAAAATAAAACTAAATATTTTTAAATTTCACTTTATTCACTCAAATTGCAAAGTTTGCATCAATATAAGTGTCATAACATTTCATATAATGTTAATAATGTGTAATATATAATACAATATAACTTTATTGTATGTTATACACCGTCGCTTAAATGTTAATTTTTATTATTATGTTAAAAATATTATTTTGAATATCAAACTTTGTTTAATACAAAATAAAAAATTTTAATTTAAATATAACACTTAGACAAACACTTTTGAGACTTTTTAAAAGTAAAATATGTTATTAATTCATAATAGAATTAAATAATAATAATTATTTTTATTTAATGTATAAGTTGTTATTGAAGAGTTTGTAATTAAAACTTTATCAATTTTATTAGATTTGTCTATTTGTAAATTTAATAAAAATAATTATTAAAAAAATTATTTTTATTACTTAATCAAACAAAACATCAATTATTTTGGTCTTTAAGAGTTATTTTTGAGACAGACTTAGAAATATTTTTTGAACTTTTGTTTAAAATTTCGTTTTTAATAGTCGGGTCATTCCAGTCATACATATTATCATTAGTGACTCCCATTTTGGTCAGTAATTGTTCAAACATAGCGATTAAAGACTTATAATTTGGTTCTTCAGTGAAATTAAGTGAACGAACAGTTTGTAGATAAAGACAAAACTCATGAGGAAAGCCATCGCAGAGAGTTTCAAGACTTGTGTTTTGTTTAATTTCTCCAATCTTTGCAAAGCGATCAATGGTTTCGTCAATATTGAGTCCACTCCACGGCAAATGTCCTCTTAACAGATATATTAGTAAATATCCGATGGCTTCCATGTCATCCCTACGACTTTGTTCCTGATATAAGTGAGTATTGATACTCATATATCTGGCCGTACCGTTCATACCGACGCCCTCTTTATATGGTATGTGTTCACCATTTATATCGATATACTCTTTAGCTAAACCAAAGTCTATCAAATGTAGTATATTTTTGGCACTTGTGTTGGACAGACCTAATAACAAGTTTTCTGGTTTGACATCTCTGTAAATAACACGTCTGCTGTGAACGTATTCAAAGATTTTCATCATTTGAATGGCCAAAAGGGTTATTGTTTTAACAGTAAATTTTTTGTTACAATTATTAAAAACTGTAGCAATGTTTGGACCCAACTCTTCTAATATAAGAGCTTTATATGTGAGAAATTCGCCGAAAAAGTATGTCTTTGGTATTGATTGATGACTGCATTGATATCTTAACAACTGATAAATGGCAAACTCGTGACCCAATTGTGGACTATTTGTTTCAAACGACTCCAGTTTGACCACTAAATTGTTGGATGAGTTTCTCTCTTTTACTTTGAATATATAACTGAAAGAACCGGAATCTATGTATTCAGTCAATACATACTTATTGTTGGCTATGCTTTGGCCGATCAGTTCGTTGCGATCAAACGATTCAGTCATTACAATGGCTTTCAATTCAACTCACAATTTATTTTTTGTAAACTTTATGACAGATGTTATATAAAATTTTAAATCATTAGTTTATAACTGATTTTACAAAATAATAAGTTTTAACTACAAATAACTCGTGACAAATAATAATAGTAAATAATTTGGTTTAATGTAAATAAATGATAAAAAAATGCATCTAATTGTTGGTCGAAAGCCAGGCGTGTGTTTCGGCCTTTTTGGCCGTAATTCTGGTTTTGGGATTGGGATCGAGTAAGTCATATATGAGTGTCTTTAAGGTATCCGACAGTTTGCTGTTCTTTAGATAGAATTCTCGAGATTTTTGTCGTCGAATACATTCGGATTCGTTGCTTATATCGAAAGGAAAGGCGAAGAGAACCATGAAATATAGGGACACTCCGAGTGAATACAGGTCAGCACACTTGGCGTCATATACCTGTCCCTGGCCAAGTATCTTAATTTCGATGGCCTGGTATTCAGTTGTACCACATTTGGTGCCTCGCATTAGTTTACCATTTGACTCGTTGAGCGAAAAACAAGCGAAACCAAAGTCACTGAGCATTACTCGATCATTATCTCCGATCAAGAAATTGTCGGGTTTTATGTCCCGATGAGCGACACCATTGTTATGCATATATGTGAGTCCAGCGATGATATCGCGTAAGTACTTCTTGACTTTAGATTCAGATAACGGCTGTTTTACTTTTTCCAGTTCATCGGCAATACTACCTCCACGAGCGAAGTCCATGAAAATATAGGCTTTACTGGTAGTCTTAACCACTTTATGAACAACTATTATGTTTGTATGTTTTAATGACTGTAATATCTTAAGCTCATTGTTTAGGTTTTTTTCAATCCATAATTTGTTAACTTTACTGAAGTCAACCACTTTAGCGGCAATTGTTTTGTTGGGTTTGTCCGTCCAGGTGGCCGAATACACCTGACTGAAGGCTCCTTCACCCACTTTCTTCGTCAGTGCGAAACCAAGTTTTGACACAGCCTTTGGCAGCTCTGGTAACGGATCACTCATTTTACATACAAATCAACTCTCAACTAATCAAAGATTATTTTTAAAACTTTATAACCGTTAAGTCGTTTAAATAGTGTTTTGAAAATGTGAACTAATTGAGTGACTGATCAAATGATGTTTGATTTTCAAGTATTGTTAGACATCATTGTAATCATTATAATACTGTATTACAACTATAAAAGCGCGCTCTCAAAGTATAAATCAAAATAAGTTTTAAACGGAGTAATCAAATCATAAAATTATTTAGACATCAAAATTGTATTATCACCTAAAGGTCTCCTCAGTCAACGTCAATGCAAATGAAGTTATATTACTTGTTGGTCATCAATACAATTATCACATGTATAGTCGTATACAATGCTTATGCACTTAAAAGACAATTTTATCCGACAGTCGTTTACATTGCAAAATCAAAACCAAGTCTTTTGGTTAGTAATTAAATAACTTATAAACAATTAATTGATTTATTCATCGATTGATTACATTACAGGTGCTATATATTGAAGCTTTATTGGTGTTAGTAGTATATATAAAATTGGTGTCCAAACTATTGTTTGGTAGCATTACTGCCAATGAAAGAGAAGTATGTTTTGTGATAACAATTGAATCAATAATTTATAGATTTATTATTTAAACAGCAATTATATGAACGCATTGGTCCGGTATTTGTCGACACTTGTATCACATTTGCTGTGTTTAGTCAATCAAATGCAAACACATTTTATTCAAGACTTTTATGTCTATTCATTGTTAAGAATCTGCATTTTATGACACATTTGAGACTTCAGACAATGTCTACCGTCGATCACTTGTCATATCAATCTCATCAAAGATTCATTGGTTTAGTTTATAGATATATAAACATAAATAAAATCATTTCTCTTAACATTAAAGCTTATTAAATATTTGATTATATAATTTCAGGTGTAATGTTATATTTGTGGACAATAGATGTCTGGCAGATATCCATGTCGTGGATGCGGATCAATAAGTCCGGCCTATCTATAGAAGCGCTTTACTTATTTGAGGTGAGAGTCGTTTTATGACATACAGTATATGTGATAAAAACATAAAAATTTGTAATACTTTTATATAAACGACGAAAACAACGACTAATAATAGTATTCAATACTTGGATTGTCTTTAATTAATATATTCCTCGAGTATATCATCGAATGCATTGAAAGACAAAACGGAGAGAACAGTTGGGATGAAAAAGTTGTTTATTTCGATACCATTAGTATTGTCATATCAACCATCAAATTAGTACTTCATTTAGTAATGATTGCAATTTTGATCAAAATGAAAATTATGCCAATTTTTCTAATTAGACCTCTGGTTATTACTTATAGGTTTGTATTTATATCTCATATATAATAAAAATAATAATTTGTTTTAAACTACAGTATATTTTTAATTATTATATTTTGAAAAATTGCAGAAATGCAAAGACTTGTTTCTGGAGAGCCGTTCAATCACATCAAGCAATCAATCGATTGAATTTGTTTCCCAATCCTAAAGCCGATGATCTGGTGGTCGACAATATGTGTGCCGTTTGTCGCGATGAGATCAAGACTACAGAATCGGCAAAACGATTGTTTTGTAAACATATGTTTCATATTATATGTCTGAAGAATTGGCTCAGAAGACAACAGTCGTGTCCCACTTGTCGTTCAAATGTAATGAATATGAGACCAACACAAGTGGCACAACAACAACACAATGGACTACAAGAGCAGAGACCACAAGATATTCATAATTAAGTGTCAATTGAATCAAAAAAGCAATGAAAAGAAAGCATTGAAAGTCTAAAATGTTTGAATAAATGAGTGTTTTATGCAAATTTGGTTTTTATTGCATCTATAGTTATATACGGTATAAATATATATTATAAAAGTTAAGTTATATATAGTTTATGTAAACTAATTTATAAAACAATTGATGAGATATAAGGACTCATAAACTTAAAACATTGATTACATAAACACTTGTAGATTTGGTTAACTGTTTACGTGTTTATATGAGATTAGGTTTCTCTGGAGAATCTTTTATCTGATAATTAGTTAGTGATAACAAAATTAACCATTTTTTATAAGAAAATGGTCGACAAATTATTAATCTGTATATTAATTATACAGTTTTTAATTAATACTCATATTAATAGAACAAATGGTATTAAATTGACTTCAAATTTGTCAACAGATTTACAATTTGATCGTTTCTGTCGAGACAATCATTATTGTAGTACTGTTTGGGACAATAAGTCATTATGTGTGCCATCTCTTCAAAATGTTGAGATCAAAGAGTGTCATTGTATTCCCAATTATAAAGTCAATGAAACCAACAAAACGTGTCAACCATTTAACTGTAAAGAAGACAAACAATGTCAGGATTGGGACGTAAAGCGTGTCTGTCGTAGTGGTCATTGTGTTTGTGACCTAACATATGAAGAACAGTCGGATTTTATGTATCTCTGTGTTCATACAGTTTTTGAAGCGCCAACATCTCTGCTATGGCTTTGGTTGCTATTTGTTGTACCGATATTTGCTGTACTTTCGGTCATTATATTAAATATTTATAAATGCCGTACAAATCGTTTGAATCGATTTAGATATTAAACACCATTTGATTATTACATTAATCTCATTTTACATCATATGTAACTTATATTAAAATTTAAGTAATTTTTGTAATACAAAATTTTATATATTAATAATATTTATGTAATATAACACTTATATAAAAAACTGTTTTAATATCATATAAATTTAAATAGTTTTTTGTTATATCTCACTATTATTAGTTTTAACTGTTATATAAATGAGTTTTCTTTCATAAATTGCTTTACAAGTAAATTCATAAACTTGTAATTCACTATTTATTATATTTATAAATTCATAACATGTTTATCATTATTTATTATACAAAACAAATATTGTTTAAAGCTTGCTATACATTAAAACATATAATTTTGTTTATACTGTAATTGTTTTGTGATGTTATAAATACTTAATTGTTGTAAAATTTGCTGTACACACACACACACACACACACACACATATATATATATATATATATATATATACATACATACATACATACATACACACAAAGCCATAATATATTTAATTAATATAAATAATATATTACAAAATGTTAACAACTTGTAACAATAATAAAAACTTTAAACATTAAAATAATATTTATATAAAAAATTATTTAATTTTTATTGATAAATATAATGTACTGTATTCTTAAATTTTATGTGTTATATGTTATAAATATTAAATATTAATATATTTATAATATTATTATAAAACATACTATAAATAAATAACTTATGAAATGAAAGATATTACTGTTTATTCTCTTTTACAATAATTATTAAAAATAGAATAAAAATATTATTAATATTGTTTCCAAATTTATTACAAATTTATTTTATTGATATAACTTTAATTGAAATTTAATGTTAATTTTATATGACTAATGTTTTCTTTTATATTATATATTAATTTTTTTAATTTAACAGAATTGTCTGTTGATTACCTCGATTTAGTTGTTGTTGACAACTGTTTATCACATAATTTAGATACAAAATGTATAATTAATAGAAAAACGACAACTTTTATCAACTTTTAGTAAATTCTCTAATATTTTACAGTCAGTATTTGAATTTATGAAGTCATTTATGAAATAACTAAAAAAAGGCTACATTTTTAATATATATAATTACGATATATTTTATAGAGTGTAGTGAATAGTTTTATTTTTTGAGTAAAACTCAAGTTAAAGCAATTAATAAAACTTAAATTAATATTTTAAATATGACTTATCGGAATAAATAATAAATTATTTACTTAATATTATCTTATAACAATATACATGTAAATAATATTATTTAACTCTTTAATTGTTTATAAATATTGTACAATAATATAATGGCCACTAATACTTAAAATAACTGTTTAAAAACTGGATTTTTACGTTAATTGAAAATAACACTCAATTATATTAATACCGGTTTTATTCAATCGACATCATATAACAGTTTTCATTTGTATATAAGTTTAAAATCAAATGATTGCTTAACAATTGCTTTTTCATTTGATTAGCATTGATCGTCATATAATTATTAACCCCCATCATAATATTCAAAATTAATAATTGATTTAACAGATATTTTTATAAGTTTTATATACAGTACATACAATATAATGCTTTACAATGTATCAAACAAAGTACTAATTATAATTAATGCATTTAACTAGCATTATATAATATAAAAATCAATTTTACCATACATTTACTACTAAAAATAAAATATACTGTTTATTACATCAATCATTTACTAATTTCTGTATAAATAAGATAATGAATTATCGGTAAATAATATTTTATGCCTATTTATTAACTTATAATATAAATATTATTATTTCGACATTACTTTATATTTAAAAGATTATTTTAAACTATGTTTTTAAAAATTTAAAGAATAACACTATTATATTTTATATGTATTTTATATTATTTTATGTTAGAAGAAATAAAGCAATTTTGTATTAAAATTATATTAAATTTAATTTTTGAAATTTCAATACAAACTATACAATCGAAAATAATGTATTATAATAATAATTATAATGATAATATATTTTTAAAATTTTATCAAAAATATTTATAAATTATATTGTAATATAAATATATATTTTATTATAAATTAATTAATTATTCTATAATCTTCTTTACATTAGTGTAGTAATTAACTGGAAGTTAAAATAATGAAATTATATTTTCTCAGTATATAATTTGAAATAAAATTCAACACTATATTTAATTTATATTAATATTGCTAATATCAATAACATTATTGAAAGATTGTTAAAATTATTTAATATATTAATCTTAAAATATTATATATTATTTATAATCATATATTAATGTCAGTGTTTATAATAATAATAATAATAAGATAATATATTTTTTATAATAATTATATTTTATATAGTTTATAATTTTAAATATGCGCAGAATATTCTTTTAAATATAAAATTTGGTTAAATTATTTATATAAATTTTTAAAAAAATAAATGCAGTAGTTTTAAGATTTATAAATAAATATTGAAAACATTAACAATACTATTGTTTTATATAAAAGCTTTTATTTACCGGTAAATTTTTGCAATTTAAAAATATCACATATGGATATATAAATATTATTATATACTGTATTATATTTGGGAATATATACAGTGGTATATAATCCAAATCTACAAAACAAAACATTCAGTATTATATTACAAGTACTGTACAATTGAATATATATTTCCGTTTTAATAATTGAAAAATATTATGTCGATAACAAACAAAAGTATTGTAATACAGATACTATTATAACAACATTAATAAAAAAATAAAGTGATTTGTATTTAATATTAAGTCATAATATTAAGCTGTTATAGTTTATTATATTATTGTATTATCTTAATTTATATTAATAATATATTGTAATATTATATTTATACTATACTGTATTTTTATAAACAATCGGTTGATAATTTTATATATATTAATATACTGTATATTTTATATAATACTATGTATTACCGCATAATCAGTATTAAAATTGCAGATTAGTTACAATTATAGTAGGAGTTGTTGGACTAATCTTACAGGCATTTCGTTTATTATTATGTAATATTAAATTCAATACTCAATGTTTTCAATGCAATACTTATAAACAATGTAGTGATGATTGTAATTAACTCAATTGAAAATATATCATTAAAATTTGTTTGGTTAACAACTAAATACCACAATTTTGGGATAAATATTATAAATATTTTAATTTTTATATTACTGTCATGTGTTTAAATTAAATATAAAACATTGAATTTAATTATATTTATTTTTATTAATATATTAATTAGACTTTTATTATTTACTGTATATAAGTAATAACCTTAACAAAGCCTTTCTCCACCCCATTCAACCATTACCTACAATAACCCACTTCTACTTCAAACCTAACTTAAAAATAAAAGAAAATTAAATTAAATTTTTAGTTTATTTTTTCTGATATACTACAGTATATTTGTTAACAACAAATATATACATTATATAGATTTACAAATAAAGACTAATCTCTTTTATTTCATCAAATTTTTATAACAATTACATTATAGTTCTGTTATATTAGTATTTGATGCAAAATAATATTTTTATTTATTTAAATTAAATAAAGATCTATAACATTATTAATTCATAATACAGTATATTTGTTTATTTTAGTGTACATATTATATTGTATTTGATTTGTTTGTATAATAAAAAATATGAAAAGTTTATATTTGTGTCATATTTTATCAATACATTAATTAATTATTATTAAAGTATTACATGACATTAATAAATATATAGCTTTTTACGGTATATTCAATAATTTTATATTAACTTTTAAGCATTGATAAACATTACAAATAATTGATAAATATTGTGTGCATTCATAATAACTTATTGTCTAATAGATTCATACATTAACTATTGTATATATAATACAATAAATATAATAAATAATTACCATAACATTTGTTTAAACTATAGTTAGTTTCTTTCGTGTCCTTAATAATATATTATTATTATTATAAATATTAAATTATATATAAACATTTGTCAAATATACAGTATATTTTAACTAATGTTTGTGGTATACATAAAGCATATACAACAAAATATTATTAATTTTATAAATAAAATATAATTTAATTTAGAAATAATTTATTTATAAATTTGTAAATAAGCATTTTTATTTTACGTTTATTTATTT